CAGGAGCCTATCAGAGGCCGGCTCTTCTCCTTTGCAGCCAATCACAGAGAGGCTCCTGAAGACGTCGGAGGAGATCATCGCTGACCCGTCATACCTGAGCCAGGTGAGTCCGACCCGCTAAAACCAGACCGGATCCAAGAGTCAGGACCGGCTCACCTAGATTCTGTTCTGACCGTCTCCATGGTAACCCCGCAGGCTCTGGGCGCGCTCCATGACGACCTCCAGTCCTCCAAAGGAACCTCTCAGAAGAAGCTCCAGGCGGCGCTGCAGCAGCTCCTACTCGGCGTCCAGAACCCGAGCTGCCCGTCGTACACCGCCGCCGCTCTGCTGCAGGCGCTCAGCGACGTGAACGGACAGGTGAGGGGAGGAGCTCACCTGCACAGGTACGATCACATGACTCTACAGAAACCCGGTCTCACCTCCTGGTCCTCCTCTTCCTCTCAGTTCGTCCTCGCCGCTCTGCTCCCCGTCCTGGAGCGCCTCCTGGAGCAGCACGGCCCGGACACGCCCACTCTGCTGCGAGCCGAGGCTCAGCTGATGGAGCTGGTCCTGAGGAAGTTCAACGACGCGTCGGCACCTCTGCTGGTCCAGGACCAGGACTGTCTGGATCTGTTCATCCGGGCTCTCAGGACCTCCATGCAGCCGCACACCGACATCCAGAGCAGCCAGATCATCGCTCTGGAGCAGGTCAGGATCCCCGAGACCGGGGTCAGGGGTCAGAGTCAGGGTCAGGGGTCAGAGTCAGAGTCAGGGGTCAGAGTCAGGGTCAGGGGTCAGAGTCAGGGGTCAGGGTCAGAGTCAGAGTTAGGGGTCAGGGGTCAGAGTCAGGGTCAGGGGTTAGAGTCAGGGGTCAGATCCAAGGTCAGAGTCAGAGTTGGGGGTCAGAGTCAGGGGTCAGAGTCAGAGTTGGGGGTCAGAGTCAGGGGCCAGGGGTCAGAGTCAGGGGTCAGAGTCAGGGGGTCAGAGTCAGGGGTCAGAGTCAGAGTTGGGGGTCAGAGTCAGGGGCCAGGGGTCAGAGTCAGGGGTCAGAGTCAGGGGGTCAGAGTCAGGGGTCAGAGTCAGGGTCAGGGGTCAGAGTCAGGGATCAGAGTTAGGGGTCAGGGGTCAGAGTCAGGGGTCAGAGTCAGGGTCAGGGGTCAGAGTCAGGGATCAGAGTTAGGGGTCAGGGGTCAGAGTTAGGGGTCAGAGTCAGAGCAGGGGTCAGAGTCAGGGGTCAGAGTTAGGGGTCAGGGGTCAGGGGTCAGAGTCAGGGGTCCGAGTCAGAGTTGGGGGTCAGAGTTAGGGGTCAGGGGTCAGAGTTAGGGGTCCGTGTTAGGTGTCAGAGTCAGAGTTAGAGTTAGGGGTCAGAGTCAGAGTTGGGGGTCAGAGTCAGAGTCGGGGGTCAGAGTCAGAGTCGGGGGTCAGAGTCAGGGGTCAGGGGTCAAAGTCAGGGGTCAGGGTCATATTTCCACATTCACTGTCAAAAATGGCTGAAGGTTTGGAAAGTTGTGAATCAGAGATGAGCAGAGGGGCGGAGCTTCAGGTCTCCTGTTTGATGTTGACCCTCTCCACGGTCGTCTCCTCAGATCTCCAAGTCCTTCTTCTCGGCGCTCGGGGACGAGGCGGTGCAGCAGAAGCTCCTGTCGCTGATGTTTGACCTGCTGCTGGAGAGCAGGAGCCCCCTGGTGGCCAACACGGTCAGCAGCGTCTTCAAAGGGGTGAGAAGAACCAGACGATCATGTGACTGTGAGGGTCCGTCAGAGTAACTCCACCTGACCTTTAACCCTGGTATCTCCTCACGAACAGATCGCGGTGGATGCTCAGCTGGTGGCCAATGAGCTCGCTCCTCCAGAGAAACCCCGAGTCAGCGTGACGGTGCAGCAGACCCGCAGGAGCAGGATGGCGCTGAGGTGGAGAACCTGTCCTGATCACTCCAGATCCTCCTGCAGAGTCTGAGTCTTAACCTGAGTCTTTTCTTGTCCAGGAAACCCGAGGTCAGCGCCGCTGCCGGTCCAGAGGGGGGCGCCGTGTCGTGGCAGAGGGTGACCCTGATCCTGGAGCTGCTGCAGCACAAGAAGAAGCTGAAGGGAGCTCAGACTCTGGTCCCGGTCCTGTTCTCGCTGCTCAGCAGGTCTGCTCCCTCTAACAGACGGTTCTGGTTCTTCAGGGTCTACACCGACCCCGGGTCTGACCTGGTCTTTGTCTCTTTCAGGAGTCTGGATTCAGACCCAGAAGACCACGCCAACATGGAGTACACCAAACAGCTGCTGCTCAGCTGTCTGCTCAACGTCTGCCACAAACTGTCTGCAGGGGGCGCTCTGGGTTCAGGTGGGTCCGACCACAGATATAGATGTATAAACGCTAGATGGCTTACACACACTGTTAGTAAATGGAGACTGACGTCCACGCATGGCGGCCATCTTGCTAAGGTCAGCTCGCCAACTTCCTATCATTCCAACCCAGATAGATTGATTAATTTAAATAATAAAATATTGATTAATTTTAAACTGATTTTCAGTTCAGAGGATTTTTGATCAGATTACTCACCTCCTGTCAGCGACCATAGAGTGAACTACAATGGTATACTGGAGTAAGATGGCCGTCGGTGACTGTACCTCGGGTCATCTAGTCTTTCTTATCGATGTCTATGGTCCAGATCTTTACAAACATGCGGTCTGACCCGTTCTCCTGTTCTCCTCCGCAGACGTTCTGGACGAGGAGAAGTTCAGCGTGGAGCTCGTGGTCCAGTGCATCAGAACCTCCAACGCGCCACAAACGCATCACCACGCTCTGCTGCTGCTGGGCTCTGCCGCCGCCATCTTCCCTGTGAGTAGTTCACCTTTCACCTTTTAACGAAGAGTCGAACTTTTCAAACAGAAACTCAAAGACGATTAAAAAAGTTTCTTCTGACTGAACCAGAGAAAAAAAGATTTACCGTCGAAGATGAAAACTGAGAAATGAGACGGAAACAAAGTCCAGAGAGAGTAATCTGACATCTTTCCTCCTCCTCCTCCTTCTCCTCCTCCTCCTCCTACAGGAGAAGGTCCTTCACAACATCATGCCGATCTTCACCTTCATGGGGGCGAACATCCTGCGTCTGGACGACTCATACAGCTTCAGGGTCATCGATAAGACGGTTCAGATGGTGATCCCGGCCCTGCTGCAGGTGAGTCTGAACCCTGATCCGGTCCCTGAGGTGGACTCTGAACCCTGATCCGGTCCCTGAGGTGGACTCTGGACAAACATCTGAGTCTGAAGCTCCTCCTCTTCCTCCTCCTCTTCCTCAGGCCCACAGGCTCTCTGACGGCAGCTCCTCCCCTCACATGGTTTCCATGGTGACTAAGATCCTGCACGTGTTTGCCGACGCCCTTCCTCACGTACCGGATCATCGCCGCATCCCGATCCTCAGTCAGCTGGTGACCACGCTCGGCCCCGCCCACTTCCTCTGGGTCCTGATGCTGCTCCTGTTCAAGCTGCACGCCACGCAGAGCGCCGGCACCGCCACCGAGAAGGTGAAGCGTTTTCTTTTCGTCAACGTTCAGCTTTCGATGAAAACATCGAATTATTTAAACTTTAAATTTGTTTTATTTTGTAAAATTCAGACTCTGATTTTTGTACGATAAAAACAAATTTATTTTTATTTGCGTTTTATTTTTTCTGTTTTAAAACATTTCAAACTTTTTCTTTGAGGCCTCGTTAACCCTTCGCTCTCCTGTGTTTTTCTCACAGGACGCAGCTCTGGACACAGACGTGGACTTCTGGATCTCCCTCTGCTGTCAGTTCGAGGTGTCGGATCAGCTGACCTCGATCATCAACATCCTCTCCTTCCTGCTGCAGCTTCCTGACGACAAAGACGAAGGTGAGACGAGGACGGTCCTCCTGAGGTGGTTCTAACGGTCTTTAACGGACCTCCTGATCTGACTGAAGCCGACGCTTTTCTCTCCTCTGCAGCTCAGCAGAAACGCCCCGTCAGCCGGCGAGGAGCGGTGAAGAAGAAGGAGGAGGAGGAGGAGAAGGTGGAGGAGCTGATCTTCAGGGTGGAGGCTCACAGCAGCAAAGAGCTGCGACACTTTAAGTTCCTCTGCGTCTCCTTCATGGCTCAGCTGCTCGGCTCCAACAGCTTCATCGGGAAGGTGAGGGACGGTTCAGGGGGGCGTTCACGACCCGCCGTCATGTTCATCAGAGAAACCAGCAGGAGGTTTTTAGAGGAGGGGACGTGGACTCAGAGACTTCTGGTCCTGGTCCTGGTCCTGAACAGTTTCATCCTGTTTAATTAAAGAAAGTTTTGCGTTTATATAGAAAACCTGAAGTCAAAGGTCGCCTCAGGGGTTCCTCAGGGATCTGAGTTTGGCCCACTCTTCTTTAATATAAACATGAATACATAAATATGTAATATGCATAATATAAAAGAACATAATTATAATATGATTATAATAGAAAAAATATCATATAATAACATAATTATAATATAAATGGAATAATATGAAATAATTACAATACAAATATAATGATATATAAAGTACTTATAATAAAAATTTGATAATATAATATAATATAACATAAAGGTAATCATATAAAATAATAATAATATAATGTAAAATTAATAATATAATTTAACATAACATAATTATAATATGATTATAATAGAAATAATATAATATGACATAATTATGATATAAATGGAATAATATGAAATAATTACAATATAAATATAATGATATAATATAAAGTACTTATAATAAAGATTTGATAATATAATACAATATAACATAATTATAATATAAATATAATATAAAGGTAATGATATAAAATAATAATAATATAATGTAAAATTAATAATATAATTTAACATAACATAATTATAATATATATAAGATAATATAAGCTAACTATAATATAAATAATGTAATATAATATAACATTATAATATAAATGTAAAATAAATAATATAATTTAACATTATATAATTTATTATAAATATAATATAAATAAAATAGGTTGATGTAATATAGCATAATTATTATATAAGTATAATATAATATAATATAATGTAATATAATATCTCCGTTTCAGGTCGCAGACGGCGGTGATGATGTCGACGAGTCTCTTCAGCAGCTGCAGCAAAAGTGAGTTCAAACCGAGACGTTACAGCGTCAGAGCTGTGTGTGTGTGTGTGTGTGTGTGTGTGTGTGTGTGTGTGTGTGTGTGTGTGTGTGTGTAAGGGGGGGTTTAACGTGTGAGTGTGTGTGTGTGTGTGTGTGTGTGTGTGTGTTTCAGACTGCTGGAGGAGGTCCTGCGGTACATCCACAGTGTCGCTCACTGTGTGGAGGAAAACGCCGACAAACCGACCGCCAAGTTCTGGAGAGTTCTGCTGAACAAAGCCTACGACGTCCTGGATAAGGTCTGACTTTACGCCGCTTTACTGTAGAGATGGAGGTGGGCGGGGCTCAGGTGGGGATCAGGGTTCAGGTGATCATGCTGTTTCCTCCCGTCATCCAGGTGAACTCCTTGTTACCAACGGACACCTTCATCACGGTGATGAGGGGGCTGATGGGTAATCAGCTGGCGTCTGTGAGGAGGAAGGCCATGGAGCTGCTGAACAACAAGCTGCAGCACAGACACACCTGGGACGAACAACAGGTGACTGAGGGGCGGGTTATTTTCAGCTGTAGGGGGCGCCAGTCTACGAGTCTGGGATAATTTAGGTGTAAATTAACTTGTTAACTAACTCATTAACTAACTTGTTAATTAACTAATTAACTAACTTGTCGACTAACTTGTTAATTAACTTGTAAATTGATTTGCTAACTAACTTGTTGATTAACTAACTCAAGAACTGACTTGTGAATGAACTTGTTAACCTACTAATTTATTTACTTGTTGATTAACTGACTTGTTAACTAACTCGTTAATTAACTGACTCGTGTAATAATTTATTTACTAACTCATTAATTAACTTGTGAAATAACTACTGTGCTAACTAACTTGTTGATTAACTAACTCAATAACTGACTTGTGAATTAACTTGTTAACGTACTCATTTATTTACTCGTTAATTAACTGACTCGCATAATAATTTATTTACTAACTCATTAATTAACTTGTGAAATAATTACTGTGTTAACTAACTTGTTAATTAACTAGATGGTGTACTCGTCAACTGCCTCATTAACTAACTAGTTAAATAACTCGGTAACTGACTTCCATTATAAATCATTCAATAACTCGTTAATTAACTCGTTTATTTACTTGTTTATTAACTCATGAACAAACTGCAATAAATTAAGTAACTGACTCGTTGACTGATTCGTTAACCATTTTTGTTTACTAACTTACTGACTTGTTACGTTGATTGTTAAATAACTCGTTAACTTACTCGTTGACTAACATGTAAATAAACTAATTAAGCGTTGCGTCTCCTTGTCATTAATTTTCTTCTTAAATTGAAACTCAAACTTTTCTCCGACAGGTCGCCGCTCTGTTACAGCTGACAGGCGACCTGCTGAGCATCGTGGGTAAAAGTCAGAGTCAGCTGACGGAGGAGGAGGCGGAGCACGCCATCAACCGTCAGACAGCGCTCTACAGCCTCAAGCTTCTCTGTCGCAGTTTCGGCTCCGACCACCAGGAGGCGTTTGTCCCTGTGCTGCTGCAGACGGTGGAGGTCGTCATGACGCCCGAGGAGGAGAAGAACGTGACGGGCAGCGCTCTGCTGTGCGTCGCCGAGGTCGTGAGCGTGCTCAAAGCGCTCGCCATCCCACAGTTACCGAGGTCAGAACGGGAAAAATGATGATTCAGTCAGTCCTGCCCTCTGATTGGTCAGCTGTTCACAGGTGTGTTTTACCTGCAGGTTGATGCCGGCGGTGCTTCAGACTCTCACAGACAGGAAGGAGCTGCTGACCAATGAGATCTACCTGCTGAGCGCCGTCACCGCCCTGCAGCGCGTCACGGAGACGCTGCCGCACTTCATCAGCCCTTACCTGCAGGACATCACGGCGCAGGTAAAGACTCACCTGTCGACGGCGTGAAGCTGAAGGTCGTTTGTTCTGATTGGATCATTTTGAGCTGCTGTCGCTCCTGCAGGTGTGTCGTCTGACTCGGCTGGTACAGTCCTCCTCCTCCTCCTCCTCCACCACCTCCACCCAGCTGTCCACACGTCTCGCCTCCCTCAGGAAAACCCTCGCCACCAATCTGCCCCCCAGGGTCCTACTGCCCACCCTCAGCAGGTGCTACAGCTCCATGGTGGTGGACAAAAAGGTGAGACACTCCTGATCCTTTCTGAAGAATCCGTCTCCGTATGTTCGACCCCGCCGTGGACACGAGCTCCGTCCACTTCAGACCGTCTCATTGGTCTTTCTCCTGCAGGCTCAGCTGGGGGCGCTGATGAGCATCCTGAAGGAACACATCAGTCACATGGAGAAGGACCAGCTCAACGTCCACCAATCAGAGCTCACCTCCTTCTTCCTCACGGCGCTCGACTTCAGGGCTCAGCACTGTCAGGTGGGTCGCGGGTTCATCTCTGCTGCATTCAGGGAAGTCCGAAAAATTATGATTTTTACATTTTTATTTATTTGGATCCAAATTAGCTCCGACCGAAGTAGCAGCTCCTCTTCCTGGGGTCCTGGGTCTCGACCTGCTGTGACCACTTCAGTCTGCTGTCTAAAACAAACTAAGGAGTTTGACTTCTCCGACTTGTTCAGTGGACACGTCTTTAATTGATCGGTTTATCTTTGGTTTGTCTTTCAATTCAGAATTTGATCCAAAAACAATAATCTTTGTTTTAGATGAATTAGGAACAAACTTATCACGCCAAACCCAGCCACGCCTTTAACGCAGTCCCTTATCTAATCACTTGATGAATCCTTCACCGATCTTTCTGGTAGATAAAGAGTTGTATCATGTGCGTACATAACCACTCTATCTTGATTTAAAACCAGAGAAAGGTCCTTAGTGAATGTAGAGAAGAGTAGCGGCCCCAGGAAGCCTCCCTGAGGTACGCCACATTGAAAATGTTTGATATTTGAGAAGCTCCCGTCGAGCTCTGGTCGTCACCGTGACTCTGAGACTCTCCTCAGAACGTCTGTCGTCATCTTGTCGTTTCTTCAGGGCGATCTGGAGAAGACGGCGGAGGTGGAGGGTCATGTGATCGACTGTCTGGTCTCCATGGTGATGAAGCTGTCCGAGGTGACGTTCAGGCCGCTCTTCTTTAAGGTGAGCTGTTCAGACTGAAGGTCGTTTTTGGCGTGTTCTGGACTCCTGCTGACGTTCTCCTCCTCCTGTTCCTCCTGCAGCTGTTGGACTGGAGTAAATCCGACTCTAAAGATCGTCTGCTGACCTTCTACCGTCTGTCCGACCGCATCGCCGAGCGCCTCAGAGGACTCTTCGTCCTGTTCGCAGGAAACCTGGTGAAACCGTTCGCAGACCTGCTGAGACTCACCAGCTCCTCAAAGACAGGTGAGACGGCGGCAGGGGGCGGAGTTAAGGCGGCATGGTTAGATTCAGGTGGCGTCGTCTCTGAGGTCAGATTATTATTAACTTCTAAATGAGTTTGATCAGTTTTATTGATCGATTCTTATCAGTTATCAGTCCAGGAGAAGCAGTATCGACCTTTTAAACTTAATTTCCAGATTTTTTTTGTGTTTCCTGCTGAATTTGTTTTTCTTTTTACGGTAAATGAACGACGATAATTATAGGTTTAAATTTTGTGCTGAAGTTTGTTTTTTTGGTGAAAACAGAAGTTAAAACATCGGAAAAAGAAAAACATGATCAGTTTTCTGAGAATCTATCTCAGCCCATAAATGACTCATACCTTCATCAGAGGAGTCAACGCCTCACGCTCCCTCCTCACTTCCTGTTTTTTAATTAGCGTCCTCACTTTCTCCTCTGTTCTGTCGTCAGACGAGCTTCTGTTCCCGACCGAAGACAAAGTGGCTCTGCTGCTGCGGCTCGTCCTCGACTGTCTGCACAAACTCTTCCTCTACGACACGCACAGATTCCTCAGCAAGGAGCGAGCCGACGCCCTGCTGGGGCCGCTGGTCGACCAGGTGAGACCCTGACACCTGTCCAACACCTGTCCTACACCTTTAACGGTCATAAATTAACCCATGAAGACCTGAACCCTGTCTGAGACACGCCTCTGAAATCCTGAGGGCCATTTTGAGAAGGGCCCCCAGATCCTGAAATTTACAAAATCACTGATATCTCATCCTCTGTAGCAGGTAGAAACAAACTTTAAAAAGTATTGAGAGCTCATACATGTGGCTTTAAAGATAACTCTCTTGATTATTGAAAACCTTGAACAAACTCTAATGAAATAAAGCAGCTGTATAAATAAAAGTAAAGACTCTGAACTGGAGAAAAACAAACTGTTTACTTTCTATAAAACAAGTGGCACTCATGATAAAGTGTCCATCAATACAAATGTTAACATAAAAACTAGTGTTGAAAGGGTATACAGCTGCCCCAGACACTAACTAAAGAACTTTAGGGGATCAATGAAAACTGATCAATAATGTTTGTCTTATTGATCAACCTTAGTACTATTATTAGAAATCAATTTTAGGTCTTTTGGTCACATGACAGTGAAGCTATTGAAGGAAAACAGCCTTTTCTGAGAACATCAACCGGTAATTTATTGACGGTCCCTTATTCAACACCGACGTTGACAGTGAGGGTGTCGAGTAGATTTAACCGCGCTGCTGTTGTTATTCCCGGTTATGGAGAGTGAGGAGACACCGGTAGATCCTCAGAGAATGTCCGTCAGATATCCAACCTGAAACTAACTTCACCGCCGTATTTACAGGAAAATATATCCAACCTGAAACTAACTTCACCGCCGTATTTACAGGAAAATATATCCAACCTGAAACTAACTTCACCGCCGTATTTACAGGAAAATATATCCAACCTGAAACTAACTTCACCGCCGTATTTACAGGAAAATATATCCAACCTGAAACTAACTTCACCGCCGTATTTACAGGAAAATATATCCAACCTGAAACTAACTTCACCGCTGTATTTACAGGAAAATATATCCAACCTAAAACTAACTTCACCGCCGTATTTACAGGAAAATATATCCAACCTGAAACTAACTTCACCGCCGTATTTACAGGAAAATATATCCAACCTGAAACTAACTTCACCACCGTATTTACAGGAAAATATATCCAACCTGAAACTAACTTCACCGCCATATTTACAGGAGAATATATCCAACCTAAAACTAACTTCACCGCCGTATTTACAGGAAAATATATCCAACCTAAAACTAACTTCACCACTGTATTTACAGGAAAATAAACATTTGTTGATTTTTTTATTCGCACGTGACCTTAAATACATCTGACAGTTCGCACACGTCTATTTTTAGTCGCTAATGCGAGTGAAACGGTCTCACTGTTGAGGCCTGTGTTTCAGACTCACAGACTCTTCATCCTCTCTGCACACTGAGATCTTAATTGACCGTCTGAACAGGAAGTCAGTAGCGTGTCCGTCTGACCCGTCGGTCTCTGATGGTTTGAGGATTCTGAGAATTAAGAGTCATGAGGAAGGTCCCGCCCTCTGGTCCGGTTTATTTAGCGGACTTCTCTTTTTCTGTGAAAATTGATTAAATCTATTTCTTAGACAGATGACTCAGTGTGTGTGTGTGTGTGTGTGTGTGTATGTGTGTGTGTGTGTGTGTGTGTGTTTGTTTCAAACAGCTGGAGAACATGGTGGGTGGAGTCCAGGTGTACCAGCAGAGGGTGACTCAGCACCTGGTCCCGTGTGTGGGTCAGTTCTCCGTGGCGTTGGGTGACGATACTCTGTGGAAAACCCTCAACTACCAGATCCTGCTGAAGACCAGACACACCAACGCCAAGGTGACACACACACACACACACACACACTGTGGGCCCTGAGCGTTGCCTCACAGGCTCTTCGCAGACACTCTCAGTCAGACGTGAAGGTTTTAAGGACTGTCGTTCTGTTACTGCGGTCCAAGGTTTAAGCCCCTCCCCCTCCTCCCCTCTCAGGTGCGTTTCTCCTCCCTCTTGTTGCTGATGGAGCTGGCGTCCAAACTGAAGGAGAACTACATGGTGCTGCTGCCAGAGACCATCCCGTTCCTGGCTGAACTCATGGAGGGTGAGGAGTCTCTGCGGAGGCGCTGATCTTCTTCTTCTCCTTCTTCTTCTTCTTCTTCTTCTTCTTCTCCTCCTTCTTCTTCTTCTTCTTCTTCTTCTTCTTCTTCTTGATCAGCTGTTTCTGTGTTCGGTCGTCACAAACATGTTTTAGCTTCTTTTAAGTATCTGAGGTTTCACACAGCGAGCAGATCTCTGCTGAGTTTATTTATACAGAGCTGATGATTTAAGTTTAAAATAAACCTGCAGTTCCCAGAGTGTTTCATAACGTGAGTCCGTCCCCATAGAACCTCATGTTAAAGTTCGACAGCAGAAATAAACATCAGCCTAAAACAAACCCAGTTTCAACTCGAGGGGATTGATCCTCTAGATCAGTGGTTCTCAGCTGGTCTTACTCGGAGACCTACTTTTTCCCATGATCCTTCAGTCATGACCCACCTTTATAAAATTCAAACCAAGAAAATTTATTTCTTATAAAAAACATTTAAAGACTCAAATCTTTGACATAAACTCAGTTTTTTATTGAGTAAAGTGCATTTCATTTTATAGTCCGAAAAATACGGTATTTACTTTTTTGACCAGCTGTTCGTGACCCATCCAGGACGTGTTCATGACCCACTTTTGGGTCAGGACCCACCAGTTGAGAACCACTGCTCTAGTGGAGACTCGTGGTACTGCAGGTTGAGCTTTTGAGCTCAGGTCAAAGGTCAAACTCCTGCGGGTCATTCAGCACAGATCATAACATGCGGTCTGATGTTCTGGTGTTTCAGATGAGTGTGAGGAGGTGGAGCAGCAGGTCCAGAAGGTGGTTCAGGAGATGGAGAACATCCTGGGAGAACCTCTACAGAGCTACTTCTAACACACACACACACACACACACACACACACACACACACACACACACAGAGTTTTGATATTCAGTCATTGTTTGTTTGTTTTATAAAGAAGTAAAAACTGAACCCGCTCTGTTTTGTTTTCATTAAAGGTGTTTTTTTTTTCAATTCAGAATAAAACTGTAAAATAAATTAAAATTAAAAATTAGATTTTTGAAGTTAGGGCGACTCAGAAAAGGAAGAGATGTACTCTCTCCAACGTCCAGCAGGGGGCGTCTACTCCTCAGCTGATTTACCCCCTTCAGTGTTCCTGATGAGTCTGCGGTCTCAGTCTCTAGTTCAGACACGTGAACTTGAATGGTTACGATCAGCTACGATCGGAGGATACGACCTTTTCGTAGACGTTCAGGATGAAGGTGGAAACTGGGGGTTAGAGCCTCTAAACATCAGCAGGTGTCTCCAGACTTTAATCTCCCAAGTATTTGGTCATAATTCGGACTTGGACTCGGGAGTTTGTGGTCTGTCTCTGAGCTCTGACAAGTTTTTTTATTTTAATAAAAATAAAAAAGGTTAATTAAATAACTCTGATTAAAAAAGGTAAACTAAAAATATTTTACTCTATAAAAATAAAAAAGGTAAACTGAATTTTTTTATTTATTAAAAATAAAAAAGGTTAATTAAATAATTCTGATAAAAAAGGTAAACTAAAAATATTTTACTCAATAAAAATAAAAAAGGTAAACTGAATTTTTTTATGTAATAAAAATAAAAAAGCTACGCTGAATAATCTTTATTGATTGTAAATTTAGTTTCTGATTTAGTGATTTTCGGTTCAGACCCTTTGTTGCTGTAGTAACAGTGCAAAGTGTGTTTTTTTTCCGTGGTCCTGCAGAAACCCGGTCCACATCGACCCGGTCCAGCAGGTCAGCGTGTCCCGCCTCCTCCCTGTCTGTCTGCAGCTGAACAACAATAACACAATAACACATACTTCCCATTGTTTGGACCTCACCTCAGATATCATCTGACTCTCACCCGTGTCTTAATGTGTGACTTCCTGTTTACAGACTTTCACAATTAGAGTTTGTGGAGATGTTGCCAGTAAACCTGAGCTCAACTTTCAGTATGAGGACAGATCCGTTTCTTTCAGAGAGGCATTTCTCAGAACGAGGTGGAGGACTGGACTTCCTGTTCTTCAGGACCAACCAGCTGACTCCAACTTTTTCGGTTTAATGAGCGATAATTTGATGTTTCAGTGTCGGCGTGCTGAGACTCCTGCTGGACCTGGTACCTCAGGGTCAGATCATCTCTCCTGATGATTCACAGTTTGATTATTTTAGACAGTTTTTATTGGAAACCTTAAAAAAGCTCAAACTTGCTGATTTTAGAGGCTGGTTCTTCAAACTTCCTGCCTCTCCCTTCAGTAAAGAGATGGTGACGTTTGTTGAGATGTGAGACTGATTTTCATAGTTTCGCCGTTTCTCACCGTGGCGGTTTATCGCAGAGGTGTGACTTTATCTGTCACTTCCTCTCTGTTGTTTCAAATAAACTTCTTTATTCTTTTAAAACAACTTTCCATCATTAATTTCAGACTTTTCTCACAATATAAACAAAAAAAAAAACTTTTCCTCTGAAGACAAAAACTTATTTTTATTATCTTTACTGTCTTTGTTGGTGTAATGATTAACTTTTATTCTCCTGATTGTAGAATGAGAAAATCATGACTTTTCTCATGACTCAGGTCCTCTACACTGACAGAGGATTTATAATAACATGAACCTTTCCCACATTTTTAATCATTTAAATCATATCAGTGTCTTTTATTTTGAAACGATTTGACATTTCACATCCTCAAAGAGACCTCAAGTAAAAAAGTACTTTTCATTTCATTAATGAAAATTAAAAGACAAACTGAATTATTCTGAAAGTGTAGATTAAGATTAAAAAAAACATCAAATTATTCTGATTTAATAGAGATAAAAAGACTAACTGAAATATTCAGATTGATTACAAATAAAAATACAAAACACAAACTGATTTTTTTATTAAAAAAAAAAAAAAAAAGGTAAACCTAATTGTTTTGGTTTAAAAAAATTAAAGGTAAACTTTTTTATTTTTATTTGTTTGTTCTATTTAATAAAAATAATAAAAGGTAAGCCAAATTATTTGTATTTAATAAAAAAAAACATATTTTTGATTTAATAAAAATAAAAAAGATAAACAGATTTTTTTTAAAGGAATAAAAAAGGTAAAGTGAATAATCTTTATTGATTATAATTAAGTTTCTGACTTTCTGTTCCTGTTGTTACCTTGTATATATATCTATGAGAAAGGCGGTACTATATATATGTTTGTTTGGTTTTAACGGTCTGAAGTTTAAATTTTTGACAAACACCTTAAAAAAAAGAACCCTCACTGACGTCACGCCCCCCTCCGCCCACGGTTGGCGGGTGCTGACGTCACGGGTCGTTTATAGGACGGTCCGGTCTCGAGCCGGTGACAGTGTGCGCGTGCAAAGGTGAGACGGAGCGAGAGTTCGTCAAGATGAGGAGCGCGAGGATTCTGCTGCAGCGCGTGAACGGACGGAGCCTTCATCATCACCACCATCATCATCATCATCTTCACTCTCAGCCGGTGTCTGTGGGGATCATCGGAGCTCCTTTCTGCAAAGGACAGGTGTGTGTGTGTGTGTCTGTGCGTGCGCGTATATGTGGATGTGTGTGTGCGCGAGCTCTGACTCTTCCTCTTCCTCCTCTTCAGCCTCGCGGAGGGGTCGAGAGAGGACCAGACCTGATCAGGGCTGCAGGACTGCTGAGCAGACTGACCGAGCAAGGTGTGTGTGTGTGTGTGTGTGTGTGTGTGTGTGTGTGTGTGTGTGTGTGTGTGTGTGTGTGTGCGCACGCCCCTCTGTGTGTGTGTGTGTGTGTGCACGCATGCGTGTGCGCGTGTGCCTCCCTGTTACTCTTAAATGTTTAAAAAGCCTCAGAGTTCCTGTTTGTGTTTGTAGAGTGAAGGTTTGTTTTCCTCTAATTATTCTGGATTAAGTTTTTTTTTTATCACTAATATTCAAACTGGAGTCTGAGTTCTCCATCAGGACTGTAGAAATACATTTAATTAGTAAAAATTAAATAAGTTGACTGACTCTGGGAGCTGAGTTAAATGTCAGACATTAACCTGATCAGTCTGAGACTCTGCAGCAGCAGCAGCAGCTGGTCGTCGGTGAGGCTGTCTGACTAATGTGGCGCAGTCAAAGTGAAAGTGAGATGAGTATCTCTGAAGTGGAAATAACCACGAGCAGAAAAAAAAGACCTCAGTAAAAGTATTTCAAACTTTAAAATCATAGAAAAACATGAAGAACACATTTATAAAACAAGACCTGATCACGCCCCTCCACGACTTTAACGTCATTTTGAATTAATTTAATATTTGTACTGAATCTGAGACCTTCAATATTTCCATCTGTCCACACTCTTCCATGATTCCCCCAAAATATGATTAAATTTGACTTTTTTATATTAATGGAGAGATTTTTAAGTTGAAACCCTTTTATTTACTCCTTCATATTATTGATTATGAATACAGGTCCGAGTACAGATCCCTGTGGTACACCAGGTTAGAGCGTGTTAGAGTGGTTACAGTGTGTGTGAAGAACAACCATTAATGACTAAACTCTCACTCATAACTGATTCAATCAATCAATCATTCAATCAATCAGTCTTTATTTATATATCACTTTTCATACACGACCAGGTACCACAAAGTTCTTTACACAGAAAAAGGAATAAAAGAAACAAAGAAAACCCAAATCTACCTAAACCCCTCATTCCCACCATCTGAACAGAAACAGGATTAAAATATATCTACTTACTTGACTTGTTTTAAAACTCAAGATAAGGAAACAGTGGAGGTTAAAAATCTAAAAACAAAGTAACATAAAATGAAATTTAAGAAATAATCAATAAAATGAAATAAAAAACAACAGTAAGAGATCTTAAAATAAGAGCACTGAAACAGCTCAATAAAAGACGATCCTGTCATTAAAACTAGAAAGAGATAAATGCTAAAAGACTTCAACAAAGTTAATGATATAAAATGTAGTTAAAAGTAAAACTATAAAGGTTTTCACCGTTTCAAAATCCACAATGTTGTAATTGGTGTAACATCATGAATGTGTTAAAATAATTTGATAAGAAATAACAAAGGCCCTCGTCCAGATCCCCACCCCCCGGTTCCTCTCAGACCTGGTACAGCAGCTGAACTCGCTGTTGTGGTTTTGTTGTTTCCTGTTCAGCCTCTCTATCTGATGATGTCGTGACGCTATCGTTGTTGTTGTCGTGCGGCGGCGCAGCGGCTTTAATTTCACTTTCACTATGAGGACAGGTTTTCTTTCTCCATGAGAAGAAGAATTTTCATCACTCAGACACCTGTGAGGGGACTTCGAATAATAATAATGAAAATAATAACTTTATTTAAAAACAGACGTTTACAAAGTGTTTTGACATATAGTCATAAAATACATGAAAAAAGACATAAAAACAAAAAGCTCTGTTAAAACAGAATTAAAGGTTTTCATTAGAAACCCAGACAATACAAGAACCCTAAAACCAGTTCAAAGCCGAGCTGCTGCCTTCTAAACCAGTCTGGGGAGGGAGGGTCGAAAATTGAAAAAAAATTCAACATAAAAAAAAAACTGTCAAAAAATTCAGTGTCAAAAAATTTTGTGTAAAACAATCAAATAAAGTCAGACTGGTCATGTGACACTGACCCCACTGGAAGACTGAGGAATCGATTTCTTCCCCAGATTACCCGGATGTTGAGTCCGTCTGTTTTACACAAAGTTTTTTGACAGTGAAGTTGAATTTTTACTACTAAATATTTTGAGAGACTGATTTTTTTGACACTGAATTTGTTTTATCATTGTGAAAAAAAAAAAAGTGTAAGAAATGAAACTGCGTGCCTGAAATTCAGTAGATTTGAAATTCAAAGTCTGATTTTGATGCAAAAAAAAATTCAGCTTTAGAAATTCAGATTCAAATCAGATGGCACAGATTGACTTCCGTAGTGATTTCTTATTTAAACCAGGGAGGAGAGAGTTACAGAAGTCCGACCTTGAGAGAAGGAGAGCGTGGATTATTTTTTGAGATCTGGTTGGAGTGGGTGGAGAAGGTGAGGTCTGAATCAAAGGTTACTCCCAGAAACCTTCGATGTGCGCGTGACTCCTCCTCCTGGTGATCCAAACGTTTTCAGACGTTTCTCACTGACAGACTTATCGGTGACTTATTGGACGCTCAGCAGCAGGTTATTCTGTCTGTAAAATCTGTTTACTTTGAATTTCATCATCATCAGAATTTTCCACACAGATGACCTTTTACACCTTAATGTTTACTCAGAGAGCATTCTGGGAAAATACGGCTGTGAGGAGGTTTTCATGGACTCTACGCAAAATCAGAGAAATGTGGGATTAAAGGGCCAGTCTGCTAAAAATCAAACAGGGAAAAGTTTCCTCATGTTGTAACAGTAGAAGTGTGTGTTTCAGGCTGTGCAGTGAAGGATTATGGGAACGTGGCGTTTGAGGACGTAGCGGACGCCAAGCCGCTGGGTTTGCTGAAAAACGTGCAGGCGGTGGGCAGCGCCAACCAGAGGCTGTCTGAGGCGGTGCAGGCCGTCAAGAAGGACGGACACACGACGGTGATGCTGGGAGGAGACCACAGGTGTGTGTGTGTGTGTGTGTGTGTGTGTGTGTGTGTGTGTGTGTGTGTGTGTGTGTGTGTGGACTACTGTCTGAATAACAGAAACACGTTAAATCAAACACTGTTACCTCAAACTGACACCTTTAATTCAACACCTTTAACACAGTCATGTTGTCTGACGGTCAGTGAATGCATCACCGCCCAACGCCATCACAAACCTGACAAACTGACAGGAAGTGATGAGGCAGAAAAGTCAGAGTGTTGCAGATTTAAGGCTCTGCGGTTTCAAATGAACACATGATACCTGTGACTGAACACGTACTGTGAGGTATGAGTCAGTACAAGAACAATTTATTCTTACAACAGTCAGTGAACGCATCGTGGGTTAGGTGAAATTTATTTTAGTAACGGTCAGAAGTTGCATCACCATTTATGTGCAATTCAGTCAGTCAGTGAACGCACCACGATCTGGATCTCTTCCATTTTTATAACAGTCAATAAATGATTCACCATTTGGTGGAAATTTATTATTCAACAGTCAGTGAAGGCATCACCGGTTAAGAAGGCACGCAGCTTTTTTTTCTGCATATTTGATGAGTCCGGGGGGGTTTAACTGAGTTTTATAAAAAAATAAAACATGAATATTGAAAACAACACAGAGGAGGAGAAAACGAAAGATTCAGCAGTTCATCAAAATTCTGTGGAACAGGAGGAGTGAATGAAGTGAGAGGATGAACATTTAGTGTTTAAAATCAGAGTTTGGAGTGAGAGGAGGGAAAAAAACCTTTGAGTTTAGACATGTGTGTGTGTGTGTGTGTGTGTGTGTGTTTCTTGTGTGTGTGTGTGTTTCTTTCACACGTGGAAACACACACACACACACACACACACACGGCTGAGTTTCTCACTCTGACTTTACTCTGAACGTTCTGACGTTAAAACAGAGAAGATAGTTCTCCGCAGGTGGAGGTGATCATGTTGATATCATCAGTTCTCTCAGACACGACCTGAAGTTATTGTACATAATAACTCTTGAATCTGTCCGACAGTCAGTGAACGCAGCACAGTGTCCCTCTCTGGTTTCTGAACTCTGACATGATGAGAAGAAGTTAAACAGTCGATGGCGTTCAGTCTGTCAATCATCCACAGACTGGACCCCAAACCAACATCTGGACCTGACCTTCAGCCTGTAGAGTCTGAGCAGGTGTGATCAGAGCTCAGCTGGACCAGAATCAGAGATATGAACCAGGAGGAGAAAAAACAAGAGACTGAGATCTTCACGGAGTCGGAGGACGTGACTCTTCACGGTGGTTTCACTCACATGTTCACGTCTTTGTGTGTTTGTCAGTTTGGCCATCGGCTCCATTCACGGTCACTCAGCGGCGGTGGGAGATCTGAACGTCATTTGGGTCGACGCCCACGCTGACATCAACACGCCGCTGACCACGAATACAGGAAACCTGCACGGACAGCCCATGTCCTACCTGCTGAAGGAGCTGCACTCCAAGGTCAGGTCATGGTTCAGGTCTACGGTTCAGGTTCAAGATCAGGAACTTTAGGGCTCTCCAAACTAAAGTCTGATTTGGTTCCTACAGGTCCCCCCTCTGCCAAGCTTCTCCTGGATCAAACCCTGTGTGTCGGCCCAGAACCTGGTCTACATCGGACTGAGAGACGTGGATCCTGGAGAGCAGTGGGTTTGGTTCACAATCCTTCATGGTGGAGATCTTAGGATAGAAAAACAACAAAATTCACTTCAATGGAGATCGGAGGCAGAGTCGCTGCTTTCTGTGGATGATGTGGTTCTTCAGAGATATAAAACAAAACAACCAATCAATCAATCAATCAATCAATCAGATATTTATTGATCTCTGTTCATTTCACAGCAGTTTCAGCTGAAATGATAAACTCTCTCTCTCTCTCTGACAGTTACATCCTGAAGATGTTGGGCGTGAAGGTCTTCTCCATGTCGGAGGTGGATCAGCTCGGCGTGTCCAGAGTGATGGAGGAGACGTGTGACTTCCTGTCCTCCAGGTGAGCTCTCACTCTTCATCACTGGAGCTGCACCGCCACCTTTAAAAAAAACACACAACAGGTGCTAACGCTGATTTCTTCAGGGGGAACCGACCGATCCACCTGAGCTACGACATCGACGCCATCGACCCCTCCATCACTCCTGCGACAGGGACCCCCGTGGTGGGCGGGCTCACCTACAGAGAGGGGCTCTACATCACGGAGCAGCTCTGTCAGACAGGTACGACTCGAACCCTCAAGGAAGGTAAACGCGGTCTCCGGTTCTCCTCTCACCCGTGTCCGTCCTGCAGGTCGTCTGTCGGCGGTGGACATGGTGGAGGTGAATCCTCTGCGGGGTCAGAACCCGGAGCAGGTTCAGTCCACGGTCAGCATGGCGGTGGACCTGCTGCTCGGCTGTTTTGGACGCCTCCGTGAGGGAAACCACCCCAAAGATTACCAGCTGCCTGAACCGTGACGAGAGCACGGGACGGCGCCGGCGTTTCCTGCTGCACTGATCGACCCCTGAACTGTTACAGGTCACAGCCTTATTACCCAGAATGCCTTTAGCTTGATGTCAGTCACATTTACACTCTGTCTAAAAAAAGCACTTAAAACCAAAGATCAACAAAAACATCAGATTTTGAAGAAGCACTGATCACTTTTTATTGATTAATCTGCTGTATCAGTTTCTCTGTCATTGATTATTTTGTCTATTAATAAAAAAAAGAAAAAAAATGTCAAATTAACTTTTTTATTTTTTTTTAAAAAACATGTTCATTAATTTTCAATGAACAATAAAATGTAAAGGAAAAATATTTAAATATATATATATATATACTACACGCCCAGAATGATTATGTTAGAGTATCTATGGAGGGACACCAGGGTGAAATTGATGTGGTTTTTTTTGTGAGTAACAGAGTCTGTGGAGCTCTTTATAGATTAAATTAAACTTTATAATCATTGAACACAGAACAAGTACAGGAACAACGAAATGAAGTTTAGCATCAAACCAGAAGTGCAAGGCATGTACATATGGGCAGTGCAGGTATGAATTAAATATATTATATATATATATATATATATATATATTTATATATATATATATATATATATATATATATTTATATATATATGTGCAATGAATATGCTGAAAATATATACACGGTGTTGGTTACTGCAGGTATGAATAGGCTATACAACAAAAACATAAATATCTAATTATGTGGATATTATCTATATATACAGTAAACTGATGAGTGCAGCTGTGAAAATGAGAAAATGCTGTTAAACAGCAGGTGTGTTGAAGAATATAAACAGGAATATATTTAGGAGTATGAGTAGGAATATGTTCAGTTATTAAATAAATTTACCTTTTTAATACTGTATTAGGTATGTACCTGTTGTTAACTGAACAGTTTAGAACATTTCATAGACATTCTCCCCAAATCTAATCCGTTATTTCCATATTTAACTCATCTGTGAACACTTTTTTATAAGCTGCTGAATTCACTGGAGCTCCATCATGGAGCATTCGATAGTAAACAGAGACTGTCCGAGGAGTGCCCGGGTCCAGATTATTAATGTGTTTATTCAGAACTTCAACATTTGGTACTTTTTTTTTTAAACAAAATCTCTTATCTGTAAAAACCTGAAAAAAACAGAGGCAGGTATTTCATATATTCACTTTAATCCAAAGAACTCTGAGTCGACCAGGAGACGGAGAGCAGCTGAGTTTTATTCTGAAAATAAACGATTTAAATGTCTGATCTTTTTTACATTCTTCACATTAACGTCAGAAATAAATCACACACTTCACACACACAGACACACACAGACAGACAGGAGTGCATCCTTCACCTCTCTGTTTAAAGGTCAATGTGTGAGAGGCCCACAGGTTTCTGCAGCAGCGACAGGTCTGAGGTCAGCGAGCGAGTCACAGAAATCAACTTTTTAATCGACTTTAAAGAAGAAAAAAGAAAAAAGATAAATCCTTTTTATCAGGTTCAGATGAAAGAGTGAATCATACAAACAGTGACGGACAGAGAAACACAGAAACACACAGACAGCAGGATCTCAACAGACGTTCAAAGAGCCGGTGTGAACAGATCTGCACTCATCAACATCTAGATTAGAGAGAAGTCCACTGTGAGGAGGCTGAGGGACATCTATCTGCTGTTTGTCTTTGCTCAGAGTGAACGACCTGCAGGCTGTGTGTGACCTGACCGAGAGAGAGAGAGAGGTTAAAGTCGACTCACTTCCTCTAAAAAGGACTAAACTAACTTTCTTATCAGTTAACTTTTATATTTCCTGAAAATTAAGTCTTTAGAAAATTATGTGAAATATGTCGAGAATTTCAGGTTTCAGGTGTTTTAAATGACATCAGAGGAATCCCTTTGTCGGGGTAACGTGAGTCTTTTTTATTATTATAGTGAGTTCTCTTCCACACAGGCCGCCATCCTGAGCCGCCGTGTTCCTACAGAAGCTCAGAACGGACAAACTAGTAACACAGGAGTTTTGTTATTTAGCTAATTTAGAAGAGAAGAGTGGTTGTTGTTGTTGTTGTTGTTTGGTAGCTTAGGAGCTGATCAAGTTACAGAAACCCTCGACTGACTGGTTTATAACTTTGGTTTGTTTTCGATAAATAAACGGAGACTAAAGAGGTAAAAATTCACGGCTTTTGGTAACAATAATAATAAAAATAATGAAAATAAATAAGCAGGCATCATTTCCACGTCCTCTACTGGAGTTTGTAACTCATGAAAAAGACCTACAGCTGTGCAGAAAATCCACTCACCTTTATATATTCATGCACAAACTCTCTTCATATGTTTTAAATCATTTTAAATAATATCGTCGTTTTCTCGATGTCTTATCAGTCCTAACTTTAATGTGCACGTGTAGATTTGAACACACAGCTGAGGAACAAACACACACTCTGCAGATAGAAATTTCAGTGTTAGATGTTCGAGTCAGGAAGAGGAGGAGGAGGAGGAGGAGGAGGAGGAGAAGGAGGAGGAGGAGAAGGAGGGCGTGTGTCAGTCGGTCTCCTGGAGGCCACAGCGCCTCCTGAACTCCTGCCCTCGCTCATGGATCCATTTATTAGAAACTAGGAGACAAACAGAGGAGAGGAGGTGAGCTTTAATTTTGATCTTCATCATTTATTTATTTTTTATCTTTAATTCTTTATATTTTTTATATTTATTCATTTATTTTTTTTATCTTTATTCGTTTATTTTTTGTAATATTTATTCTTTTTTTATCTTTTTGATTTGTTCATTTATTTTTTTATCCTTATTTATTTATTTTTTACCTTTATATGTTTTTTTTAAATCTTTATTTATTTATTTTTTATCTCTACTTGTTTATTTATTTTTCATCTTCATTTCTTCACTTATTCTTTTTTAAAAATTTATTTACATGTTTGTTTTTTCTGAACTCACCCCACTTATTCCCGACCAGAACCGGACAGGCGGCGTGTCTGGTTCTGTAGTCTCCCTCTCCGCTGGGGTGCAGATTGTACCAGAACACCGCTGTGCCCTGAACACACAGAGACACGATGAAAAACAAACTCTGTGTTTTTGTTTTTATTAAATATATTTTTATGTTTTTATTTCCAGAGGACCTGCTGATGTTTACCTTTTTGGGCCATATAGCAGCTCCAACGTCAGTGAAGACTGTGGCGCCCCCTGCTGCTACATCACTCATCTGCAGCATGAGAAGGAGACTGAATTACTGATCGATTCTGCAGTTATTGATCGTTTTGAAGTGTGTCAGATTAACTATCGGCTGAAGTTCACCGACATAAAACAGCCAGGTGGCGATTCTGTTTCCTGTCCCCAGCTCCTCAAAGGCGTCCGGCTCGTCTTTCTGAAAAATAACAGACAGAAAAAACTCGAGTACAAAGAAAACAGACGTTTAACTCTGGAGGTGAAGTCTTTGAGTTTTCTTTACCCGTCCAAAGTCAAAGTGAGGCTCGTACTGTCCTCCCACGCCGTAATTGGCCACCTGGAGACACACAGAGAGGAGGTCATCGTCTCAGCTCAGGTCTGAACGAACGCAGCAGCTGCTGACGTGTTTCAGAGACGATGATGAGTCCACATTTACTGACAGACGAGGTCAGGTCTGTGGCGTTCCCCAGGGCTCAGTTTTAGGTCCAACACTTTTTAATCTGTACATGTGGCTGTTGGTGATGTCATCAGGAGGCGCGGCATCAGCTCTCACACGCAGCTTTACGTTACCGTGTCTCCTGATGACCCCGGGCCCATCGATGACCTTCTTAATTGTATTTTAAACGTCCAGGTGTGTGTTGTGTTTGTGTGTATGTTCACTCTTACAGCTGTTCTTTAGATTCACATCCACGCCGTGAAGACACTGATCCGTCCACGGCTGCTGATGCGTGGATGTCTGTCTCCTGATGAACTCACAGAAATCACCAGGTGAGACTCACCTGCAGGTCCTCTGCTGTGCTGACGTCCAGTCCGGTGAGGTCCTCGATCCGCTGGTTTATTCGGTCCACCACCGGGTGTTCGAACGCACCGAGCCAGGCGCTGAGAGACGAGAGCGCCAGGACGTTAAGGTGAGACGGGTCGACACAGAAGAGGAAACGCCGACATGTTTGAGATGTTTTACCTCTTGGAGACTCTGTAGTGGGCCGTGGTCAGTTTTCCCGTCTGAGGGTCATGAACTGTGGCACGCCTGAGCTACCAATCACAGACACAGAGACAGAGAGAGGGGGCGTGTTTGGAGGCGTTGGCGCCGTCACAGGTCAAAGGTCAGAAACAGAGCTGACGGTGTGACTCACTCTGGGTTTGGCGAGCTCTTTCACCCTCTCCATCTCCCGCTCTGATACGACGTCGTGGTACCTGACGATGCGAGGGCGATCCCACTCGTCTTCTTGCCTCACCGGACCGATGACGTACTTCGGATGGCGGTTGTTGTCATAGTAACGGCAGTAGAGGCGGCTCTGTCTGCGAGGAGTCTAAAAGAAAACACGGACAGGATGACTTTGATGAGATCGAAGGTTTTCAGAGCGTGTCAGAGTTTCTCACCATCTTCAGCCCCTCGCCACGACAAAGCTCCTCGTACTTCCTCCTCTCGGGGAGGTAATCGTCAGGGCGGTCCCTCCTCTTCCTCCCCTCAGACTCCTCCTCCTCCTCCTCCGCCTCCTCTCTCCCCTTTAACTTCATCTGTTTGCCCAGCTGATACTCGAAATACTTCAGGTTCCCGTTGGCTCGCTGGTGTGTCGGCTCTGAAACAAACAGACGGTTTTTATTTTAGTCAGAGTTTGAATTTTAAAAAGATCAGAAGAACTTTATTAAATTACAGAATTTATTTAATTAAAATTATTAAAAACATGAATTTTAAAAACGATCAGAAGAACTTTATTAAACTCAAGAATTTATTTAATTAAAATGATTAAAAACATGAATTTAAAAACGATCAGAAGAACTTTATTAAACTCAAGAACTTATTTAATTAAAATGATTAAAAACATGAATTTAAAAAACGATCAGAAGAACTTTATTAAATTACAGAATTTATTTAATTATAATTATTAAAAACATGAATTTTAAAAACGATCAGAAGAACTTTATTAAATTAAGAATTTATTTAATTAAAATGATTAAGAAACATGAATTTTAAAAACGATCAGAAGAACTTTATTAAATTACAGAATTTATTTAATTATAATTATTAAAAACATGAATTTTAAAAACGATCAGAAGAACTTTATTAAATTAAGAATTTATTTAATTAAAATGATTAAAAACATGAATTTAAAAACGATCAGAAGAACTTTATTAAATTAAGAATTTATTTAATTAAAATGATTAAAAACATGAATTTAAAAAACGATCAGAAGAACTTTATTAAATTACAGAATTTATTTAATTATAATTATTAAAAACATGAATTTTAAAAACGATCAGAAGAACTTTATTAAATTACAGAATTTATTTAATTATAATTATTAAAAACATGAATTTTAAAAACGATCAGAAGAACTTTATTAAATTACAGAATTTATTTAATTATAATTATTAAAAACATGAATTTTAAAAACGATCAGAAGAACTTTATTAAATTACAGAATTTATTTAATTATAATTATTAAAAACATGAATTTTAAAAACGATCAGAAGAACTTTATTAAATTAAGAATTTATTTAATTAAAATGATTAAAAACATGAATTTTAAAAACGATCAGAAGAACTTTATTAAATTAAGAATTTATTTAATTAAAATGATTAAAAACATGAATTTTAAAAACGATCAGAAGAACTTTATTAAATTAAGAATTTATTTAATTAAAATGATTAAAAACATGAATTTTAAAAACGATCAGAAGAACTTTATTAAATTACAGAATTTATTTAATTATAATTATTAAAAACATGAATTTTAAAAACGATCAGAAGAACTTTATTAAATTAAGAATTTATTTTATTAAAATTATTAAAAACATGAATTTAAAAACGATCAGAAGAACTTTATTAAATTACAGAATTTATTCAATTAAAATGATTAAAAACATGAATTTTAAAAACGATCAGAGGAACTTTATTAAATTACAGAATTTATTCAATTAAAATTATTAAAAACACGAATTTTAAAAACGATCAGAAGAACTTTATTAAATTAAGAACTTATTTAATTAAAATTATTAAAAACATGAATTTTAAAAACGATCAGAAGAACTTTATTAAACTCAAGAATTTATTTAATTAAAATTATTAAAAACATGAATTTTAAAAACGATCAGAGGAACTTTATTAAATTACAGAATTTATTCAATTAAAATTATTAAAAACATGAATTTTAAAAACGATCAGAAGAACTTTATTAAATTAAGAATTTATTTAATTAAAATGATTAAAAACATGAATTTAAAAAAAGGCCTTAAAGGTCTTTTCAGGTTGTGACCGTCTCTCTCATGTTCTCTGTTACTGACCCAGCTCCAGCAGCCTCTTGGTGAACTCCAGCGCCCTCTTCAGCGCCCCCTGCTGGTACACAGAGTAGCTCAGGTAGTCCAGGATGGTGATGGCGTCCACCGTGGCCGACGTCTCTCCCTGTTCCAGCTGCTTCAGCGCCTGAACCATCCACAGCTCCGTGTGGTAGTAATCCGCCTCCGAGTACGCCACCCTCCCGAGGTCATGACAGTCTTCAGCCGTCAGGACGCTGTGGTGGGAGGAGTCAGGGGAGGAGCCTGAATATGAAGGGATTAAGAGTGAAAACGGCAGATTTAGTTCTGGATTGATGAGCGAGGACGTGAGAAGAAAGTGTCTCTGGTCTGTCTTTGGATCGTTTGACCTTAAATTAATTTTACGCCGGGATACCCCTTTAGCGTTACGGCGTTTTTGTTGGAAATGTGCGACCATTTCACCTCCCAACTGTCCTTTATTTTTACAGTTTTGACCCTAAAATCTTTTCTTGACCTTCTCCTGACGTCCCGACCTCGTGTCTCAGCTGACCTGCCAGCCTCCCGGTGGCGATGGTTTCCGTGTCCAGCTGGTAGGTGTCCTGCAGCCTCATCAGAGCTTTGGCCGCTCCGGTCTGGTCGTCGTCGTTGGGGAAGTACTGCCTCTGGATGGTGAGGTTAGAGATGAACGCTGGAAACACCACCGAAGAAGAACAAGGACTCGTCATTCAGAGGATCAAAGTTATGACTGAGCGCACGTGTGTGTGTGTGTGTGTGTGTGTGTGTTTTACCATCAGACATGTCAGTGAGCACCAGGTTCTCTAGCTCCGCCCACTCCGTGTTGAGCCGCTTCATCAGTTTGAAAGCGTTCACAGGATGTCCCAGGAAACCCTCAGGGTCCTGAGTGGCTGCTGCAGAGAGGACGTCCAGTTTGTCTGCCCATCTGAACACACACACACACACACACACACACACACACACACACACACAGGTGAATCATGTGATATTATCTGAACACACACTCGTCATGTGACCGTTTCTCTCTCACTTCTTGATCTGCTCCAGTTTGCTCTCCTCCGCTCGGATGTAGTCCTTCAGGGAGGTCACCAGGTCCTTCTCCGTGAACAGCAGGTCGGTCATCTGACCTAAAAGAGACAGTTCAGAGTTCAAGGGGCGGAGCTCAGTCATTAACAGGATTCACCACCTTCTTTAGATTCATAATGAGGAAGATGAGGAGGGAAACTGGACGGACTCACCGATGGAGGTGAAGAAGTCATTATGGGCAGAGGAGAGCGTGAAGAGGAGGAGGACGTGGATCAACAGACGACAAAACGCCATCCAGCCTGTGGAGAGAGAAACACACAGTGAAGTTTAGCAGACCGAGCTGAGTCTGCGGGGTCGTCTTCAGACCGCACCGAGCCGTAGATCAGATCTGTGAATATTTCTGTCTGTTTAATCAGGTTTTCTTTAACTGTGACACTTACTGATGCTTCTCTACCAGTTCATTATCAAATTTATTACTCCTGTTTATATCTGCACTCCTCATACTTCATACATGAATTTCTATTTTACCTCTGAGTCCCTGATGATGATTACTGATCTAACATTTTCACGATGTGTGTGTTTGTTAAATTACTTATTTATCTTGTCTTTTGATCTTAAATAATAGGACCTACAGTCTCCGCCCCCGAGACTTTAATTATTTTACTGTTCTTAAGGTCAGAACAGAGATGAAGAAGAAAGCTTTGAGATTTTCTGAAACATTTTACTATCAGACCTGAAACAGCAAACTCTGAAATCTCTGAATGTTTTCAAATCCAGGATCAGTTCCATTAAATCCAGACTTCAGGAGTACAAATGTTTTATTTGAGCACAAATGTTTGTCCAATCTTGTAAATTCTTTTCACTAATTTTGAAAATGTAATCATTATTTGTATTCTATGTATTCGATATGATTAATGTGATTATTGTGTTGAAACTGTATGTTACAATGCCAGGTCTCTCTTGCAAAAGAGATCTTGGATCTCAATGGGACAAACCTGGTTAAATAAAGGTTATAATAATGATAACAATAATAATAAATGTCAGAGAAATGCTCAGAACAGGTAAAGTTATACAATCTATAAAACTGTATTTCTGCTGTTTTTCTGGCACACTTAAATTCGTTTTATCTTCACGTTATCTTAAATAAAACCGTTATAGATGCTTTATAATGAGGACACTGATTAAAAGGTCTCTGCAATATTAACTTCCTAAATAACATCTTAATTGACTGTTTTTTGGTATAAATGTACATGTAGGAAGCAGTGTTCAGTGTGTTGTTCAGTGACAGTAGAAAAATCTAGTAAATCTTCCTTCTGCTCATTATTTCAGGGCCTTAAACTCAACTTTACCAAGACTCTGACACAGTCACCAAAAACAGAAAACAGAGCAGCAGCAGATCTGTCCTCATGTGACCCTCACCTGTACAGGTGTGTCCTAGCTGAGGGGTTAAACCTGACAAGAAAGACGAGAAAACACCAAGATAACGGCCGATCACGTATGATGTAACATTTCACATTAAAACGGTCATTTTAAACGTGGACTTTATCAGTAACGTGGCCGAAGACATTTCGAGATAAACCAGAGACCCTCAAGAAACGAAGAGCTGTTGGTGAAATTCAGACACAAAAACACAACATGACAGTTATTATTATTACAATTATTATTTATTATTTACCGTGTTTAACCCTGAAAGACGCTGTAGAGTCAGGAAATCCCTCCTCTTTAGTCCAGAAATTAAGAATCCCCCTCCTCTGTCTACAAGAGTCAAAACACAAGACTCTTCTGCTGCTTCTCAACCTTCTTCTTCTTCTTCGGGTATTTTTTCAAGATGGCGGCTTGTGGGTTTTTGCCGCCATCTATCTCCTTGGCGGGAAACTACATAAACACGCCAGCTAATCTTCCATTTCTTCAACTAATTTAGACAAAGTTCGCGTTTACGCTTTTATTTAGGTACAGTACAAATAAGAACAACTATAAGACTTATTCTTTAATGGATAAGAGTATGACTTCTGTGTTCCTTTGTATGAATAAAAGACACTTACACTTATTATCTAAATCACATACACATATATAGTCTGTACCTATTGTTTTTATTTTCTCATAACTATTTTTGTACTTTTAATACGGTCTCTGTTTTTTTTTGTATCTATTCCACTGAAAAATGGAGAAGCTCTCCAATCTTGTTGTACCTTCTGTATAATGACAATAAAGGGCATTCTGATGTTGAATATATATCATATGTTGAATATTGTATCAGAGTTTAATATGAACTCCAGTAGCAGAGGAACCTCTTGAATTAGAAATTAATTGTCTTGTGTAAATTAATGTTTGTGTGTCTTGTCTTGAAAATTAATGTCAGAATATAAACTTAGGCTGAGTAATGACTATGTTGTGACTTAATTTCGCCTGTCAAAATTATCCCAAGAGCCACTGATGTGTACGATATCCAGGTGTACATTTGAAGCGTTTTTCTTGCCTATTGTTTCCCATGTGTAAATAAAGTCACGTTTTCCTTGTTTATTCCTTTTTTGTAAAAGAAACCAAATGCAAAAAAAGACAAAGCAAATCTTTCTGTGTGGGTTGTTTTGCCACATGATATGAGAAGGTCCTAAAGTTCTAAATGAACAGGCGGTTACTTCTGCTGAGCAGAGATAAGGATGCCTTTGGCCCAGACTGAAACCCGCCCACACTATTCCTGTCTTTACATTTTTTATTTTGTTTTTTGTTTATCATACAATACTATGCTATTTTTTTTTACGTAGTATAATATGAGATTTTACCATACTATGACTTTTTCTTTATAATATACTAAGAAACTTTTTAACATACTATACTACAACATTTCAATCATAGAATACTAGACATTTTTCAAACAAAAATTTGAGTCTTTTTTTATCATACTGTGCTATGACATTTTAATAATACTAAACTATGAATTTTTTTTTATCATTTTAAACTTACTATACTATGACAATTTTTATCATTCTATACTATGACATTTCCATCATACAAAATTTTCTAGATTTTTTATCATGCTATATTTTGACATTTTTTTGACGTACTATACTATAACATTTTAATCATTCTATCCTTTGACGTTTTTTTAACGCTTAAATTTCATTTAATTTTTACATACTATACTATAAAATTTTTGTCAAACCTTACTATGATTGTTTCACATACTATACTTAAACATTTTTTTTCAGACTGAAATTTTATTTTTTTTGTACTATTCTATATTTTTTTTTTATCATACAATACTATGACATTTTTTAATACAACAGTCTGAATCATTTATCAATACTATACTTTTTTTATCATACTATACTGACATTTTTTGACATACTCTACCATGACATTTTTTTCAAATTGAAATTTTAATTTTTTATCATACTATACTGCGACATTTTTTCTTATACTATACTATGACTTTTTTTCACACAAAAATTGATAACTTTTATTGTACTTGTGATGACAGCTCCCTACCACTAGGTGCTGCTGGTTTGCTGGTTAGCTGGTTTTGGTGTTTTTGTGTGCATTGTTGCAGGGTCAGGTGGAAACGGGGGTCATCCTATTCAGAAGATGTTCTACACCTGGGCCCAGTGTACTCCTCAGCTTCAAATCCTCTTCCTGGATTCAGTGGCTCTCTCTCTCATGCATACATTGCCCAGCATCCAACGGAGAGCAGACATACTGTACTATGATATTTTAAAAATAATACACCATAAAATTTAAACATGACATTTTTTGACAAACTATGCTATGACACTTTTTAACATACTATACAATGACGTTTTTATCCTACTATACAATGACATTTTATCATAGTATACGATGCCATTTTTAACATTCTATACTTTGACATTTTAATAATACAATACCATATCATTTACATGAAAAATCTTAAAATCTTTATCATAATATACTGTGACATTTTTTAATACAAATAATTTCAATTTTTATAATACTGTACTTTGACATTTTCAATCATACTTTAGTATGAAATTTTAATAACATTATACTTTGACATATTCATCATACTATACTATGACATTTTTAATATTCTATTATATGACATTTTTTAATACTTGAAAATGTTTTTTGTTACATGCTCTACTTTGACATTTTTATCTTCCTATACTTTGAAATTTTTATTATCCAATTTAGTAATATTTTCATTATACTATACTATGATAATTTCTAATATCAGATTAAGCAGAGTTAGCCTTTAAATGCTGGCTCACACAATGGATTATTTACTATAAGGACCTTTTCCTGACACCACTTTTATTGAGAAATACTCTTCACTTTAAGTCATGGAAACGCTCTCCAGAGGACAACTTAATGAGGAATTGAAAAAGATGATTTAGTAAATATTTATACTTTCGTGCAAGTCACTGTGCAAGATAACGGTTTAGTTTATGCTCTGTGATACATCCATGTCAGATACAGTTCACTATCCGGATGTCCACCTACACCCAGCTACATAACTCTGTTGTTGTCCATGCTTTTGTTATGTTTTTCACCCACAACCCTCTGCACAACAGAGATGATGTAACATCAACATAAACATCTTTTGAAATAGAAAACTGTCTTTTTATATTTTTCATACTTGTTTTTAAAAATATCCTAATGTTGTGCTTGTGTTTGAGCAAGAGGGTTAGAGTTCAAGAAATAATGTTTTCAAAAAGTAATATGAGCAGGTGGTAATCTCCCGTGTTCAAAGTGAAACGCAGCAGTACAGAAACTGCAGTTTCCCATTTGTCCACTAGAGGCTGGCTCTAAAACCAAAGAATCCCCATTAAAACACAGTTTAAAACACTATTTCTTACAGCAAAATGTAACTTTAAAGCCTGGTTTGAATAACTGTTTTAGGGTACGTAACTCATTTACCTGTTTGTACACAAGGTAATGAGAAGGGAGTGTTTCCCAGAGAGCATCAGATTAGATAATATAAAGACAAAGAGTTAAACATACATGTACTGTTTGTCCAATAGGTGGCACTATTCCTGATAGAAATGTGTATTTACTTGAGTTTAGTTTGGTCCCATCATCATTCCTGTGAAATCTGGATCAGATAGTTGTATGTTGAATTTAGTTCCTTGTCTCTCCACAGTTGAGAAATGTTCAGGGGTGAACCTTGAACCTTACGTGTAAAATATCAAAGAGACTGAACTGAACTGGTGAGTTTTAAGACCACTTTATTTAAGCAGAAGGAAGAAAGGAAGAAAAAGAAAGAAAGAAAGATAAAGTACTTTTTTAGGCCTTAAAAAAGACATGGGGCAAACATTGGGATAATACTTGATTCTTTATTCTGAAAATTAAATTGAAAAACAGAAAATATTCTCCATCAAATCACAGACTGATACAAGTTTGACTCTAAGTCTTCACATTTGTATCGTGATATTATTTCAGTTTCTCTCAGAGTTACACTGATGCAGGTTTTAACACTTTTTATGCCGATCTTTATTCCGAAACTTGTCCGTGTAAACACTTATTCCGATCGTGACTCTCTAACCTAAATCGGTCTTCACTCTTTATTTATTGAGGTCAGTTCAGGAGGTTTCATTATTAACACAACCGCGGGTATCGTGTCTGCTCCTCCAATAACATAACAAGGCGTACAAACAGCGTAATGATGTCACAGCGCAAACTTTGACAGAACAGTAAAATAAGTACGCAAGGGCGCCATCTAGTGACAACATTTAACAGAAGGGAAAATCCTGATTTGGATGAAGAGAGCCACTGTCGCTTTCATTTATTATATAAATGAAATTTATTAACAAGAAGCCGACACATGATGGACGATGAATTTCAGCGTTTTTATACAGAGTTTCTATTTCAACACTAAAATATTCACATTCATTCAAACCTTTTAGAACTGCGCAGCAATTTTACAATTTAGCTGGAGTAGGAACCTTTAATCGTGAAACTGGGCGCCATTCTCTGGACTTTCCAGCATGTGTGGCTGTTACAAACTGATGCATCCTTTCTGACTGAAGCGAGCTCGCTGATGCTGAAGCTGTCGAACAAATGTCGAAGCTGCCGCAAAGATGGCGAGTAGAGGAAGTGACGTACGTTTCACATATGCGCGGCACAGGCGTAAATACAACCCTTCTTCTTCTTTGGTTGTTTTAGTGAAATCAGAAAACTGCGCACGTCTAAATGTTTCTAATCTGAATAAATCCTGTTGTATGGATTTATCTGATTTTGCGCCGATAAAAACAGTGGATTCAGATTTTCTGATCCCTCCAATTTTTAATCAAATCAATAAATTTTGCAGATGTAAACATGTCTACTGTGACGTCCTGCTGAGAGGTCGAGGCTTGGAATTGAACCAGCGACACCGGTCACTTCATATCAGCAGAAATGATCTTTAGTTTAGAAAAAGAGGATTTCTCTCCTGAGTGAGTGAGAGCAGTACAGACTCAGATCAGCTCATTTCCACCTATAAAAACCTGGATCAGTGTAATCCTCAGAAGACGACTCACAATCATAAAGAGTTTCTCTCAGTGATTAAATTATTCTCTTTCATTAGATCTTAAAACTGTTTGTACACAAAATGAATCAAACATTAAATCAGTCCAATCTGAGTCTATTACAGTACATCATAACTGTGTGAACTCCTGCAGAGCTGCTTATTCTCCTCTGATTAAAAGACTCAGTTTACCTGCACAGGTGCTGCTGATCCATCTCTCTACTCTATCTTCTCTTGTGTGTTTTCAGCTCTCTATTATCAGCTGTAGGTTCTTTATATAATCAGACTGTTCTGATCTCAGGTTAGGACTGTGATGTAAAAACCCTTTAGTTCATAAATCAGAGAAGGTTAGAGGAGACGCAGGATACGCCAACAATGATAACCTGTTTTTTAACTAACTTATTAAAACTTTTTTTAAAGACATTTTTATGGGATAATTTTGTTTAATCTGAAATAAACTTGAATAAATTCTCATTATTAATATCATAGTTTTGTTTATTGTGCATCTCCAAAAGTTGTTTTTAAGTTTATCGATGTCTTCAGTCGACTTTCCAGACTGACTACAGATCCTGGAAGTCTACACTGAAGCTGTTTATCAGTCTTTAGGTAGAGATCGGATGTACGAGGTAAGAATGAACACTTTAAAACTGAACAAACATCGGAGAGAGCCTTGACTTCGTCTGTTTATGCTTTTAGTGCTGCAGGCCTACGATCAGGAGGAGAGCAAATGTGCTGTCCGCGCCTCAAACTCCGATTGAAATCACGTCTATCTCTTATTTACATGAAACTATCTCTCAGCTAACAAAGAGACGGCAGTAAAATATGTTGTTTCAGTTTGATCACCTTTCTCTCTTTTCTCTCACGGTGACGGTATTTTCAGTATTTTCATAAATGAGTTGAATCACAGCGTTAAAGCCGAGGTGAACCAGAGATCTACCTCCGACTCGTCTGGACTGAAGCAGAGCTCAGTAGACTCTTCCAGGAGAACACAAGGCCTTCTCCAAGGAGTCGTACTGAGCTTCATCCAGCAGGGCGTCCCTCACTTCCTGAACCTCGTCTTCATCAGATAGTGGCGGTTTGGGGGGGGCCTCAACAGCAGGCATGATGGGTGGATTATTGCTGTGAGGAAACACACAAAAACACACAATTAGAGTGAAAATAATCAATAGATTAAAACTTATGATGTTAAAACAGATGAAAGAGGCGAAACGTGGTGAGATAAACGAAGGTGAGACGAGTCATGCAAAAAAAAAGCAGAGGAGGCGGAGTTAAACACGGTGCTGAAACATGCGACACGTTTTTAAGATGTAAACCAGGATGAAGCCACGCCACAGTGATGAAAAAAACAACACCCAGAGCCCACATGTAGGGGGCGCAGCAGCGCTTCAACCAAACAGAGACAGAGGGTTACAGCCGCATGAAGACAAACACACTCAGTCACTTACGATGAGCTTTGGTCGGTCAAAATCGGGCGTAATCAGGCCCTGTACTGAAAGGCAGAGACAGTCCTCATGTGTCAGAGTCCAGCAGCTTCTTCACTTATCAAAGTTATTAACACAGAAAACGTTCATCCTCCACATGTTTACCAAACAAGACTTACGGTCAACTTTAAAACCTAAATGTATTTAAAGTATAAAGATGTGAGACGGTGACATGAGCTCGTCTATCGTTTCCTCTTTAGAGAAATATGTGCAGATCACTCAGAAGCAGCTCTAGTGTCTGAATTAACCAGTGTCACATGTGTTTTAATGATGCTGTTTGCTCTAAACTCTTGGGTCTTTGCTGCTGCTCTGCCTTCCTCGACTTTTTATGTCATATTAAATTGAGTTTGATTTTGCTCTCCCTGCCTCAGCTGTTTTATTTTACCATTATACTCTGTATTGTCTCTGATACCCTCCCTGTCCTGTACCTCAGGTCTTTGCTGATGCTCTCCCTGCCTTTTCTCTTCATGCATGTTTGTTAACCAGAGTTAAGGTGTGCTCTTCCTTCCTGACATGTCCGTTTACATCATTTTTTATAAATATTGTGTCTGTTGTCAGCTCTGCTCCTTAGGTTTTAATGGATCTACATGAAACAGAGGAGAAGTGTGCTCTCCCCGCCTCGGTGTCACGGCTCCAGTTGGACTCAGTGATGTTTTTTTTTTGTCCTCTCTAGATGTAATGTTGTCTTTGTGAATGCTGTGGTGTCTATAAGTGTTTAAATGCAACACTAATACAAACAGAAACACACAAAGAGAGTTCACATGTGAACTTAAAGGCAGGTGCACGGACGAGCACGTGCACAACAACACAAAAGAGTGACAGTAGACGTTTAAAATGACAGAAACACAGACACACACAGCGGAGGTGGAGGAGGAGGAGGAGGAGGTACCTTAACGAGCAGCTGGAGGGTGAAGAGGAGCAGGTCAGCGGGTGTATGGGACTGGAGGAGGTGCAGTCTAATTACTACAAAACAAAGACTGAACAGAGACTGAACAAAGACTGAACAGACTGAACAGAGACTGAACAAAGACTGAACAGAGACTGAACAAAGACTGAACAGAGACTGAACAGAGACTGAACAAAGACTGAACAGAGACTGAACAGAGACTGAACAAAGACTGAACAGAGACTGAACACAGACTGAACAAAGACTGAACAAAGACTGAACAGAGACTGAATAAAGACTGAACAGAGACTGAACAGAGACTGAACAAAGACTGAACAGAGACTGAACAAAGACTGAACAAAGACTGAACAGAGACTGAATAAAGACTGAACAGAGACTGAATAAAGACTGAACAAAGACTGAACAGACTGAACACAGACTGAACAAAGACTGAACAGACTGAACGAAGACTGAACAGACTGAACACAGACTGAACAAAGACTGAACAGATACTGAACAGACTGAACAGAGACTGAATAAAGACTGAACAGAGACTGAACAGACTGAACAGAGACTGAACAAAGACTGAACAGATACTGAACAGACTGAACAAAGACTGAATAAAGACTGAACAGAGACTGAACAGACTGAACACAGACTGAACAAAGACTGAACAGATACTGAACTGACTGAACAGAGACTGAACAGAGACTGAATAAAGACTGAATAAAGACTGAACAGAGACTGAATAAAGACTGAACAGAGACTGAATAAAGACTGAACAGAGACTGAACAGACTGAACAGAGACTGAATAAAGACTGAACAGACTGAACACAGACTGAACAAAGACTGAACAGAGACTGAACAGAGACTGAACAGACTGAACAAAGACTGAACACAGACTGAACAAAGACTGAACAAAGACTGAACAGAGACTGAATAAAGACTGAACAAAGACTGAACAGAGACTGAATAAAGACTGAACAGACTGAACAGAGACTGAACAGAGACTGAACACAGACTGAACAGAGACTGAACAGACTGAACAGAGACTGAATTAAGACTGAACAGAGACTGAACAGACTGAACACAGACTGAACAAAGACTGAACATCAAAGCAGAGAGAGAGAGTTCAGGAAGGAAACAGAGGTGATGAAAAACACACGAGGAGCTGCTGGTTAGTGCATAAAAACCGGTCGATCAGCGGCAGCAGGAAAACGTTCTCTTGTTTAGATGTGTTAAAAAAAAATAAAACCTGTTTAAAGCTTTTTACAGCAGCTCCAATGAAGAGCTTTAATTGGCTGATTTTTGATATTGAACTGTTGAACAAAAACAAGAAAAAAAGCAGAATAAAACCACAGTTGTTGTCCCTCTGCAGCTGAAGTAGAGACGCTTTAAAAGTGCTTCAACAAAATAACTAAACAGACAGTTTATCTGGATGAAAACAAACGAACAGAAACAAATCCAAATGTCCTTCTGAATCCGTTTATTTCAGAGTAGAAATTCAGCGTACATCTGAGGCCGTCAGTGACACACCTCTCGGTGTCCCTGAAACATGCATGTCCATAAAATGTCTTCTGTACAATATGAAGATATTCTGCTTCTTATACAACAAAATAAAAGAGTCAGAGTCAATTTGGCCACAGGTGGTTGGTGTGCTATCTCTGCGGGATGACAGTCGTACCTTGGACTTATTTGAGTGAAGAAAGAAGAAACACTGACAGCTGTTTGTTCTCGACTTTCACCTCTAAAGTTATTAAAACACAGACGGCGGGGAAAAGGGGGGATGGTGAAGCTCAGAGGGGAGACAGAGACGCAGACATCCACATCAGGAATAACAGCAGCTGTCTCCACTTCATCATCCAGGAAAGTCTTTAAATCCAAAATCAGAGAAAGAGCTTCTGTCTCACCGTGAACTTCAACACTTCATTTAATATTTTAACTCTTAAACAGAGAAAACAGGTTAAATTTTCCTCTGAAAATAAATTAAATCAGATTTTTGTGAAAACTTCAGGAGCCAAAAGTTCAAGGAAAAACCATTCTTACAGAAAGTGAGCGGTGAACACACAGAGGTTAGTAAAAACAGGCACTAACTGGAGCGACAGACAGACGAGCAGACCAGCATCTTTATTCAACACAGACAGTCAGACACATTTTCTCTGAAACACTGAGATTAAAACTCCCTGTGGTCTGAGTTTACAGACCACAGCAGGAACAAGGCTGAATGAGGTTCAACCTCAAAGTCCTCCTCCTCTGCTGCTGGATACGCCGCCACAGAAACACGAATACGACCCTGTTTATGAACACGACGCCACTGACGCCGCATCAGAAAATCATCAGCACTCAGATATAAAAGTCACTTTACTGACAGTAGGAGGCGCTGTTATGGAGACGCGTAAAGACAGAAAGTTCACTCAACTTCAGCGACTAGAAATCCGCTTGAAGAGTTCGTCATGATCTCTGTGTGCAAAACATTCGATACTAAAGTTCGTTTGCATCAGGTGGAATTTTTACAATGTAATTTACATTTTCTCCGTTAAATAGACTATAAAAATAAAAGTAAATAAGATAAACACGTTTATTTCTGAAGAAGCCTTTTTGTAGTTTAGCTGCTGCAGTGTCTTCCTGATTCCTGCTGCAGCTGTTAGCGTCTTTAAAACCTCGTAGATGGCTCAGTTCGCAGGTCGAGTAAAAAGCACTTTTGTGTTTTTAAGTCTTTCAGTTTTAGGACCGAAGCGTTCAGGTGCAGCAGGAGACCGGATCACAAAAACCTGTAGAGAACGACTCTGTTCACAACGGTGCAGCGTCAGAGTATTTATCGGAATAATTAATCTAAGAGTTTTTATTTTATTGTACCGTATTTTTCGGACAATAAGGGGCATTTAAAATCCTTAAATTTTCTCATAATTGACAGCGCGCCTGATAATCCAGCGCACCTTCTGTTTAATTACTTGTTGTGCTTACTGACCGATTTGATGTGGTACGATCAAAAATCTGTCGAAATGTGAAAGTACGACTTCGGTTATCAACAAAGCCGCTCCACTCACTGGATATTCAGAGAATTACGGTAACTGTCGTCTGAGCTGGAATCATCGCTGAACAGCTAAATATCGTAACAGTAACGAGACCGACTCGGATGATGACGAGAGGGATGGAGGCAGCGAAATTATTGCCCTACTTCGCTTCTGATTGGCTAGAAGTGCTGGGCTCCGATTGGTTATTCTTTATGGCTGTGAAACGTCATTTTAACGGGAAAAAGCTGCAACATTCTCACGATAGAGGAGCGAATGTTCGTCTCTTTTGTGCGCTCATTAAATTAATTGTAGTTACAGTTTTAAATCCAACTTCAGGGATTGAGAGGTGAGGACCGGTGGACCTCATTCAGCCTCGGTATGACAGACACTCAGAGGAACCCGAAGGTCGGGGTTTTCGGCGTCGCTCCGGTCCGATGTTGGAGAAGAAGTCCAAAGACTGATTGTTAAAGTCCAGTTAGTGCAGTAACGGTATAAGTGCGTTTACACAAAGTCCGATATAGAAACTACTCCTCTTATAAGGTGCATCGTCTTTTACAGAAAACTGATCATAGATACTGCAGGACAAACACCTCTGTGTGAGGAACATCTATGTACAGTAAACATCCCCGTCGGTTCACTACGTCTCCTCTTTTCTCAGAGGAATAAAAACCTCATGGACTTCCTGTTAAATACTGAGAGAGCCGGTCAAATATTGAGTTTGATGTTTTTTTTATACATTATGAAAATCCTCTTTAGGATCAAGACCTTGAATTTCACACCCTGATCTACAGCAGATCCTCGTCTACGTCGTCGTTCTGATGGAGAGCACATCTGTGAAAATCTGTAGGTGGAGGAATATGATCTCCAGAAATATAGAAAAGAAATGTACATGCATGAAAGACAAGCAAGAGACACGTGTCCTCAGAGGAAACGTCCTTCACATCCATCCTTAATATGCAGATGGAACAGAGTCCGTTTAGTCGAGTTCGGCCCGGCGGGACTGACGGACTCTTCAGCTGAGGTCCAGAGTGGAAACCGGACAGAAACCAGACGGGGTTTTGGAGGTCAAAGGGGGGGAGGTGCAGATCGAGTCTCTGATCGGCTCAGGGGAGGTTATTGCCAAAGCAGGAGGTTAAAGGAGGAAGAGGAGGAGGGGTGAGGATGAGGGGAGGAGGGGTCAGCTGAGGGAGCGGCGGCGTGAGCGGCGTCCCTGTCCTACAGCTTCATCATCATCATCATCATCATCATCAGTCTGTCTGTCTGTCTGTCCTCACACTGTGGAAATCAACTTTCCCTCTGTGGAACTGTGGACAGAGAGAAGGAGAGGCGTCCAGGAGGGCTGCTTCAGGAGGGACATCAGAGACCACACAAGACCTGAGACCGGGTCTGAGACTGACCCAGAGACCAGAGACCAGGTCTGAGAAACTAACCCAGAGACCTGAGACCGGGTCTGAGAAACTAACCCAGACACCAAAGACCAGGTCTGAGACGCTAACCCCAAACCAGAGACCGGGTCTGAGACACTAACCCCAAACCAGAGACCGGGTCTAAGAGTAACCCAGAGACCAGAGACCGGGTCTGAGAAACAAACCCAGACACCAGAGACCAGGTCTGAGACACTAACCCCCCTATCAGACTTCTGAGGACCCTTTAGACCTTTTCTGAATGATCAACAGGTAAAGAAGGTTCAGTTGTTGCTCCACGGTCACACAGACAGGAGAAGTATTTCCTTCAACGTTCACAGCAGAGGATTATTTTTTTATTGAAGTACAGGAAACTGCAGTTCCTCAAGTGTCCACTAGAGGCTGGTTCCAAAAACTATGAAATCCCCATTAACACCTATATTAAAAATGTAATTGACTTCACTAATAAATGTATTTAATCATCTATTTCTGACAAAGTTCAAATTAAAGTTTCATCCTGTAACACAGACTTCAGATAAAAAAATAAAAGTCACTTTATCGTCAAACTTTTCAGACTAATTTCCACCGCATCTGTAACGGCGGCGATTTTCTTCGTAGCCGTTTCAGATGCGTTGGAAATTGAGGGTAAAGGTCGAAATGTCTCTCCGTCATAAATCGTGTTTGTGATGATTTTATTTGTCCTGTATTTGTGTTACTGGATTTCATTTGTAATAAAATGTACTTTTATTTTGAAATGACGTAAACAGCTTCTTGTCTTCACTCTGGTAACCAGCATAAATAACCTCCTTTAATTACTATAACAGTGTTTGAAGAACAACAGTAATTAACATTAATTAACATTAATTAACTTTAATTAACATTAATTAACATTAATTAATTCTGCTGTCGGAAACAATCTGATGGAGCGACTCCCAAACTTTCTGTATCTGTTGATCACTTTAAAAACAACAACAACATCGTCTGTTCGGATCAGACGGTTTATCAGTCGGGTTAAAAGTGAATGAGAGGGTCTGAAGCAGGTGATCAGGGGTCGGGTGGATGAGTGCAGTTAGCAGGTGGAGGTGCATGAGGGTTATGAGAAAGAGCTGGAGAGTCAAAGCGCTGATTTTACCGACACAAAGAACAGAAAACAAACTTAAATCCACTTTAAACAGAAACAGAAATGAACTGAAAACCTGCTTTAAAACCAAGTTCAGAGGGTTTTTGGTTATTAGACGACAACAACAACCGTGAAACAAAAAAACAAGTAAAAGAAAAGAGAATAAAAGAAGTAACACAAAAATGACTAATGCTGTGTGTGTGTGTGTGTGTTTGCAAGTTTGGACTTCAGGAAGAGGAACCACCGACCCTCAAACCCTCCGGCTTCACCCCCCACACCTGAAGACACAGACCTGCACTGACTCCGCCCACAAACGACCCTGAGTGGAGCCTAAATTAGACCCGGTTTAAAGATAAAGTAAAGGTGTTTTTTTCTTACCTTGTGGGAAAGCGAGGCTCATATTCTTCCACTCCTTGCTGTGAACAATGAAAAAATGAAATAATTCAGAAGTTTGCTCAGATAACACTTCCTCTCTTTATTTATTTATGACCTTTTCAATAAAGCAAAAGAAAAAAGTTTGGAAAGGTGCAACGACCGCAGCAGCCAGCAGGTGGCAGCAGAGAAATGTTACATCACAGAAAAGCAGCAGAAGTAAGAATCAAAACTGATGAATTAGACGACATTTCTGTGCAGTGAGAATAAACAGGTTTATATGAGTCACATTTACATCTCAATGATTTTAATATTATTTTAATCACCTGATCTATTATATTAACATTAATTTATACAAATAATCCGTGAGATGAGAGATAAAGAAATGTCTTAATAAAAAAGTTTTGATTTAATAAAAATAAACCTGAAGATTAAACTTTAATCTGTGTCCACTGTGTGTGTCTGTCTGAAGAACTTCCCCCTCCTAACTCTGATTTAACTCCTTTTTCGTCTCCTCTGACCTCCTTTTTCTTTAACCATCGGGTCTCACCACCTGACTGTTGTATCTGAAAACTCCCAAACGCACTCAGCCCTGATGACATAACCCGGTTCTCCATAAACATCAGCGGGAAACATGGCGGTCCCTGAACGCGGTGAGGTGGAGAGAACAGTTTAAGTCGTTACATGACCGCTGAGCAATTAGGCACCGCCCACATGGAGTGATCCAGGTGAGGCGTAGGAGGGGAGCCGCTCTACTGTTGCATAAGTCTACTTCCAACTTCTGAAATATTAACCCCCCCCTCTCTCGCTCGCTCGCTCTCTTCTGAACTCGGCTGTCAGATGAACTCAGAGCGTCAGACCGCAGAGGGAGACTCTGGGGTTTGAGTCTTTGTCCCGTCTCTCCGTAAACAGGACGCCGAGTGAAGCGGAGGGGAACGTGTTTCTGCGTTTACATAAGCTGGTGTCTCTGGGGGGGGGGCAGGTAGAGGAAGAGACAGCCTGTCAAAATAAAGCTGTTCCCGCTCTCTATCGCAGGTCAGCAGCTCGCCTGGAGTAGCTCCCTCCAAACTGTCTCAGACAGACGAGCGCAGATCCATCCTACAAAAAAAATATCGCTTCTGTGTGTGTGTGTGTGTGTGTGCGTGTGTGTGTGTGTGCGCTCCCCTCGCACCTGTGAGAAGCCTGGCACCGCCACACTGTAGGGGCGTTGTTGTCTGCCGTGCAGCGCAGCAGCGCTCTGTGCCGCCATACGGGAGTGGACGCCATAGTCGGGGGCGGACATGGCCATGTCTTCTCTCTCTAGAAGATTTCCTGTGCTGCTGCTCTTCCCGTGTTGGAGACTGAAAAACAAAAAACAGAGACACAGAAAATCAAGAAAACCATCAACGTGTTCTCCTCAGAGAGTGAGTCCATGTTTGAGGTCGAACCTGCGGGAGGAACTCAACGCCGTTTCTCAGATACCTGCTAATCTATCGAGTTAATATTTAATATTTAATATTTCAGTTTGAGGTGTTTAAACACAGAAGTTCACTTCAGCTCAGAGCTTCAGAGACAAAATGAAGTCAGAAAAATGTTTATTAAAACCACTGAGACGAACTTTACATGAACTCTGAACTTACAGTGAATAAAAGATCCTTATCAGTGATAATAAACATTCATAACAGCTGATCGTGACGTTTATCAGGTTACAGTCAGTTAACTTCTGATAAATGTTGATTTTGTTTCCTCATGTATATTATATCTAAACATCTGTGTGTCTCACATGGTTCTTAAAAATGTGTAAAAATTGTCCCAAAATAAAAATAAATTAAATTCACGTTCAGGTGAAATTTTCTCTTTAATTAAAGTCATGAAGTCAGTTTTAAAAAGATTTTCTCTCCTTTGAGAATCAGAAAAATTATCATTTCTTATAAAACATTAAACAGAGTTTAATAATCTGTCAAAACTGAAGACAGTTATAAAATATTATAAAACCCAGAATTCATCAAACACTGTCTGTAGTTTTTTACTAAAGTGTCAGAAACATGAAGTTTTAATCAAACCTGATGTTTCCTAATTAAAATGCTTTATAGACAGTGAAGTAAAAGTTTTTTAATTATTTACAGTTTTAATGATCGTTTTGAAAACTTACAGCTGAATTTATTTGACTTTATTAACGAGTTAATGACAGAAGAAGAGGTTCGTTTATATAAAGTGTAAAAAAAGGAGAAATGATCATCTCGTTTATTAAAGGAGACCTCCCTCTCCCTCTCTCTCCCTCTCTCTCTCTCTCTCTCTCTCTCCCCCTCTCCCCCTCTCTCTCTCTCTCTCCTCTCTCTCTCCCTCTCCCTCCCTCTCCCTCTCTCTCCCTCTCTCTCTCTCTCTCTCTCTCTCCCTCTCTCTCTCTCTCTCTCCCTCTCTCTCCCTCTCTCTCTCTCTCTCTCTCTCTCCCTCCCTCTCCCTCTCTCTCTCTCTCTCTCTCTCTGACGGTGCGTTCAGGGTCCCTGTAAATCCTGTAAAACTTACTTGTTTACTCGGAGTTGCCTCATGGCGTTGGCGTCGTTCTCGGGGATCACTCTGGTGTAGGAGAACGGGAACCAGCCGCGCCTGTTGGAGTCGAGGAGACGCCGCCGTGAAAAAAACACACAAACTGAAACTTTCTCTGCGAGTTTGATAAAGTTTGACACTCACATCCTGTTCTTCTCGTTCTCGCCGTAGTGCCAGCCGTCCCGGGCCTCGGGGACCAGCAGAGTGATGATGTCGCCTTCGCCGAAGCTGAGCAGGGTGCTGTTGTCGCCGGCTGCGTGTGAGAAGATGGCCTGGACCCGGGTCCTCCCGTTTCTCTCCAGTCCTGCTGCCATGGAGCTGGAGCGGGGCAGCGTCCGGGTCTCCACTGTCAGAGGAGAGAGGAGGAAGAGGAGGAGGAGGGTCAGCTCTTCCTCACCGTCAAACACTGATCTTCTGTTTGTCTTCAGTTTGTTAAAGATGAACTCTGCAGTCATGACTCACTCCTCCTCTAATATCTCTGTTTTTAATATCAGCTCTCTGTCTCTTCGCTCCTGTTCAGGTCTTTATTAGATCTGCAGGTCGACTCTGACGCTCAGAGACGTTTCATTCACTCCTCTGTGGGTTTGATCTACAATAATACTTCAATAACACTTCAATAATACTACAATAATACTTCAATAATACTTCAATAATACTTCAATAATACTACAATAATACTACAATAACACTTCAATAACACTTCAATAATACTACAATAATACTTCAATAATACTACAATAATACTTCAATAATACTTCAATAATACTTCAATAACACTTCAATAATACTTCAATAATACTACAATAATACTTCAATAATACTACAATAATACTACAATAATACTTCAATAATACTTCAATAATACTACAATAATACTTCAATAATACTACAATAATACTTCAATAACACTTCAATAATACTTCAATAATACTACAATAATACTTCAATAATACTACAATAATACTACAATAATACTACAATAATACTTCAATAAAACTTCAATAATACTACAATAACACTTCAATAACACTTCAATAACACTACAATAATACTTCAATAATACTTCAATAATACTTCAATAACACTTCAATAATACTTCAATAATACTACAATAATACTTCAATAATACTACAATAATACTACAATAATACTTCAATAATACTTCAATAATACTTCAATAATACTACAATAATACTTCAATAATACTACAATAATACTTCAATAACACTTCAATAATACTTCAATAATACTACAATAATACTTCAATAATACTACAATAATACTACAATAATACTTCAATAAAACTTCAATAATACTACAATAACACTTCAATAACACTTCAATAATACTACAATAATACTTCAATAATACTACAATAATACTACAATAATACTTCAATAATACTACAATAATACTACAATAATACTGCAATAATACTTCAATAACACTTCAATAATACTACAATAATACTTCAATAATACTACAATAATACTTCAATAATACTACAATAACACTTCAATAACACTTCAATAATACTACAATAATACTTCAATAATACTACAATAATACTACAATAATACTTCAATAATACTACAATAATACTTCAATAATACTGCAATAATTCTACAATAATACTACAATAATACTTCAATAATACTACAATAATACTTCAATAATACTGCAATAATACTACAATAATACTACAATAATACTTCAATAATACTACAATAATACTTCAATAATACTACAATAATACTTCAATAATACTACAATAATACTACAATAATACTACAATAATACTTCAATAATACTACAATAATACTACAATAATACTTCAATAATACTACAATAATACTTCAATAATACTGCAATAATACTACAATAATACTACAATAATACTTCAATAATACTACAATAATACTTCAATAATACTACAATAATACTTCAATAATACTACAATAATACTACAATAATACTTCAATAATACTACAATAATACTTCAATAATACTACAATAATACTACAATAATACTTCAATAATACTACAATAATACTTCAATAATACTACAATAATACTTCAATAATACTACAATAAAACTTCAATAATACTGCAATAATACTTCAATAATACTACAATAATACTTCAATAATACTACAATAATACTCTCAACAACATGAGAAATCTCATTTTAAGGCGTGTTGAGCTCCAGACGCTCTCTCCCTCTCTCTCTCTCTTTGTCTCTCCCTCTCTCTCTCTCTCTCTCTCTCCTCTCTCCCTCTCTCTCTCATTCTCTCTCTCTCTATCTCTCTCCCTCTCTCTCTCTCTGTCTCTCTCTCTCTCTCTCTCTCTCCTTCAGGATTAAACTGAGATTATTCTCTCAGATCTCTTTACAGTTTTGATGAATTTTCCCTCTTTAATTCAATAAAACTTCATATTCTCATGAACCAGGTCTGCTCTACCTCTTATATAATTAGATTAATAAATTAATAATATTATTTTGATCACATGTTCCTCTTTTCTCTGTTGATTGTTGAGGACGATTATTGTCTGAAATAATCTGTGAAATGTTGGTTTTTAACAAAAACAACACAACTGAAGGTTGTTCGTCTTCCTGCAGACAGTAAACATCTGTGTGTGTGTGTGTGTGTGTGTGTGTGTGTGTGTGTGTGTGTGTGTGTGTGTGTGTCCTTACTCAGCGCCGCCTTGCTCTTGGCGGGCGCCACCTTGCGGACAGGCAGCGTGTTGGAGAAGACCTCCGCCCCTCTGTGCGTCTGAGACGAGACTTTGCCCTGCGCCACCTTCGCCTCCATCCACTGCTGGTAGTCCTCGCCTCCGTGAAGACCGGTGGTGCCGTTCATCAGGGGCATCGCTCCATCCAGCGCCCCCATCAGCCTCTGTGAGGACATCAGATTAACAATTAAAACACACACCCTCGTCCTGTTTGTGTGTGTGTGTGTGTGTGTGTGTGTGTGTGTGTGTGTGTGTGTGTGTGTGTGAGGATCTGGGACAGGAAGTGCTGATTCAGTCTCTGTATGTTGGTTTGAAGATAAACAAACTGAGCGACTGCAGAGACTTTCAGTTTCATCTGGGAACAGAGTACGCCGCCATCACCACCGCCAACGCCACCGCATGCACACGGCGGTTCTTGATTAGAACTGAAGCTCAGAGTCTTTCATGTAAATCTTGATGTTTTTTTCAGAGGAGGGAGGAGGGGCAGGAAGTAGAAGAGCCTGAGAGACTCTTCTGTGCGACGAGCTAATTAGCGTGGTGAGCTAACGGCGTGATGATCATCCTGAAGAGGTTTCTGAGGATGTGATCAGAGCTCCCATGATGCAGGATCAGGTCCTTATGGAGGGACCCTCTCCTGGTTAAGAGTGTGGGGGTTCAGGTACTTGTGCCCCGCCCCCTCAGACCTCCTTCAGTTTTGGAAAGTGGGCGCCAGCTGATGTTTTGGTCGTCTTTAAAATCTCGATTAAAAACATATTTATCTATGCTGGCTTTTAATACTCAGTAGGGTGGAGACACTTGATTTTATTGCTTTGTATTTTATTCTTTTTTCTTTTTTTTTTCTTTTTCTTTTCTTTTTTTTTATATTCTTTTATTTTATTGCTTTGATTGTTTTTATTGATTCATTTCTATTTTCTCTTGTAAAGCACTTTGGTTCACTGAAAGGGTTGTATTTATATTTACATTTTGAGCTCAGGACCAACTCTAGGCCTCATTTTAGAGCGCCGTCCTTCACGGTCGTCCTGAAAACTAAACCTGAGAGACGCTCTCTGGAGAAGATTTACGCTCGCTGACGTTTACGGCCGGATAAAGATCCACAAACACAAACTCATCCATGAGTGTGCCCCTCCTCCATAAAAACCTGTTACCAAATCCAGCAGCAGTAAACACAGACAGGACTCGGGTCCAAGGTGGACTCAGTGTTGATCTAAGGGACCCACCTGCTGTCCAAGACCCCCGCTGGCCCTGAGGGCTGCCAGCTCTGGAGGGACGGGCAGAGGTTTGGCTCCAGGGATGGGCTCAGAGATGGGCATGCCCGGATGGTGGACCCCCGGAGGCAGGGTCCCACCTGTGCCGCTCATCTGCTGGGCCAGGAACATGGCTCGGTCCGGCAGCTTGTTGGGCTCGGCGCCGGCCTGCTGCCACAGCGGGATCTTCTGGGACAACAGCTCCTTCCCCTGGAGAACGAAGGAGGAGGAGGAGGAGGAGGAGGAGGAGGAGGAGGAGGACAGGGTTTAGAGAAGGAGATGTTAGGAGACGTTTCTGTGGTTTAAAACACGACTGTAACCTGCTCTTTAAACTGTTTTTAATCCCTCTGGATTAGAGATTAAATCATCAGGATTAAAAGATGAAAAACAACAATCAGACCTGAAGAATAAGAACTCCAATCCTCTTCGACTAAAACACCAAAATAAAAACAAAATTAGATTTAAGATATTAAAGTTAAAATCAAAGATTAAAAAAGTCTAAAATCTGAAAGAGTTTAAACTTTTTCTCAGTTATTCTCGCTGTTTTGACTTTTTAGTCTCAGATTTTTCTGGAATAAAGTTTAAATTCTGAGATTAAAATCAGATTTTTGACTCTTTAACTTTTTATTCTTTGAATTCAGACGTTTCTTATAATTTTTAAAGATGAAAATTCAGACTTTTTTCCTCAGAATTTAAGGTAAAAACCATCAAACATAAAAAAACCCTCTAATTTAAATCTCAGAGTTTTACATTTTTCCCAAAAAACTTTTGGCCTTTTTAAAAATTTTGTTTTCTTTTAAAGAATTTTAGGCTTAAGATAAAATTCTTTCAAATTTCTAGATTCTTGGATTTTTGGATTTTAACATTTTAGTTTTTACCAAATGTGAGAATTAGATTTTTCTGAGATTTGTAGCTTCTAAAAGTCCAAGGTTAAATGAAAAATTTGCAGAAATAAATTTTAACTTTGACTTTAATCTCAGAATTCATTTACAGATTTTTGCTTTTTGCTCCAGAATTTTGCTCTTTTTGTAAATTCTTTTGTAAATCATAAATCTGAGGCTGAAATAATATTTCTGACTCCTCAGAAAGTCTCATCTTTTTTGTTTAGAGTTGTTTGATTAAAATCATAATTATATTTTTGACGTACAGAACTCTGATTTTTTACTAACACTGATAATAATCGAGTGTTTCTCCTGAATCCTCGTAGATTCTTCTGGAAGTCGGTGTGAATTTCCTCTACAGACGTATAAACAGAGAGACACACACAGAGGTGGGACAGAGTCGTCCTCCTCACTCTCATCACTGAAGCCCTCGGCCCGTCCTCGTACAGCAGAGCTTCATCTCCATACATTATAGAGCAGCAGGACACTTACATAAGGACTCTGCTCATTTACATCCATCTTCAGAGAATAAATGAGAGAGTCCTGAATCCATGAATACTGGAGAGACGGCAGCTCTGCAGCTCGATCTGCAGTCTGAACTCCAGCAGGCATGTGTGGAGGATAAACACAGAACCGGTCCAAGGTGGTCTGGCCCTGCTGAGTGTCTGTGGGCGGCTGGGTGTGGGTGGGCTAATAAATTAACACATGCACCGAAATGAAAGTACGGCAGAAAGAAATTCACTCTAACAGGGTGAACATCTTGTTTCTTGGGATTTCAGCTCGGACCGCTCACTGTTGTGTTGGGTTTTTTTTTCACACCAACTTTAAAATAAGGATTTCACTTCCTGCAGACAGTCGTTCATTTTTCAGAAAGAGTCGGATCAATGAAACTGGAGTGAGCGGTCCATCAACCTTTCTGTGAGCGGACAGAAAAGTGTGTTTCAGAAGTGATGAGTCACCACCACCAGGACCTGGGCCGGCCGTCACAAACAGCGAAGGTAGAGCGTAGGTGGGTCAGCGTGTTTACCACTGAGATGATATAATCAACGAGCAGACGGTGGATTCGCTGTTCTTCATTAGAGCCGACCACCACAGCATCCAACAGAGGAGAGGAACGCTGAGACTCAGCGGGTCAATAAAGACCAAAAACAATCACAGATCTGCAGTAAGATAGATGTCTACTGAGCTCCCTCTCCTGTTTAAAGTGTTATAGATATATATCATCGACTGCTCAGAGAAAAGAAACAAGATTCACTGTAAAAAAACATCTCAGACCGACTAAAATACGACAGATATTCACTATGAGTCACAAATATACTTTTACTAGGGCTCAGATTCACTTTATCTAGGTCTGAGGTCCCAGATTCACTGTGACTAGTTTATAGAGTCTCAGATTCACTTAAACTGGGTCTCAGCTTTAATGCAGACTCTCTTAGATCTAATTCTTACACTCGAGCTTAAATTCACTTGGACCAGGTCTCAGTTTCCTTGTTAAGTCTTAGATCGTCTATCTAGTCCCGGGTCTCAGATTTACTGTAACTTTAGCTCAGATTAACTGGTGTTTGTCTCGGATTCTCCTGAACCAGGTCTTAAAAATCTCTATGACACACTTCAGATACAGACGGTCTCAGCTTCACTGTAAAGGTCTAAGGTTAACTTTAATTAGGTCTCAGCTTCACTGTATCTCGGTCTTATTGAATGTTTGATTCACTGTATTTTGGTTTTAGATGAACTCTTCACTCAGCAGGTCTTTAGTTCAGTTTATTACACAGAAATAATTAATAATAATTATTATTTTTCCACAGAAGCAGATAGTTTTTTTACTCAGACTCAGAGATCCAGAAACGTGTTTAGCGTTTTTTAAAGCGTCTCTTTGCATCTTTAACAGTTTTTAAGAATCATGATCTCCTCAGAATCTCCTGAATTCTTAATTCAGTGTAAAAATCGCCTGATAATCTGTTAATTCGGCCCCCCGTCCTCCTCCTGCTGCAGTCGTTACATGAACACCTTAAATCTGCTCGTCTTTATCGTCTGGACTTTGAGGATCTCTGATTTGGTTAAAATCTCTGCGGTGTTTCTTTCTAATCCTCTTCTTTCTTTTTATCCTTTCGTTCTCAGAGAAAGAGGAAAGATGGTTTTAAATTTTTAAACAGCTGATTATTCATGTAAATAACTGAACCTCACAGCACAGACGGACGTATCAGATCTTATAAAACCACATCTGTGCAGAAGAAGAAGAAGACGATCATCTCAGAGCGAACGTCGTTTGCATGTTTGTGGATCTGGGTTACGGCGTGGCGCTGACTCTTGGGTCTATAAAAATCTCCTCCGGCTGTTGGTGCATCATCATCATCATCATCATCATCGTCATCGTCGTTTTAACAGTTTGTGTTATGTGCTTCCTCCCTCTGTCTATCAATCACTCATTCAGACACTTTCACTCCCACACACGCCGAGTCTGATCACCCAGTGTTCTTACAGAAGTAGGTCACTCTCTCTCTCTCTCTCTCTCTCCCGCTGCCTCCCCACTTCACCCTCCTCCTCCTCCTCCTCCTCCTCTCCCATTCTCCGTCGCTCTCACTTCCTTTTACCACCTCACATTTCCCCGGCGAGAAGGAGGGCGTGTGGGTGGGAAATGCCCTCCTTCTTCATTTCTCGGAGATTATGAAACTCTTACAGAGAGGAGAAGTCCTGACGCCCAATCAGAACTTTTCCCTGCAGAACAGAAACTCGAACCTGCACCTTCCTCCACACTTGGAGGTTTTTATGTCTGTGGAATATTTTTATAAATGAAAAAGACGGATGTCCAGGGAGTTTACAGAAAAAACAAACATGAGGTTTTAGGTTTTAAGGTGACACCTCATAGTCTGGAGTCGTGTTCAACACTTCAAACCCCGCCGTCGATATAGTTTCCAGTTTCTCAGCATCTATACCGTGTATCTCTACGGGATTAAAAGTCTTCAATAGTTTACCCTTTTGGTGATCTATCGAGGGTTTCCAGACATTTCTACACCTGCTACAAGGTTTACAATCCAGACACAAAAATAGGTGTTTGATCAGAGACGTTTGATGGTAAATCTGCAGTGATATACGGTGAAAACAGGATTATTTATCAATAATCGCTAAATGCCGCTAATATCTTCTGGGTTTGACAAGCCGTTTTGATGACATCTTTTTCTGTCAAACCAATTACATGGTCTCATATTCTTCTCATACTCTTAGTGAACCGGATCCTAAAGATTCATAAACTGCACTTCCTCCCTCGGTCAAATAAATGCAGGTTTATTTGTTTGTCTGTTTGATCAGGTCCAAGCTCTTTGGCCCTCATCTTCTCCTGCAAAGATCAGGTCTAAGCTCTTTAACTCTCAGCTTCTATCTTTCCTTTGACGTTAGTGTCCAATAAGAGACAAGAAAGTTCCCTGTTTGTCTGTAAAATAAGAAATAATGATCCTCAATGTTTGGAAACAAGTAAAGCAGAGACTGTGAGCAGTCTGATGTGGTCCTCTGTCTCATCCCAGAAACAACTGTAAATAGTCAAAAACACCTGAAGAATGAGTGTAAATATGTCAATAGTTCCTGTTGTGTGTTTGTTCCAATCCTAATGTGTTTATATTTGCTGTGATTGAAAGGATCAAGTTTTAACTGAGATTTTTAAAAACATATCAGGGAGTTTGAAGGGTTAACCAGAGCAGCAGTAAATCGATCATCTCGCCCCGCAGTAACGTCACAAACTGAAGGGTAAAGAAACGGCGGTCTCGCGGCGTCTCTCTCGCTCACCTTGCCGTGGTAGGTGTTGCTGTTTTTGGCGACGGCGCACTGGCGGTCGACCAGGAAGCAGTACCTCCTCCTCTCCTCAGACAGAGCGTTCTTGTAGCCTTCGGCGATGTAGTTGTCCAGCTCGCTCTGCTTGTTGCTGATGGCCTCCACGTACTGCAGTAAAGAAGAGAGAGAGAGAGGGCGGTGTTAAAGACACGCTGACACGGTTCGACTTCAGGCCCTCAAACTTTCAGACTTTAAATCCGTCCACCGTGAATCCTCCTCACCTGGATCCTGGTCTCACCGTTTACATCATCAAAATTCACCTCTTTAGAAAAAAACATCTCCTCAACCTCAAACAAACTCTGATATATGGCGTTGTCATGGAAACGCTGCATGATTCATATGCTCTTATAACGCTGCTGTCGTATCCTGAATAGAAAACAACATTTCTGCAGCTTCACAGAAACTTCCTTCAGACTTTAGGAGACGAGCCGAGCATGGAGCTGTGTGTGTTCACGCCGTTAAAGAGAAACGGAAGAAAACAGGCGGTTAGAAAAAGGATTTCTGAATGAAGTTTATCCTGTTAGTTTAACAAACTCATATTTCATGAGTGCAGCTGAAGTCATGATGATTATAACATTATTATTATTAAATGAGTGATAAATGATTTTAGTCAAAAGGAACATGAAGTTTTATTAAAGTATCTATCAGGCCAAAAAGTTCGTCTTCGTTTCTTCAGAGTCTCCGACCTTCACTCAGCTCTCAAACTTGGATCTGGACTGACCGTCAGAAACAGTCTGAGGAATCGAACCCTCGACCCTTCAGACCCCTGAGCCACAGTAACAGAGAGTCTGACTGATTTTAACAGAAGGACGGAGCAGATCGAGGCGTTGAACATCCTCACAGTCCTGACGGGTAAAAACAGACAAATGGAGGTTTAAGTACGGCTCGGAGTCTGAGCGTCTGCTGAGTTCGGCTCTGAAAATGTCAGCGCACATCAGAGCCGCTAACCGTGAATTAGAACAAAAGTGTCCTCAGATGACGGAGCTCTTTATCTCCTCTGATCAGACTCCTTCACTCCCTCCTCCTCCTCCTCCTCCTCCTCCTCCTCCTTCTTCTTCTGCGGTGACTCAGCTCAGGACGTCGTCTCTCCTCTGAACAATCCTCCAGGTGAGCTCACCTTCGTCCTCAGGTCCCCTCCTGTAACTGAGAGTATTTAAAGACTTCTACAGAGCGGAATAATCTGAACCAGCGTCGTGAAGTGACAGACGGCGCCCAGATCCAGAAAAAGGTGTTAATGAGTGAGAGAGCGGCGGGCCTACGCGGCGTCATCGAACACGGCTGACTGGATCAGAGAACGCCGTCTCTGCAGAGGACGGAGTCAAGGTGCAGAAACCAAAGTGAGTGATTTCAGACGAAGGAGTTATCTCATCCAGAGGACCAATCAGTGCAGAGACAGAGGTGCTAATGAAGTCATTAATGAGGACATTCATGCATTCATTAGAGAGGATTTCTGCACCGAGAGACGATCTGTGAATTTATGAATCAAACTTCTGAGAGAAAAACACAAACGGTCAAAATAAACTGAAGAAAACTGCGTCTAAAAAAAAAAAATCACTCTTTGTTCTTTTTAATATTTCAGATTTTGGAAAGTTTTTTTTTATTATCTACACAGACCAGCTGCTGCCAAAAGAGTCTGTTAATATGAAATTGATCAGTTATTATTGATTATTATTGATGAATTCTACTGCGCACTGCGACGTCGAAATGACATCTATTCAACATATTTTTTCAACGATGAGGTCCAAATGTGGACGTCGATTTAACGTCTAAAAGAGGTCCAATAATGAGGCCCACACCTTGGTTGTGCCGACGTCTAGATTTGATCTTCAGATGACGTCCAAATTCTAAACGTCAGAGCGACGTCTAAAAAAGGTCCAATTTGGACGTTGAAATATCTAAACTTTTTTTCACGTCGCACTGACGTCTAGATGTGTTCTTTGACGGACCGACCCGATACCGACTTGATCTGCACATCTCTTCGACGTCCGATGTTTGATGTTTTAACCGAACTTTGTTCTTCGGTATCAGAGCTGAAAACATCCTTCACTCTTTCTACTTTAAAATCTCGTCTTTAAACTCATTTTTATTCCTTTTATTTCAACAGGACAGTTCAGTCTGATCTCTTTTATCACTTTTGTTACTTTGTGTTTTTATTTCATTTTAAATCTTTTTTTTTTTACCTGCTTTTATTTATTTCATCTTGATGTTTTCTGTCGTGTCTGTTCTTTTTAGTTTTACTGAAATCCAATTAAATCACCTCATGTCTTATCCAATCATACAGAATTATTCTGAACTGTAGAAACACTTCTCTGAAAAATCTGGTCGTTCGGTAAAAATGATCATTTTAACGTCTCAGTTTTCATGTTTCACAGTCACAGAACAATTTCAACCAAACGACCTGAAACTGGTCAGTAAATTTAATAATAATAATAATAATAATAATTATTATTATTATAATAATGATGTTGTTGTTGTTGGAGGGAAGATTGAAGTGATTTAAGATCAGATTGGTGAAGAGATTCAGACGATAAAAACTTTAACTGCTGAAAAACACGACAGAGATCAGGTCAAAGTTCCTGTTTTCTGACATACGTTCAGATTTCTATTTAAGACTCAGTCTGTTGTGAGAAGGTGGAAGAGAAGACCTCTTCGGGGAGTCAATGATGAGATATGAGAGATTATGGGCTAATACTTCATCAATAAAGAAGAGAAAGTTCCTGGTTGATCAATGATTTCCCTGAATTTTCTCAGTTTTTATGATCAAAACTCATAAAACTCTAAACATGTCAAAAATAAATCACCTGTAACCATCTCCATCCTTCACAGCTGCTCTGAGTTCGTCTGTGTTAAAGGAGGTCTGACTCCTCTGATCGATCGATCGATCACGGAGACGACGGGCTGAATCTCACAAACTTTTATTCTCAAACCCAGTTTCCGACCTTCTCAACGAGGAGTTCAAGGAAACCCTCGTCTCTGATCTGAGGATGATTCTCCGGAGCAGAGATTTCAAAGAACCAAACAAGGTCCTGGACGTGGGCGAACAATGGCGCAACGTTCCCCGATCACCCACGGCGTTGAAGCGTTGAATAAGGAGGCGCTGCGGCGGCGGCGGCAGAGGAAGACGAAGGCCACCTGTGATTCATTCAAATGACAGATCTGGAGAGGCTTTCAGGGCGCCCACGGTAAACAAACAACACGCAGGTCTGAGCGAGGTCGGCGGGGTCACCTCCCGGGGTCAGGTGGGCTGAAGGGGAGCTGTCAATCACCAACGTGGAGGAGGGAGAAACCGCCAAGGACTCAGGCGGAGTGACGCTGGGAGCGCTTTATTTTTGTGAAGTCGACAGAAAATCTGATCAGAGTGAAATAAAGAGGCGGATCAAGAGACGGCGGCGGCGGCGCTTTGTTGGCCTGTCTGCTTCCTGTCCGTGATTGGAGCTGGTTAAAGGGGTTCAGTGAAAGCTCCTGTGAGCTCTGAGAACAGGCGCTGTCAAACACCGAGTCAGAGGAATCAGAGAGGAGAACTGACGGAGCTTCATTCACAGAGAGAGAGACAGGAAGTGACGGACTTCAAAATAAGAGCATGACGGACTTTGTCTAAAAAATTAACCGACTGTGAGTTTAACAAACTCTGAGTTTCTCCTCCTCTTTACAGTCGGCTGCTCCTGATGACCTCAGCAGACCTCCCCTCTCCAGGTGAGTCTGTGGGATTAAAGTTTGTTTGGGCTCCAGCTGGGATTAACCATCAGCTGTGATTCTGACCACGTCCCAAAATAATCCAGATTATAATTTTCACCTTAACTGAGCAGCCGTCGATGAGAATCAGGCGGATCGACACGTGTTAGAGAGTTAAAAACAGGCGGGGGGAGCATCAGCACAGACCGCCAACAGAGGGTGGAGCTAGAGCGAAGGCGGGTGCTGATGCATTGTGGGTCTGAGTCGGTTCTATTACCCGTCTGAAAACACGACGTCTCTCTCTGTAAGTTTGATCGGATTGGAAACACCGAACAGTTTCCAGTTCCTGTTTTATGATCAGCTGTTCGCTCTGAGCGTCAGTCCGGTCAAACGCCGCCGTCGGTTTCTGCTGACACTGAGCGCGCTCAGCAGTTCAGACATGTGCGGCCTGTTCTGCTGCTGCTGTGTTCAGGATTTATTGACTTGATTTCACATTTAAAAAAAACCTTCTGCTGAGTAAGAAGCAGGTCGGGTTTGTAAATCGATAAACATAAATGTGAGACGGCGTGACACGATGAGAGGTTTGTCTTTTTTTTTAATCTGCTTATGAAAGAGCGGCGCCGCTCGATGACCTGCAGCAGAAACCAGCCTGTCAGCAACCAGATCCACTTCCTCTGGACCGTCGTTTCTCTGCAGAGGTGTGAGAGTCTGAGCGGACGACTCAGAACTTCTTTAACAAAAACATCTTCTGTACATCTGAGATCAAAAAACACCAAAATCAGATCTGCAGCCTGATTCAACCTGCAGAGTCTGAAGGACAGACGGAATCATCAGAGTAAAGGAGAGAGAGAGGTCCGGGGTTCGACTCTCAGAAAAACTCAAAAACACTAATCTGCAGGAACGGCTCTGAACACGGAGAGAACTGAAACATAATCCTGCTCATGTATGTCAGGAATCACAACAAACCGAGTAAATTCAGACTTTCCTCCTCCTCCTCCTAACTCCTCAAACTGACAGACATCTTGACTCCATCGTGCTGAGAAGAAGAAAAAGAGAAATAACTGAAAGTAAAAACAGACAATTGAGTTAACCATCTCTAAAGATCTCTGTCAGCTGGAGAGAGAGAGCGAGAAAATCATCATCTCAGGAGGAAGTGATTCTTACAGACGACTCAGAGGTCCTCAGATATCTCAGTCCACGGAAAACTGAAACATGACTTTAATGAAACTGAAGAAGGAGAAGAAGGAGAAGAAGATGGACCTCAGGTTGAAGCTCTTCCTGCCTCAGACTCGTCCTTTCTTTCCTCAAACTGAAGAAGAACCTGTTCTATTGTCATCCTGATGTTTCCAGCTGTGAGGTTCTCCAAACTCTCACGCTGACCTTCCTCAGATCATGAGATGATAATTACACGTTCTTCTCCACGCAGGAGCTGAAACCGCAGCAGGAACCACAAACGAAGGCGGTTCAGCGTTAAATTTAGCCGCTGTCGGAGAAACACCTCCTGACAACGTTTCTGTAGGAGAGAGTAAACCGCTGCAGGTCGACAGGCGGAGATCTCACTTAGAGGAAAGTCAATAAAACCGTTTTTATTTCTCTCCCACTCAAACCTTCAGATTCACGATGGAACGGCTCCTCTTCCTCCTCCTCCTTCTTCTTCTTCTTCTTCTTCTAAAACCACTTCAGCCGACAGGAGTGAATCACAGACGCTTCAGACACTCTGGACCTCTGAGATGATAAATTATCTCCAGATTTCTGAAGTGATGTGAAGTCTGAGCAGGAGTCGGAGAGTCAAAGACGATCAGAACACGAAGATCGGAAAACGGGTCGATCCTCACGTCTGTGAGAAATGTCGGTGTTTCAGGAGCGTCTTCATCTCTCTGGAGCTGTTTTTACTTCTCTTTAGTTTTTATTAAAGTCACGGTTGACGATTGTAGAGGTTAGTAATTATTATGAACCTCGTTTCCATGGCGATCGTGGTCCTAATGTGCGATCGCCACAAAGAGGAAAAAGCAGAGTTTGAAGTTAGCGTAGGATCTTCTGTCAGAGGGGGCGTGTCCTGGGGAGGGCGGTACAGGTTCAGGGGGCGTGTCCTGGGGAGGGCGGTACAGGTTCAGGACGTTTTCTTCAAACCCGCCTCATCGTCTCAGTTTTTATCAGCTGCTTCTCTGATCGTCGACCTGGACTTTAAGATCCTGCAGCAGAAGGAGAATCTGCTGCATCATCATCATCATCATCATCATCATCATCGCCTTCATTCACAGACGAACATCTCCAACGATCTTCAGCAGCAGATTTATCAGACGCTGCTCTGTGCTCACGCAGCAGTTTGGACTTTATGGCGCCTGAGGGACGCCGCTGTAAAAGTCTGACTTTAATATTAACATCAATCATGAGCAGGAGGAGCGAACGCTGACCACGAGGATCTATGCTGAGGCGTATCTATGCTGCAGCACCTCATTAGGAGCTGGACAGTGGGAGGACAGAGAGCGAACATCTATACTGTCTATACTCTGCTGACCCTGAACGCACCCTGAGAACTCGGCATGCTGGGAGGAGATCATGGAGGCAGATCTTCGCTGAACTGTGTGTCTGCTGGTCCTGCCAAGACCCTTATGAGGCACAGCAGGACGGTCGAGACGCTGCAGAGAAGAAAGCAGAACTGTCCTCTCTCTCTCTCTCTCAGCGAACACCTTAAAGCCCCGGGGGTCTGCAGGACTGAGGTCTGAACGTTTGTGTTCAGCTCCTCTCAGCTCCTCTCAGCTCCTCTCAGCTCCTCTCAGCTCCTCTCGGCTCCTTCCATCGATTTCTGTACCGACTGCTCCTCTCATGCTCCGGCAGCCATCCAGCGCAGAAACACTAACAATTACACAAAGATTAGCTCCCCTGCTGCTCCGACAGGCCCGAGCTGCTGCTGCCTCCTTCACCTCCTTCACCTCCTTCACCTCCGTCTCCATCTCTCCTCTGAACACTCCAGTTTTTCTTGAACTTGTCGTTTTTCTGTAGATAATCCAGATCCAGACTCTGATCAGGACTCTCTAAATCTTGATTTTGTGTTTTAATGTTGTTTCCTGGTCGGTCGGTGCAGATGAGAGGATGAAGCTCCATCCTTCCTGCAGCAGCTCCACTTACATGGGAGTCCTGCTGACGAGGCAGAAATAGAACAACAACACGGGCTGAGTCTGAGTCACAGACCGAGTTTTCACAGTCGGCTGTTTCTGATTCATATGAAAACCAGGAAAGTGACACTGAAACAAACAGGCCCTGCAGGCCCACAGGTCCACCGGGTCTTCAGTCCGAATCTGAGATCTTCATTTCTTCATTTCTGCGTTTGAGAAGATTTTCAGGTGAAAACTCAACAAACTCAAGGACAACAACTAACATCCCAAACTCTGCGTCGCTCCGCTGAGAGGATCTGATTTATCAGAAATCACATAATGAAAACAACAGCAGCAGCAGCAGCAGCAGCTTCTCCTCTGCAGGTTGTGTAAGAGGCGACGCCCAGTATGTGTCACCGCTACACCTACAGGCGTGGGCGCCGTCAGATGGAGACTCGCACTGTCTCCTCACGCCTCCGCTCGAGCAGATAACTCGACATGAGAGAGAAAGCTTCACTCAACCATTGAGCTGTCCTAGATTTGATAAACAAATATGATATAATAATCCTGACAGAGAGAAGACGCTGATGAAGAAGATCAGAGTGAAGTAAACAGACGCAGTCACGGGGGCAGAGTCTCAGAGTCAGTGTTTTCAAACTCCGAGTAAACACGGAGGTTCAGATACGCCCGCCTTTTCCTTTGTTCCTTTGTTTACTCTCACACACACACACCATCGTAGATCTATACTAGAGTTACTCTATATGAGAGGAGGAACCGACAGCAGGAAACAATACGAGAAAGTAAAATATACTACAATGATGGTGAGAAATACAAGAATACTACAGAAGGACTCCATACAAGAGAACAACATGATATAATATAGGGAGCAGTATATGATATGAAACGATGTGATATGATAAGAAATGATACAATAATATAAGATATGATACCATACAATAGAACACAATACAGTAAAATATGGTACAATATAATACAAGATGATACAATATGATATGATAGGGTATGATATAATACAGTTTAATATGATACTATATAAATCAATAATAGAAATATTATTATTATTATTATCATATCATATTGTAACATATTATACCTTCTCATATCATATAATAAAAAAAGATATAATGATAATTATGATTATCCTATATTTTTGTATATTATCATTACCATATCGTATAATAATAATAATAATAATAATCACCATCATCATCACAACAATCATAAAAATAATAACAATAATAATAATAATAATAATTATTATTATTATAATTATCATTATTTTTATTGTTGTTATTCTGATTGTTATCATTATTATCATATCTTTCCATATCATATTGTATAATATCGTATCATATTGTACTGTATTGTATCATATGATTTAGTTTAATATTGCATTATATCATATCGTAATATATTGATCGTATCATATGGTCTCAGATTGTATATTCCTATATTACATCATGTTGTTCTCTCATATGTAGTTGTTCTGAATTATTATTATATTTTTCTCGATTATTATTACTATTTTTATTATAAATTATTATCATTATTATCACAAAAAGCTTAATTTTTGTCGTATTTCCTGAGCTCTGGTTGCTGTTAATGTTTTGTCATGTTTTAATTTGATGCAGTGATTTTCCAGCTGAGGCGTCTGTTTGACTCGATAATGATCCATGAAAAAGTCCCAGCATTAGAGGTGAAAACAACACACACCTCTGCTCCTGCACACACACACACACTCGTCCACTACAGTCCGGTCACACACACACTCACACACTCTCACACAGACTGACCTGCATCTCCTTGTCTCCGTATTTGGAGGGGTGTTTGCTGCCCTGGCTCTTCCGGCGCAGTTTCTTCAGCTCGGCCTGGCACTTCTCCAAACTCTCCCCTTTGCTCTTGTGCTCCATCTGGTACTTCTTCAGTGCAGCCTGAGGGGGGCAGCACACAGTCAGCAGGGGATCAGACACGCTCAGAAAGGTCACTGATAAACCCAGACTCTATTATCTCACTCTGAGAGTATGAGGATGCATGAGGAGCGGAGATTCCTGCTGTTGAATTTAAAGTCGATTTAAAAGAATATTTAAGTTCATGTTTCTGGAGTGGATTTGGTTCAGGAGTCTCTGGAGTCTGCAGATTTGAGAACTTTTCCTCTCTGTTTGTCAGCTCAGCTGTTGGCGGGTCAAACAAACTGAAAATGGAGGACAGGGTTTGAGGGAACAGCCTCCTTCAGATATCTCCCTGCTGTGTGAAGATCTTTCCTGTTTTTTTAAGAAGTTTTTTTCTTTCATGTGTTTCTCTGAACTTTAAGAGTTTGGCTCTGAAATATGAAACAGCACATTAAATATTTGGCATGTTTTTCTCTCTATTAGACGGAATAACTAAGCAGGCGATCTACAAAGGCTTTAAAACTTTAGAAATAAAACAGATCCGGTTTTAGGATTTTTCCCTCCGACTAAACTGTAAAATGACGAACCGCTGCTCTGTAACTGTTGAACGGATGTAAACGCAGCAGAGCGAACACCGTGTCCTCTTTGTGCTGCAGGATCTACGGCTCATGACAAACAAAAACTGAAGGAAACGTGAAAATATGCAAATTTGAGAAATGATGTCATTGAACGGTTTTCAGCAGATTAAAAAAAAAACGACATTTTTTTGGCAGAATCGATTAAAAAAACATGAAATTGGCTCCTGAAGCCGCCGCTCCGTCCTCCGTTTGGATTATGAAATGATTTCAGGACCGACTCCAAACAACTGATCAGCATAAATGAAGACGTGCTGATTCCTCGTCTTTCTCCCTCTTGTTTTGCTCGTTTGCATATGAACTCATTTTCTCAGATTGACTCATAATTCTCGGGCCAGAGTGGGAAGCGTTTTATGTAACTCGCTGCAGAGGTTTGGAGGAGAGCCGGAGGGAAATTATGGAGAGAGAGAGAGAGAGAGTGTCTCACTGTAGACCCTGCAGACCTGGACCCGGGTTATAATCGGTGCTGCGTTCAGGTGCTCAGTGGGTCAGGTGGGCTGTTTCATAACAGACCCTGGAGTTGGAAATAGGTGTCATTATGACGGGCGCTTCAAACGGAGGTCGACGGTCTGTGAGAGAAGTTAGAGCTGCTTCAGTCCTGAACTTCAGTGATGGAGTTATGAAACTAAACCGCTGTGTTAGCATGAAATATTAAAGGGATAGTTCTGCTTTTTTTAAAGTGAGGTTCAGAACAAGAGTGAGCGAATTACCCACAGGAGGCGCCGGTCAGCTCCACACCCCACACAGAAGCTAAGCTGCAGATAAAGTCAACTAAACCACATCATTTAGACAAAAGACTCGTGTCAGTCTGAGTGTTTGTTCTCTTATTTTCAGTGGAAGGTTCAAGAGAGAGAGAGCATGTAATTAGAAAACAGTGTAGGACAGAGAACAGCGCCCTGTGGGACTCCATTCAGGATTCACTGACGTCCTGCCTTAGACCAGCTTAGATATGGAGTGATGAGAGACTTAATGATTCAGAGACAGATGAGAGGAATCTATCATAGATCTGCTGCAGAGTGAGATAAAAACTGTGCGGTTGGAGATCTGAACCCCAAACCTCCACCTTCATCCTGATCGTCTACGAAAAGATCGTATCCTCCGATCGTAGCTGATCGTAACCATTCAACATCCGGCTTCTTTTCAAAATAAAACACTAATAAAACATGCCAGCTTTTGCACCTTTGCATCTATGAAATCTACCATGTAAGTGGCGAGCCAGCCAGGAGCTAGTGGCTGATTATTGGTAGGGACGTGTTCCTAGTGTCTCTATCCAATTCCACGCCCTTGATTGTCAACATGCATTTGTTACTTACTGGCAATTTTCATGCAAACGGGCGGAGACGAACAAGTGAAAGGTTTTTAGACGTCATTTCACCCCGATGACACCATGGATGAGGAGATGCTGATTCTAGAAGTCTAGAAGTAGATTTCCTCCTCTGGAAGGACACAATCTACTGCTTATATGTCTATGTGTCTGTCTTTAGAGAGACAAATCGTTATCGTGAGATTGAACGTGAATCAGCGGGTTCTTGTGAGTTCTCGTGATTACCTCTGTCCGTAATCCGCCATGAAATTCACCTCACAAACGGATCTAGTAGGAGGTGGCGGACGGGGAAAATCGCCGCCATTCTGGATCGGAGCTGTTCCGGATGCGGTGGAAATTGCTACTTTAAACTCGTCTCTACAGAAGTTTGAGACCAGATTTTAGATGACCTCCTTTATAACCTAATGACTTGGCTCTCCCTGCTCTCCTCTCCTCTCCTCTCCTCCTCTCTCCTCTCCTCCTTCTGCTCCTCTCCCTGCTCTCCTCTCCTCTCCTCTCCTCCTTCTGCTCCTCTCCCTGCTCTCCTTTCCCTGCTCTCCTCTCCTCTCCTCTCCTCTCCTCCTCTCTCCTCTCCTCCTTCTGCTCCTCTCCCTGCTCTCCTCTCTCTTTCTCTAAGCGTTCAGGAGAAATGTGGTCTTACGTTCAGGTAGCGTGCGTCCAGCTCCACCTTCTTCTCCAGCTCCGTCAGCAGCTCGTTGTGGAAAGACTTCAGCTGAAGAAAATAAAAACACAAACATCTCAGAAACAAAACGACTCATTAAAAAAAGAACAAAACTGAAGCACAACCACAGAGCAGAGCTTCACAATGCTGTATTGTTGTGGTGGGGGAAACTTAGAGGGGCGTGTCGGTGCTGATCGGAAATGTCACGCCCCTGAAGACCACAGGAGGAGGGCTGGTATGTTTCTGAGCGCGCTCAGTCTGAGTTTGTTGGAGAAAAACAGATCTGTAAATTTAGGAGCTTCCTGTTAAAAACCTGAGAGGTTTAAGATGATGAATGTATTTTATAAAAACACGACTTTAGTGTTTCCATCGTATCATCTCTGCCCTCCAACTTTTATTACTCGTTAGGATGAGACGACGCTCCGTTAAAAAGCCCTTTTAAGAAACACTCGGCGTCCGCCTGTCGTCTTTCTGATGACTAAACGTCTCCTCTTCATGCTCTCGCTAAATTGGCCAATTTTCTCATTAGGTTCCTCGGTCTGTGGTGGCTTTAAAATTCTGATCTGATCAGACTTAAAGATACAGGAGAGGGAGGGAGGGAGAGAGAGAGCGCGTTTATCCAAACCAACAGGCCCACAATCTGTTCCAAGAGCTGATTTTAGCAACGCCGCCGCCATGGCGGCAGCCGTCACCACATGCTCACCATCTCTTCAAGCTGGATCTGGATCTGTCTGTGCACTTCAGCCATCTGAAAGAGCACCTCCCCTGCAGAGAGACGACAAAGAAGAGAGAGACAATCAGCCGAAAGGGAAGAAGAGAGGGACGTTCAAGAGACAGACACAAACATCGTGCAAAAAAGACCATGCAGCCACACAGAACAGATGAGAGACAGGTGTGAGGAGGACACGATGGACACGATGAGACGACAAAACCAGGAGCTGAGTCCAAATCAAAAACAGGAAGTATGCAACAGAGACAGAATGAGTCAAAGCTTTAATCCAGAAATCTACTGAATGACTGAAGAGTTTTGAAGTTTTCATTAAACCGATGAGACAGAGGAGCAGGATGGAAACCGAGGATGTCGTCTGAGCAGAAGGACGAACGCTGAACTACAACCAAACGAAAAAAACACAGAGAAAGCAAAAACAGAGAAAGAAATTCAAACAAAAGAAGAAGAAGAAAGTAAAGATGATTCATGCAGCCAGGGAGGAGCGTGCTGTTTGAAGATACCTACATGCTGCCTCTTCTGAATATGCAATGCGTTGTAAAAAAAGGAACAAAAGAACTAGTTTGAGCAAAGAACAGAGAGAGAGACCTGGAGAGACAGTGAGAGATCCAACTACCCGAGAAAAATGAGAGAAACACACAGATACACAACAACAACAACAACAACAACAACAACTACACACTCAGACACTCAGGCTGTTGGTCACACCCTCCTCTTCCTCACTCCTGGATCTTCATCTTCATCAGAGGAGGACTTTTTATCTGCTTTAAAAAACGAGGTCAGGAGGTCCAGGACTTTGTTAAACGGCATCACTATGGTAACGACGTCACTGGGGATGGGATTGGTAAACCAGTCCGGATCAGAACCGGCTCTGACCAGTTTGAGACATCTATATTATAAACAGTTCTCTTAATACAGGAGACAGGATCCAAGACACTGAGGAATACAACCAAAAAAACTGAAAACAGAGAGCAGGACGGAGTGACCTCCTCTAAAATCCACTCGCTCCGTGAGACCAGCAGCTTTTTCTAAGACTACTCTGGTTCTGCCACATCAGCAGGTTTCAGTGACCGTCTAGATCTGACCCCTCAGACACAAACGTGAGCAAACATTTATCAGTTTAAAGAAAGGTCGTCGTTTCTGTAGAAGGTTTACGAGGAGGAACTGATCAGGGATCTGATCAATAATGACATAATATCAATAAAATTTATAAAACTGTTTAATTAAAAAACATTTCAATACAGGAGATTTTCAGGTGTTTTTCACTGAGCAGTGAGGAGGTTTTGTGAAACCGGGTTCTTCATTAAAGATGTGAGAGAAAAACTCAGGTTTAGTTCAGCTTCAGTTCAAGTTTAAGTTCAGGTTTAGTTCAGGTTTAGTTCAAGTTTAAGTTCAGGTTTAGTTCAGGTTTAGTTCAGTTTAAGTTCAGGTTTAGTTCAGGTTCAGTTCAGGTTTAGTTCAGGTTTAGTTCAGCTTCAGTTCAGGTTTAATTCAGGTTTAGTTCAGGTTTAGTTCAGTTTAAGTTCAAGTTTAGTTCAGGTTTAGTTCAGTTTAAGTTCAGGTTTAGTTCAGGTTTAGTTCAGTTTAAGTTCAGGTTTAGTTCAGGTTTAGTTCAGTTTAAGTTCAAGTTTAGTTCAGGTTTAGTTCAGCTTCAGTTCAAGTTTAAGTTCAGGTTCAGTTCAGGTTTCATTTTCTGACTCAAAGGTCCAGTGTGAGTCTGGAGCTCTGGAGCAAAAATGTTCATTTTTTAGTTTTTCAGTCAACCCAAACCTTCACCATCAACAGAGACGGTCAATAAAATCATAAATATTATAAATGCAGTTTAAACTAACGGACATATAGAGTTTAACTTATTAAAAAATATAAATATAATCCACTGAATCCAGCAGATCTACCAGCTCTATGTTCGTATACCTGCAGAAATCGAACAAATCAGTGAGTAATGAGGTTTAGTGTTTATGATTCAGGTCTCTGTAAAGCTGTGTGGTGTGATTTTTAACAATATGTTAGAATAATTAGTCACATTAAACAGAGGAAGTCATCAAACCTCAGATTCAACAGACCTCAGCATGAGTCTGTGTGAATTACTGATATATTTATTTATTTGGTCTGTGTCTTTAAAACTCATCTTCTTCTGCTCACTGACAATTACTCCAAACGAGCCGCTAATGTGCGTTAATGACGCTCATCTGCAGAATGTCTGCTGACATCAGATCATGGATGACGCTGACGGGCGGACAGACGGGGCTGTGAGTGAGTGAGTGTCGGAGGATCTGTGGACAGTGGGCAGTCCGAGGGGACGCTGGGAAAGTGGGCAGACTGAAGAACAGGATTAATGGGCTTAATGGAAGTGCTGTGGTCATGCAGGGGAGACTCAGGTGGTGGAGAAGGGATTTAGGAAAGGTCAGAGAGGGCGGAGGAAGTGAGAGCTTAAGTCCTGGATTTGAGTCTGAGGAGCCGGTCCTCCACTGGAGGATTTCCACACTAGAGTCCAAAGAGACGATTTACTTTAATAAAAGCATCAGATATTTGAGGATTTCACAGAAAAGAGATGAATGTTGTCGACCGCTTACTTCTCTAGTTACACCAACTTTAGTAACGACCGCAGGATAGAAATACAGAGAGCCACGCGCTCAACCAAAACGCCACTCTATAGCCACAAATAATGCTCAGAACAGCACCTAACTTCATCAACAGGACATATAGGGTCACAGACATAGTTTTTAAAGGAGTTTTTATTGAGCCGAATTATCAATAAAATTATGATTTTGTTAACAGGTATGGATTTATGTGCTGTCGAGTTAATATATTTGAACAAGAGCACAGTAAAGTTAAATCAGCTAATTTTCCAATGAGGTTCTGTTACTGAACTGAACTACACCATGTTCTATTGAGGTTAGTACATATAGGGTCCCAGCCATAGTACTAGACACCAAACATCTTTTTAACTTTGACTCATTTCTTTAGCAAAGAGACTAAACACAACTCACCTACTCTCTTCCAGCAGACGCTTGTTTGTGGGGTCGCCCTGACGAGTCGATTACTAACTTGTGTTTCTTGTATGTGCACTACAGATGCGGTAGGTCATCTGCCTTAGCGTCTCAGTCTGATTGTGTACGAGTGTGTGTGTGTGTGTGTGTGTGACAGCAGCAGAAGGAGCGGCGAGGAGAATAAATGCAGCGGCGTGTTTTTTTCAAACTCCCCTTTGATTCTTGGAGGGCGCCCAACACACTCTCCATCCATTAATGAACAACCAGTGGGACCGACAGGCCACGGGGCTGAACTCAGGCCCCTCCACACACACACACACACACACACACACACACACACACACACACACACACACACACACACACACACACACACACACACACACACACACACACACACACACACACACACACACACTAACATCAGAGAGTGGGAGGAATTTATTCAGTGTACCAGTCTGTTTTTGTGGAGGTGACGGGGTTATTTGACTGAACTGCTCTTTATTTTAATTTATAAACATGTTCCTGTTTTTAATTTTATTTCAGTTTCTTTTCCTGATTCAAGTCAAATAAATCACACAAAGTCCAGAGGAAACTTCAAACTTTTAACTCTGTGGTCTTGAACTTTCACCCTCTCAGTTTGTTTATGATCCTCGTACAAAAATATTCAGATTTGAACATTTCTGCATGTTCTTCATGTTAGCGTGTCTTTTTGTTGATATTTCATCTGTGAGCGTCTGTAGATGGACTAGAGTATCACCAACTGTCCTGAAGTCTGATGGATCAAAATCAAACTCTCTTTTGGAAAAGACAACTGGACTTATTGGGACGTTTCTCCAACGAAGAACTGTAAATCCTAGATGCTGCATCCTCAGTTTTAAACAACATCTCCAGGTTTAGGAGGAACATCTGCATCCATCCAGACAAAGACTTTTCCAGGGAAGACCTTCATGATCCCAGACTTTCAGATCACAGCCTTCCTCTCTCTAATCTTAAGGCGCCGTTTTCGCCTCCATAAAACGCCGCCTTTGTCATCATTTCTGACTTTTACGACAGCTGTTCTCGTCCTCAGGCTGATTAAAGTCGCTCCTCTTCTTTCTCGGGGTTCAGTTACAGACCAGCGTCCGCGTCTCTTTTCTTCGCCCTTCAGAGGAGCAGATGGTCGGTCTGAGGTCACCCGGAGAGTCTGACCTGATGCTTCACGTTCAGGTCGGTTTTAGAGAGTTCAGATGTCGGTTTAACGAGAAAGAAGAACAGTTAATTTAAGTGAGTTCATAAATGTGATAGTAGCTCTTATATTTTACTAGCATGGTGATCTTAACGAGGTTATTTCCTTTTCTTTAGCGGACAGAACAGCTGACGAGAGGCAGGGTTGAGAGGAGTAAATATTTGGGTTGAGAGGAAACAGGACGCTGTTTTGACATTTAGGACACAGTAATCTACATTTACTGGCCTTTTACGGACAAGGTAACCTGCTCTGTTTGAGAAATGATTTACAATAACTGCCTTCAGTTGACCTTCGATTGTCAAACTTCATTTATAAAATATCCCGGATAACCGAGCCTGAACGTTACGGACTAATCTTCATGATTTCCACCAACAGTTTGGGTTTAAAATCCTCTGATCGGACTTTTCTTTTCTTCTTTTCTTCTTTTCTGTCTACCTGTCTGTCTGACCTGTTTTTAGCGGTGTTGCCGTGTTCCCAGACTTCAGCAGCTGTTAAAAAGGAACGGCCAAAAACCGAACTCATCAGATCCAAACTGTTGTAAACACCCGACAGGTACCTGAGTATCAAACTCGGCGCTTTGGAAGATCCCCAAACTCGTCTAATCCAAAAACCGTTTTTGTGAAATAGTGGAATTTAACCCAGCGAAGAAAAGCAGCTTACTGATAATCAGAGCAGATCTGAACTTGTGGGGCTTACGGAGGAGAAAAGCACATTGTTGTCCCTGCAGCGTGAGCGGGTCTGGATCGATGCTGACGGGTCGATGCTGAACGCCGACACAGACTGAGACGGTTATTTCCCTTCAGTGTCGACAAACGGAAACTAAACGTACGAGTTTAATCGAGTTTATGACAAACTTCCTGAATGAAGAGAAAAAAAAACATGTTTTTGTTTCTTAAAGACTCACAAGACCTTCGTTAATTCCTGTTCAGAGGTTTAACGCTCACGAGGAGAGAATCGAGGTTAGCGCCCAAAAACAGATTTGACAGAGTGAAGTTAGAGCTTCTGTATCGACCAAACTGAGGCAAAGTTCATCCTGGAAATATGACGCCATCAAGTCAGTGAACGTCCTCCAGGAGGAACATCTGCGTCCATCCAGACCAGAACTTCTTCAGGGAAGACCTTCAGATGATCCCAAACCACATCGAGTCCTCAGGCTACAGCAGATCGATAAGAGAGGCCGACTGTCATGGTAGATCGTCGTCAAAGGGGGCGTGTCGGGGCGTCTAAATGTCAGCTTGTTCTCTGAGGAAGTAGGAAAGGAAGGAAGGATGGAGGGTAGGAGGTGCAAACGTCTAACTCGTGGTTCTGTCCTGAAAACGATTTCTGTTCGCAGTTTTGGAGAAGTTATCGATCAGCTGGTCGATCTCTGCCCCTCTTTTCCTCGTCAAAACATGATCTGAAAACGACCGCGAAGGAGGACGGCGAGATTTCAATTAAACCGAGGGGAGAGTGTGAGAGGATCCGTGACGGCTTCACGCCACGGCGAGGTGAAAATGAGACGACAGGAGCTGACAGGTGAGGAAACCTTTTTCCTCCTGAGATGATGTTGACGTTCAGGAGAGATCGCCTCCGATCAGGAAGTGCTCTCCTCATCATTAAGTCGCCGTTTGGCCGAACCCGTTTGAAGGACAATGTGACACCTCGAGGACATTTTTATAAAGCAAACGACGTTTTATTCAGGCGCCACGTAATAATCCCTCCCTGATCTCTCTTTGTTACTTAACTGACACTCAGAAAGACGCGGCGCCGAGGGATGGGCCGCTCAAGATACAGACAAGAAACGCAGGCAGGAGACGAGCAGCAGAGAGACAGACAGACGGACGGACGGACAGACAGACAGACAGACAGGTGCTGCAGGAGGTGAAGACGGATGACGGCTGGGGGCGATCAAAGTGCGAGGACTCGGGTCTACGCGCTCTGTAGGCGGTGACGGTTTGATATGACCACAGACCGCCTGAAGGCCGCTAATGAGCCGGGAACACATCACTCTCTCTGTTTGTCTGTCTCTCTCTCTCTCCGTCTGTCTCTCTCTCTCTCTCTCTCCCTCTCTCTCTCTCCCTCTCTCTCTGTCTCTCTCTCTCCCTCTCTCTCTCTCTCTCTCTCTCTCTCTCTCTCTCTCTCTCTCTCTCTCTCTCTCTCTCTCTCCCTCTCTCTCTCTCTCTCTCTCTCTCTCTCTCTCTCGTCCCTGTCTTCATCATGTGACTCTTATGTCTCCGTCTCTGCGGCGGCGTGAGGACAAAGACTCCCTAAAGGGCAGAAACAGGAAACGTTAAAATGGCGAATCTGTGGCGTTTTAAAGACAGTCAGTCACTAAAGCTTCGATGATGGATGATAATCTGACTCCTGATCGGATTAAATCTACGTTAGATCAGGACCTGATCATGAGGTCAAAGAGGTCCACCGTCCACTGTGTCCTGGTGTGACTCTCGCGCTGACCCCCTCTGAACGCCCCTCTGTGTCATAACCACAGGGTACATCATCCTTCGCCGGGCTCAATCGCTCCTCAGGCGGACATAACGGCCTTTAGAGCGAGAGCATCAGAGCGAGCAGAGGCCCGTCAGCTGACAGTTTACCCGACTGCACACGCCGCAGGTGACAAACCGAACCCCCTTTGTTGGAGCCGTGCGTCGCAGACACGACCACTGCAGGACCGGGTGAGTTTCTGAGGCGTCCCCTTCAGTCCCCCTCAGGTTGGTGAAGCGGTTTTGAATTTGTTTAACATCATGATCTTGTCAAAGGTCCTCAAAATCGGTGTTATAAACCAGATCTGTCCACTCTTTTCATTTAGTGACTTTAATGTAAAAAAAAAAAAGACAAAGAATAAAAAAAAACAGCGCGCTGACTGTGTCCTTTTTTTGGCAGCATGAAGTAAGCACTAGGCCTGAACGATATATCATTTGAGCATCGTCATGGCGATGTACGTGTGTGCGATAGTCACATGTCAGATCCTGTGATAGTGGAGGTGAATGAACTCGTCTAATTTGAAGTGTCGCTGACTGACATACTCTCCATGTGACTCTACATGTTCTGTGCAGCGATCCACCAATCACATTCGTTCTTTACTCAGTTGCCAATCAGACTATCCTGCCAGCCATCAATCAAAATCAGAGAGGAGGAAACCACGCCCCTGCACATGGAGTGAGTCGCTGCCGCTGCCGATGTTGAGCCGAGAAACGCTGAGAATGACTTTAGGAACATTCTTCATCACTGTTTATCCCACAAATAAGAATTTTATGGGTTTTAAATTGTACATTTCTTTGACCACTCTACTATAAGCGGTGCGCATCTTGGCTGACATGCGTTTCTCAGCACAACTTGAAGACTTGTTGCTAAAAATGTTAGTTTTTTCCGATATGGTGCAGCCTTTGTTGGAACCACACCTCCTCAACTTTCTCTATTTGCTGGAACCTTCAAAATAATCCAAACTTCAGGAAACTCAAACACTGATCCTGAGCTGCACTTCCTTATTTTCAGGGTCTGCATCGTCAGCCTTTCTCCTGAGGTCACCTTCTTAAAATGTCGTATTTTTCTTCGCTTTAACTCCCTCCACATTTAGAGAACAGTGAAGACGTCTGCACGTCCGTCTCTTTTCATGCAGCATCAGTGTAAACTCTGTCATCGTCACAGTCCGAGTCTCTGTCGTTACTCTGCAGGTTGTCCTCTAAACACTCGCCTCACATGTCCGAGTCTCTGCGTCAGGAAAACGGTCGTGTCCGCCTCCACACAGAAGTTTTCCGCCTCTGTGTGTTTCTCGGGGTTAAACTGGAGCAGGTATTCGCTCTGTATTCTGACAGCACATCAGCGTCCCTCAGCGTTATGTAACCCAGTCTTATCTCAGCTCCAGAACCATCCCTCAGGTCCCACTTTGTTCGCAGACTTGTCATCAACTGATAATTTAAAATGCCACCATCAATCTTTTTAAGGCTGAGCACCGGCAGAGAACGCCCCCTGTAGGATAATGAGAGTGGGGGCGGGAGAACTATTATAATGTTATCTTTAGTGAGAGATGACGGGTGGGGGGGACCGCTCCTGCTGCAGTTTCCCTCTGCGCAGAGCCAACGCCGGCTGAATTCAGATCGGGGTTGACACTCGGGGGAAATTCTGACGGCGTGGGCTCGGGGAACGAGGGTCACGGAGAAGTCAGCGCTTTTCTGTCAAACTGAGAAACACCAGATTTCAAGTTTTAGAGATTTACAGGGAAACGGCCGTGAACGTTGTTGTTGTTGTTGAATGACTCAGCAACAATCAGACCCAAACGGTCTCAGCGCCGCTCAGGACGCCGCTTCTCCGTCCTTGTTTAGGAGAGTTTATTATTGCGTTCATTGTCTGTTTCCTCCGCCGCTGCTTCCAGGAAAAGTAATCATATTTCTGCTGCTGCCTTTGTCCAGCTGTGCAGCATGAGCGGCGGTTTAAGCAGCACTTCTCCCTTCTGAGGTGTAATTATCTGAGAGACAAACGAGGACAGAATTAAACGAGAAGATCTGCTGATGAGTTTGAAACCGCAGAGAAGACGGTTTGTGTTTCTGACCCCGCAGAATTACACTCTCTGCTCCCGGTCCATCACGGCGTTTGTGATATCGACACTAACAGCCTGTTTCTCTTCAGAGGGAAACCCAATGAGCTGGAGGAATCCGCCTCGGAGGCCGGCACGCTCCTGAAACCGCCTCCATTAATTAATTAACCAAAGGGTAATTGTTTCACGGACCTCAGATTTGGACATGTGAATTAACCTGGAATTGTTTTAATGAGATGGATGTTATGCTAAGGCGTGTTCGGCCCGCGGCGGTGAGGGGATGTGAGCGAATAATGAGAGTTAGATGAGAGGGATGGAGGGGGAATATAGTTAGAGTCAAAGTGGAGAATGAGACATGAGAAACATCGTTGGAAGAGTGTTCACGCTAATGATGAGCAGGAGACAAAGACGGCTGCAGCCAATCAGGAGGATCAACTTCACAAATTCATCAGGTTAGACAGAAAATACAGAATCAACTCTGAGTCGCACCGTTAGAGAAGACACTGTTGGATTTTAGGGCGATTTCTAGTTCCAGGTTGGTGCTCGTGTTGGTTTGGAGACGAGTTGGTTCAACCTGCCAATCTGACAGGATTAACCCCTAATTTCCACCGTATCCAGAACGGCTACGGAAAGGTCGTATCTGCTGATCGTACAGTTCGACGCTGAAAGGACAGTTAGACTTCCAGTTGTCTAACAGCCTCTGTCTGCATTTTTGTTTTAGGAGTATTTGTAACTTCAGTGTGAAGGAAACATCTCACTTCTTACATGACAATAAAGAAATTAAAGTTTGACTCTGTTTTGATTTTTCAAAAGAATAAAACTGAGAGTGAGAAACAGTCTGAGTGACGAGATGATTTACATGTCTCTGCTGGAGCCTTTATTTTCCTGTCAGAGAACCTCGGCTCACGAGGATTCCAGCTTCACTTTTAATTTAGACACTTTTTTAATTATAAGAGACTTTGTTTTTAAATTACAGTTTTGATAGAGAGAATGAAACGAAAATCTGCAGACAGGGATCTGTCCAAACCAAAGACCGACATCTGACAAACTTTTCAGGAGAGGGTTGTCGGGGAAACTTTGTTTACATTTAATCCACTGACAGAGCAACCAGAGGGTACTTTGTTTACATTTAACAACTGATAGATTAACTGGATGGCTCTTTAGTTTGTATTTATGACTATAATTGTATTCAATCAGTATTTGTTTATATTTATTCCACTGATAGAGTAACAGGAGGGCTCTTTTGTTTATATCTATTACTATAATTGTATTTAATCAGTATTTGTTTACACTTAATCCACTGACAGAGCTACCAGAAGGTACTTTGTTTACATTTAATGCACTAATAGAGTAACCTCTTGGCTCTTTAGTTTGTATTTATTACTAGAATTGTATTTAATTGGTACTTTGTTTACATTTGATCCTCTAGTCGAGCAACCAGAGGGCACGTTGAATGTACTTTAACTACATAAAGAGAAACTAGAGGTAATTTGGTTCACAGCTCTGTCCATGAGCAACCAGAGGGTTCTTTGTTTACATTTAATCCACTGATAGAGTAACCAGATAGCTCTTAAATTTAGATTTTTTATAAGGCTTGCATTCAATCAGTACTTTGTTTAGATTTTTTGTTTACGTACCTCTAGTAGAGCAACCAGAGGGAACATTGTATATATCTTAACTACAAAAAGAGAAACTAGAGGGTATTAGGTTCACAGTCCTGCCAATGAGCAACCAGAAGGTGCTTTGTTTACGTTTTTATCCACAATCAGAGCAACCCCCAGGGCGCTCGGTTTACATATAATACAGTGAAAAAGCCTCATTAGTACTTCGTCTGTATTTTACCCACTAAATGAGCGACCATAGGGTACTCTGTTATCATTTTAAGACTGAGGAGATCTGTAGGGTTCTCTGTTTACATTTATTCCACTGGAGGAGCGTCTACTAGTGAACTTACTCATGTGATTTATGCTGTTTGAAAGGTGGACTCTCTCATCATTTCACCTTTTTAACTTCATGACATGATCATCATTTTTTCTATCTTGTCTGTACAATAATCTTTACACAGTATCTCCTTTCACTCTCCTCTCTTACATGCTGCTGCAGAGTCTGATTCTGATTCAGTGAAAACAACAGCAGAGGGTGCAGAGGATGGAGCAGTTGGAGAGCTGCTGTAGAAGTTATATAAAACACACACAGGTGAAGGTCTGGACTCCTCTGGTATGAACTCGGTTACCTCCACAGATTATGTAAAGTGAAGCCAACATGGATGTTTTTCCACTCGGCCTGTGCCTCCTTCAGCGCAGACCTGAATGAGTTCCACCTCTGCCTGATTTGCATCTGAATGGCAGAGCCCCGATATGGTCAGAGAGGAGCGCCGGAACTGCAGGAGCTTCCTTTTTTTCCCTCATAACGACGTCCATATATGGTCTACGGAAGAGAGACGTTTACAGCGGTACTGACATCACCGACGATCCATTTTTGGTCTGCGGAACGAGCGCCGTACTCCTCTCTCCTCCTCCTCCTTCAAAGCAGCTCCACTCCAGGCGTTTGGATGGAGGATCTATTTTTAGAAAGTGTGTGCAGAGTCGGTGTGTTCTCCCGGGGCTGCCTGAGCTCCCACATCGATGCGGGGGTGTTCGCAGACACACACACACTCACACACACACACTCACACACACGCAGAGCGATAGTGAAAGAGGAGCGAATGAGTGGGATGACACTCCACGCTGCAGTCGTAGAGTATCTCAGGAGTCAGGACGCCGAGCAGCACGGTTGTGTAAATGAATGAAACGCAGTGAGGCATCATTTCCTTTTCCTGTGTGGTTGAAGTGATGAACGACGCGGCTCCACATAAACAAGTGTCCCCATGAGGAGGTGTTTGTTTATTTCTGGGTTCCTAATTTCACGTTTCTTCCTCCTAGAATATCTCCGTCTGGTTTTTGAGGGTGTGCTCTCACTGTGGGGATGGGAGCTGGTGTGAAGATGTATCATTAAACTCTTCCTCGCCTCTGCTACTGTTTCTCAAAGAGGGTCATCAAATTACCACAGTGTTCAGGATGGATTACACACTGGGATCTCACAAGCAGCCGAGAAGTTTCTGAAGAAGGAATCAAGCCGATGACTTCTTTAATATGAGGAAAGTTCTGCTCAGTGTTCACCCTGATATGAGGAAAAGCATCACAGCTCCAGACTGTAAATGCAATAATGTAAATGTAATAATCCAGATTCTTCCAACAATGTAAAAACAATAATCTGGATTCTTGAGGTTTAAGTGCAGTGACTGATAAATGTCTTAATGCCCTGAGGAGTTTGTCCCTCCAGAACCTTTTTCAGGCCGTCATTGAATGACGTTAAAGATGTGAGGACTTTTACGCCACTAGGATGAGAAACATAAAAAACATTTAAAATAAATAAATTAAAAAAAATCCTTAATTTCCTGAGAATCCTGAGAAAAAAGGTAAAAAAATCTGACAGTAATCCCAGAATTTTACAGAAAAAAAATGCATTCTGACATTAAATTCAGTATTTTATCAAAAAGTCAGAATTCTTCAAATTCAAATTCAGAATTTTGGCTTCAATCCCAGATTACCAGTTTTCATCTGAATTCAATAAATAATATAAATCTGACCTTCATCCCAGAGTTCTGCAGAATCCCAACTTTCATCAGAGAGTTTCAAACTTTCAGCTTCTACCTCAGAATTTCTGCTGCAGTCTTCTAATTCCAATTTCCAGATAAGAACTCTAACAGTGATCGAAGAATTCCCGCTTTAATCTTTAAATTCCAAGAATTCCATCTGATCTGAGATTTCAAACCTGAATCTCAGAATCCTGATTTTGATCTCAAAGTTTGACTCAAATCTCACAATTCCAACATCAATTTCAGATTCTGATTTCATTCCGGAATTCAAAATCATGGAATTCCGTCTTTGATCTCAGAATTACAACTTTGATGTCAAAATTCCAGGATAAAAATCAGGATTCCGACTAAAATAAAAAGTTCTAAGAATAATTCTGAATCCTGTGGTCAAAATCAGACAATAAAACCTCCAGTTTTCTGCAGATTCAGGGTTAATATACAGATTATTTATCATCTTTGATTAACCATGTATTGATTAATAATGGTGAGAGCGTGCACACTCTCTGAAAGGACAACCCTTCTTTAGGAGAGCTCAGCATGATCCTCTCTTTGTCTTATTAAACCTGCAGCAGCTGGAAGGACCGGTTTGTCAGTTTCAGTCGGAGACAGATGCTCTGCATACCTGCAGAGTTACGCTAACATCACTGCAGGTGAAGTCCACACACTTACAAACTCTGGACTCGTGAGAGAGTGTTGGTCTGACTCAGTCTGATCTTATCTGAATAAATAATAATTGGATCTTCACATTAATCTCACGACTCTGAACAACGAATGTAATGTGTGAGAAATCTGGAATTAATGTGAAAACGAAAACAAAAGGATTTCTTCGGAGCAGATTTGTCGGCTTCCCCCTGAAGGAGAACAGAAGATTGTGTGTATTAATTGTTGCTAATATCGCTAATGAAGTTCATTTATCAACAGTCCAGAGCTTCTCCACCCTACAAGATGTTCTTCACTTCCTCCCTCAGGCTTCATTTCTCAAACGCAGCTCTCCTCATTTAGCCCCGTCACGTGCAGCTCCACGCCGCCCCCCGCTCATGCGCTAAAGCCCCTCGCTGCGTTTCCTCCAAACACTCTGATTAATGACACGGTTTCAGGGAGAACAGTGAGAGTGATTTCAGGGAGGAAGGTCCTGACACCTCCCAGAGTCGGAGCGCTTTAAAAAGTCTGACGCCTCGTTTCTGAAACTCAAACTTTTCCCTTCAACAGAAACCCAATTAAACGCCGATCACAAGATGTCCACTTTTTAGAACCTCCGCTCAGTTCTCATCAATTATCGAGAGCGAGGTAAAGCCCTGAGTGAGTGATTATCCCAGCCAAACACACACACACACACACACACACACACACACACACACACACACACACACACACACACACACACACACACACACACACTCTCCATTATCTGCGGCTCTGTGGTCTGAGCTCTGGTCACAGCTGGAGACACGTGCTGGCTCTAAAGACACACACACCACCAGTCACACCATCCTTGTTCTCAAAGATCCGGTCTGCAGCCCCTCGACTTTCATCAGTTTCATTTCCGTCTTTGTGGTTCACGCTCGGGTAAAAAACGGTGAAAAGAGGCAGGTTAGACCGCCGTTGAGTGTTGTTTTTTTTCCGGCCTGGGAATCATCGTGGCGTTGAAATAGTTCGGTAGTCCAGCAGTTGGCGAGACCCTCCCTCTTGAGTGTTTTTCTTCATGGAAAATGTCCTCGGGCCTTCGGCGATGTTTTGAGCTCTTGTTGAGGTGAACAGACTCTTCCTTTAAAACCTTTTGGCCTGTCTGGACTTTTCCTCTCATCGTTGGTGAAGTTCACCAAGTTCAGCCATGTTTTACTTTTTGGTTTTCTTTGTCCGTCGCCTGTTTCCAGTTAATAACGTATTTCACCCTTTCTTTAAACCGATAAATGAACCACCTTCTGCTCTCAGTGTTTTTTGATTTCCTCGTGCATTTGTCCTGAAACACACTTAAAGTCATGGTTGACGACTGGAGAGATTGGTAATTATTATGAACCTCGTTTCTATGGCGATCATGGTCCTATAGTGCGATCTCCACAAAGTGAAGAGAAAAAAGATCGGAAAATATCCGATCACCCGAGCAGGTGCAGGGCTGCAAAAACATTGACCAATGGGAGCCATCCGTCCCGGACAGTAGGGGAAAGTCCCGCCTCCTTCGCCTCTGATTGGCTAGAAAAGCTGTAAACGTCATCACACGCTCAGGCCAAACTCGGGCTGTCGGCTCTGAACATCGAACAGAACAGTATCACACTTCTGTCTCCTGACCCGACAGATGATGACGTTTCACAGCCATCAGGAAAAACCAATCAGAGCCCAGCACTTCTAGCCAATCAGAGGCAAAGGAAGGCGGGACCTTCACCTACCATCCTACAAAGTCGTGGCTCATGTTACATAAATAACTCTGATTAGTCTCTGACATGTCAACACGGCAGCTGCAGACGGCGCTCGCTGTCAGAGCTGGCGTTTACTGCCGCTGGTCACTAACAATCCAACATGGTGGATCCTGTTTGAAGCTAGCGCAGGATCTTCTGTCTCTGTCGACCGTGTCTTTAAGTCCATTTTATAAGATATGGTTACATGTCTGTCCTGAAAACGACAGTGAAGGTCGTATTCAAGTTCGTTTCCCGACAGGCTGATTTGTCTTAAACCTGCAGTCACATTTTCAGAGTCCTCCTAAAACTCGTGTTCCTCCTCTCTTCGACTTTCACCTGCTGATTTGCATTTTCTCAGGTGATTAAGTGAAGCTCGAGGCTCAACGCCGCTAATGGAAAAAATGCAAAAGCGCTAAACTGGGCGAGAGCGTCTCCCTCCGCATCCGTCTGCACAGACCGCGGCTGCTCTGAGCCGCGCTGATACGCGGAGACGGCGTCAATCCATTCTGCTTAGCCCGCTCTGTCGTTTCAGCGGAGGGAGGCTCTGCCGAGTTTAAGGGCTGCTGAGTCATGGTTAAGCTGCCAGGAGAAGAAGTCAAAGGAGCAGAAAAAACAGGCACCAAGACGACAGACAACAAATGAAAACACGAGAGGCAGAGCGACAGAGCCCATGGAGATGGAGAAGAGATGCAGAACAGGATGATGTGAACAAAGTCCAACAGCAAGATTAACGCAGACACATCTGTATCATCCTCCTTTATTAAAGTAATAACTGTTTCTGGAAAAGTTCATTTCCATCCCGACGTCTTCTTCTCCTGTTTTTGACTTTTTGACGTCAGACACTTTCAGACATCTGCCTCGTTTCTTCTTCTTCTTCTTCTTCTTCTTCTCTAAAATCCTCTGAGGTGGGTCTGAATAATTGAACACTAAAGATAGACGAGTCACAGGCTTGTATGTTCTGTAAGAGCTGCAGGATTACAGCGGCTACCATGTGAACCTCTCAGCAGGAGAACATCCATGATCTTAAGTCTCTTTGACAAAGATTACAGTAGGACTGATGGAGCCGGAGCTAAATGGACAGTGATGAGCGTCTTAAACCAGCTCCAGGAGGGGGAATGAGATGAAGCAGCAGCTCCAGGAGACGTGAAGAGGAGAACCCAAAAAGGTCTCCTCATGAATAATGAACGCAGCTTTTACATCCCCTCACTCCTCACGGTTTTAACCTCCATCCTCTTTCCACGCCCGCTCTCTTCAATCGCATCAGGTTAGAGCGTGGAAGAGGACGCAGTGATCCAGGACTAACGCCGGCTCCTCACACCCCCCTGCATGTGAGCAGGTCTGCTTTGATACAGAGGCCTCTGTGTTCTCTCGAAGGTCGTGAATAAACTCTCTTTTTTCACAAACGAGGAGAATATTCGTCGTGGATCTACGAGCCGAGGTTCTGGCAGACTTGTCCCTCACATCCTGCTGGAGCGTGGTCTAACAGGCAGATTTGTCAGCAGCAGCAGCAGGAGTGAAAATATTGAGCTCTTATTAAGCAGAGAGAGCACCAATGTGTGCTGTTTGAAATATCAAATGCCAAACAAATTTGTGAACTCATTATTTGCTCAGAGTGAGACGGACTGGAGAGGCTGAATGTGAGACAACAAGAGATGATGGGAGCGGCTCGCTGTGACCGACATGCAGAGTTAATTCTTCCTAAATGAGAGAGAGCGTTTGATTAAATGAACCAGGCTTTAAAAACAAGACAGGGGGCGCCGCTCTGTTTCATAACCAGGACGTGTGTGTGTGTGTGTGTGTGTGAGTGTAAATGTGCGATCATCAGCTGCTTCCTCTCTACAGCAGGAGCTTTCTCATTCACCATCTGCCCTTTCAACCCCCCTCCACCCCACCAGGGGCGCTACAGCCACTACGAGGACTCACCAAGATCCTTAGAGCCTTGACTTTCGCTGGCCATCTCGCCCATCCGCACCAGAGCGTCGAAGTAGCCCTTTGCAGCGTATGTGACACCTGGAAACATGGAAGCATTGGGCATCAGATCAGGGGTGCGGAGTTGAAATGATGTCTTCATCAGCTCTTCATCACCCCCCCCCCGTCTGTCAGCCCTCCCCCCAGAGAGGTCAGGGTGGGCATGGGAAATAAAGAGCGACAGGCGGGAATGGAGACCAGGCAGGAAAAGAAAAAGCTCTATGGAGGCAACTACAGGAAACAGAGATAAAGAGACCGGTCTGAGGAAGAGCCGGTACAAAAGAGGAAGAAGAACCCGAGTCTGGATCGGAGAGGACTTTAGAAAACCAACAACAACAACAACGTGATCTACCCAGAACATCCCAGAACTGCAGCACCCATTTAAAGGGATAATCCAGAGTAAAATTAAACACACCGTAACCAAAACGCCACTCTATAGCCACAAATAATGCTCAGAACAGCACCTAACTTCATCAACAGGACATATAGGGTCACAGACATAGTACTAGACACCAAACATCTTTTTAATTTTGACTCATTTCTTTAGCAAAGAGACTAAACACAACTCACCTACTCTCTTCCAGCAGACGCTTGTTTGTAGAGAGACCTCAGGCCAGTCCATTACAGACTACAGCGGGGTGCCGCAGCTCAAGGAAGAATATTTATGATCACTTCTTCATGGAAATACAATCAGACCGAGACGCTAAGACAGAAGAACTACAGCGTCTGGAAAATGATTAATATGGTGATTATTACTTCAAGGAAATGATAAAGAAATGATCATAAATGTTCTTCCTTGAGCTGCGGCACCCCGCTGTAGTCCCTAATGGACTGGTCTCTTAGTGGATGAAGACTGTCATGAGGTCACTGCGCCATCTACAGGATAAGTCGGGGAACTTTTCAAATGGCAGAACATTTTCGAATTGAACTGAATCTTATTCTGAAAATAAGATAAAATAATATCACTCTCTGCGCTGCTTTATCACATGATCCAGAGACACTGACTGAGACATCACCGTGACTCATGACGCCTCAGAAACAGGGACAAGATGGCCGCAAGCAGCAGCAGCGATGACGAGGACGGCGACAGTGAATTAAAGCGAGTCTGGGGTTAGCCGCACAGGGACTGAGAGCGGAGATGACAGCGGACACATGTCCAGCAGGGAGATACATATGGATGAGGACGGAGTCTGGACCAGGACTGTCATGTTGACGGGTGTTTGAACTGTCAGAGGACAGTCCTGCAGAGTCCCCCAGAGAGGGACAGAACCACAAAGTCTCTATACCTCCGCTTGGTAAACAACGTCAATCTATTCAGAGTCTGAGTTCAGGTCCAGGTCTTGTTGTTTTCATGACGGGGGTCCTCAGGGACCCTCGGAGATGCTCTCTGCTCTGTGTTTTTGTCCTCAAAGTGATTCTGTAAAAACACTTTTTATAAAAACTGTCGACACAGAGAGAGAGAGAGAGAGAGAGAGAGAGAGAGAGAGAGAGAGAGAGAGAGAGAGAGAGAGAGAGAGAGAGAGAGAGAGAGAGAGAGAGAGAGAGAGAGAGAGAGAGAGAGAGAGGCGGGAGAGAGAGACGAGCCCAGACCCTCTTCTGACGCCCCCTGAGCCGGGATCCTCCCCTTAAACCGAGGTGGGATATAAAGAGAGAGAGGACGCTGAGGAGGGCGAGCAACGCTAATGTGAGTGATGTCCAGAGAAGAGAGAGAGAGAGAGAGAGAGAGAGAGAGAGAGAGAGGGAGAGAGAGAGAGAGAGGGAGAGAGAAAAAGAGAGAGAGAGAGCGGGGTCAGATACAGACAGGATTAACTCCACCTGTCCATCAGAGGAAGAGTGAGGAGAGAAGGAAAGGAGAGAAGGAAGAGGAGGAGAGTGAGGAGAGAAGGAAAGGAAAGAAGAAGGAGAAAGAGGAAGAGAGTGAGGAGAGAAGGAGGAATAGAGTGAAGAGAGAAGAAGAGGAGAGAAGGAAGAGAAAGAGGAAAAGTGAGAGAGTGAGGAGAGAAAAGAAGGAAGAGGAAGAAGAAGAGAGTGAGGAGAGAAGGAAAGGAGAGAAGGAAGAGGAATAGAGTGAGAAGAGAAGGAAAGAAGGACGAGGAAGAGAGTGAGGAGAGTAGAGAAGGAGAGAAGGAAGAGGAAGAGATTGAGGAGAGAAGGAAAGAAGAGGAAGAGGAGGAAGAGAGTGAGGGGGAAGGAAAGGAGAGAAGAAGGAGGAAGGAAGTGAGGAGAGAAGGAAGAGGTAGAGGAAGTTTGGGCCTGCAGAGAGGATCAGGACAGAGATATAAAGCCGATAAAGAGAGAGAGAGAAGGAGAGAGAGAGAGAGAGAGAGTGTAAACGAAAAAAACCCAAACAGTGTCTGAAGTCTGAATCATCTGAGACGGACAGGAAGCTCTTTGTTTACTCTGCTGACGGTTAGGACACACCTGGATGATCAGGTAAGAACTTCAGATCAGGTTCGATCATTGATCGAAGATCATTATCATGTTTGTCTGAGAGAGTTTAGGAGGAGAGAGAGAGCACACCTCCTCCTCCTCCCTCCTGTTACAGGTGAAAACATGACGACAAGCCAAGGCAGGGAGAGCAGCAGCAAAGCTGGAGTGAAGGAGGAGGAGGAGGAGGAGGAGGAGCTGCAGGTGGAGGTGGAGCAGTCAACAGGCGGAGCAGCATGAGTAAGCAGTTTTAAGGGGACGCTCAGTTTGATCATTGAAGGTCAACCATCAGCTGATCTGAGATGACATCAGAGCGCCACTGTTCACAATGAAAACAAACACGTGGAGAAGTTAGTCATGTGACCTTTGACTGACACTCAGAAAGTAACACGTCAACACGTCATGTTTGTCAAACTCGACACCTCGGTGGCGTTGAGATCAGCTGATCTGGTCTGCCTGAACGGACGCCACACTCAGTGAATCTAGATGTCCTGGTTTAACCTTGAACAGGTGTCCTCTTGACCTTCAAACCTTGTCCACTCCTGTCCTCGACTCAAAGTGACAAATCCACAGACAGAGTCCTGCAGAGATTAAAAACCTGTCAGCAGACTTCTCCTCTGAGTCCTCGAGGCTCTGCTGCCATTTCTCTGTAACAATAGACGCTCGCCAGGCGCCCAACCCGGCTCTGCGGCGCTCGACTCTAAACCGGCCTCTGTGCCGCTGCCTGGCATTGATGAAGTGTAATCCCCTCTCAGGGAGTCGCAGGGCTATTTTTAGCCTTATCTATCAGACCCTCCTCTGCCCGTCTTCCCTGCTTTCTCCTGCTGAGCACAAAAAGGAGAGTCCTGCTGGATGCTGCGCACGCCGCATACCAACCAAACACGGCTGCACCATCACTCAGTCCGTTTACATGAGAAAAATGATTAAGACCGACAACTGAAGGTCATGTAAACACTTTAGTCCGACTATAATCGGAGTTTGAGAACTCTGATTAAGACACCCAGATAATGAGACTGGAATTTGATTTTCTCTACCATGAAACCAGCGTAGTCGGAGTATGATCGGACAATGCCACGCCCCCGTAACCCCGGAACAAAAACACCAGAGTAGAGGAGTAGCGTTCGTCTCATCTGCAGAAAAAGTAGCGCGTCCATCATGTCGGACAAAAACAACGCACTTCCTTACTTTGTTAAAGCGGTTTACCTGTCCAGCAGAAAGGTTACAGGGTCACCAAGATCCCCAAGCGTCCCCCATGGTTTATGTTGACCCGGCTTTTTAGCTCTTGTCCGGTCTACCTCCGTTTTAAGCGCCCGTTATTCCTCCAGAGTCTCCGGTATTTACTTTGTTTTCTTGCTTGTGTCGGCAGTCGTGGCCAAAGGAGGATTCCGACAATTTTCCGAACTTTCTGGTTGGTTTCTACTGTCCGATATTGTAGCACGCTAACTTTGTTTGGGCTCCTGAACGACACGGGGGAGCAGCGTCTGCCTCACAACCAATCAGGTTAGAGGAGGTGGAGAACGGCTTTGTTTACAGTCAGAAAGAGCGGACCGCTCAAAAATGTTCAAATGTTGACGACACAGACATAAGAGAACACAGAGATATCGATATATTACCAAATGTCATCAATAACTAATAACTATTGACTGATATTTAAAGATTTTTGTATAAAAACCACAAAATAAAAAGATGCTTCTTTAACAGATTCCTGTCGACTCCACCTTTAAGGCACAGATACAGGATTTTAGATGTGAACTAAGGACCTGCTTGTCAGTCTAAATGAGACCACCTTTAAGTCCAAGTCCTTAGGGGGTAGGGACTTTTCCAGAGGTAGATCTGTTTCCCCAGGACTAAGTTTGGACCCTGGTTCCTGCTCTCACGTCACTTTCATTTGCGTCTCTTCCTCTCCGACTGTTTCTTCATTTTTCTCTTTCTCTCCTCAGTCTTGTCCTAAATTACCGGCTCACTTCGTTCTCGTTTCCCCGGCCCTGTGGGGGGGGGACGGGCGCCATAATTCTCAGGACGCCTCCTGTTCCACTTCCCATTGGCTGATGTTCCACTTAGCTCCTCTGAGACGTCGTCATTGTCTTTGTCGTGCTTTAACCTTGAGCCGGTGACACACGTACACCTCGGTGTCTCACTCACACACACACACTCTCAGGACAGACCTGTGCAAGCCACAAAAAAGCGATGAGAGAAGACGGAGAGCTGAGGCCGACGTTCGGGATGGATGGAGTGGAGGCGGAGGGATGGAGACGAGTGGACAAGGACAACATCACAGAGGAGATGAACCCCAGAGTCTCATCTCTGATAACAAGGGGAGAACATTCACTCAGACCAGAGCGACGGACTCGCTCCTGCAGGTCTGATCCTCAAAAACACCGAGTGACTTTGGCCTGATGCCCACCTAAACATCTGCTGAAGATCTGTCCCCGGGGTGAAATCAGAGGACAGGAGGAACGACAGGAGGACGAGGACAGGGAGGAAACAAGGACGGGGAGGGGGGCGGAGTACTCACTGGTGAGCGCCTTCTCGTAGCTCTTCCCCATGGCGATGAAGTTCCTGAGGCAGGGGTTAAACTGCTCCATGATGGACTGGAGAGGAGGAGAAGAAGAAGAAGAGATGAGGAGAGAGGAGTGAGGAGAGGACACACATGAACCACAGTGACAGACAGAGCGCCACTTTTTACTGGGGCATCACATACACACACACACACACACACACACACTCACACACACACACACACACACACACACACACACACACACACACACAGAGTCAGCTGAGCCAACCAGGAGGAAGACAGCGAGGATTCATTTTCAGCTCACAGCGAGGAGGAGGAGAGTGTGTGTGTGTGTGTGTGTGAGGAGGTGGGGGGTTCGTCCGTGTCCTCTCACCTCTCTTCATGTTAAATCTAGTTTTGGCTTCCTCACAGTGTCCCTCTGAACTCCGACACACACACACACACACACACACACACACACACACACACACACACACACACACTGTTCCTGCTAATTACTTTTTTAAAGGGTCAGTTCACCCAAATCACCGCAGTATTTACAGGAAAAAAAACATTTGTTGCTTCGACTGATTTACAAAAAAATACATTTTACAATTCACACACGTCTATTTTTAGTCGCAGATGCAAGTGAAACGGTCACCCTGTCGAGCCCTGAATAACACAATGTTATTCATAATAAACTGTATATATAATAATACATCAACTGTGAAAAGTGTCAGGTGTGTCGTGAACTGACTTAAACAATAGAAAGTACTTCTTCCCCTCATCGTTCACTGTCCGTTAACTGAGGTTAGTGCTGTCAGGATTAGAGCTCACAGTGCAGATCTGAGCAGTAGAGAGTCGTTCACTATCAAACTGGGTTTTTATATCGGATCAGAACACAGACCTGCCATCATCACACTTTGGAGTGTGACAGTCACGCAGTTTGACCCATTCTCACGCCACATTTCTCACGCTCATTTCCCCGTTCAACCCTCTTGTTTTTATTTGTTTCATGATAGTAAACTCGGCTCGCTGTAGTTCGAGTAACTCTTAAGGTACAAATCGACGTAGATCGGCGCGTCATAACGCTAAAGTCTGACTCCAAACTTGTCAGCCCTGAGAACATGTGGATGGTTGTACATGATCACTGCATACACCATATTATAGACATATAAAACTGTCTTGGCCAATGATGGAGCCTTTACTCACTGTCATTATAAGGGGGCTGGTCCGCAGACTGAACACGGGTCTTTCTTTGAGGATTTGCAGTACAGACCTGATCCCCCTCACTGTCTGGACTGATGCCGCGGCGTCTCTGAGCTCACAGAACCAGCAGAGGCCTCGTTACCGAGTGAAGGAACGGACAGAGAAGCTGTCTAATGAGTCTGAGTCTTTCTGCCGTGAGTCAGCCTCCCCCTCAGTCAGTCCAGGCCGCCCTTTACTCTCCCTGCAGCTTTAAACACACAAACCCTCTCTGTGGCTCTGAAACGGCACGACTGTCAGACATGCAGAAAAGGTAAAAGGAGAGCGAGGAGGAGGACAAAGAGGAGATTTATTCAATCAGCGCTAAAGAAGAAAACTTCCTAAGAGGAGGCGGCGGCTGGAGCTCATTATCTGCACCACTTTCTATCCATCCTCTTCATGACATCCAGAATAAAAGGTTTGAAGTTTGCAGACAGTCGTGGTGGAAACAAGGAGGAGAAAAGTCAGACGTGTACGGAGGACAAAGACGGAGCAGAAGGCAGAGAGCAGCGGACGTTTAAGGCTGACAGACACGTCTTCCTGTGGCCGCTCGCTACGAGAGACGCCTGCTAATGTCTGCCGGCTGACGCACAACCGTCACCTTGGTGCCTGAACTTCATCACCACTTCAAAAAAAGAGGAGGTAAGAAGTAGGACAGGACGACGCAGGGGTGCAAGACAAACAGGCCGAGCGTCCAGAGAGAGAGAGAGAGAGAGAGAGAGAGAGAGAGAGAGAGAGAGAGGAAATATCCGAACAGCTTCAAGGTGTGAAAAAACCAGGTTAAAGAAAAAAGAGATGTTCTGGTTTTTAAAACGCCTCATCAGTGGAAACGGTCTTTGGATGGAGACTCGGTCTGGAACTCTCTGATCTGAACCCCCCGCTGTGAGAAACTTCACAAACACTCATGAAAAAGAAACGAGGTTAACGGTGTTCCTCCTCGTTTCTGGGGACAAACAAACCTATTTATACCCTTATTCCCCAGCGCACCGCCGCCGCCGCCGCTCTCCCGTCTCATCATGGGTATGTTTTCTGTTACATAAGGTGGCGGCGGCGGCTGAACAAACCCGGTGAGTGGAAACACTCCAGCAGCCGTAATCAAGGCTGGGAGTGAAGCGGCGCCGCCTGGCATGAAGAAAGGGACGATCAACAAAAGGAATAAATATAGAGATCGAGAGAGTCCCTAAATCAACACAGCCTGGATACGTGCACGCTCTCAGGGGTGTGTGTGCATGTGTGTGTGTTCATGTGTTCATGAGTTATTCATGTCTGAGAGGGAGGGCGTGATGAGACGTCTTATGTAACCTCTGTCCAACAGGTTTGTCTTCATGTATGAAGTTCTTTCCTCTGAAGTTTCAGGAAACTGAACTTTTCTGTTTCAGTAACATCCTCACGTTTGGGAACACGTGGTCGACCCACCAATTCAGAGGGGGCGGAGTCTCTTTTCTCTTCATTTTCATGTTTAATTAAAGAGCCAATGTTGCAATAAGGATTACTCCGATGAACGCTGTCCTCTTTTGGTAAACGCACGTGTTCAATTTCTTTCAGGAGAGGACTAACGCCGTCGAAATATGAAGCTGGAGGATTAGCTTCAACTAATGATTGGAAACCAGGAGGGGGAAATAACCCGACCCGGTCCAAAGGTCAGGCTCCGAAAATAAAACCAGCGCTCTCATTGTTCTGATCCGTGCACGGACAAACAGGAGCGTTAGAGTTTTTTTGTGATTCATGGTTAAATTAGACTTCTGCACACACTCTGAAGGTTCAGACCTGGTTCCTGATTTCTTCCTAACATGACCGCCTGTTTTTGTCAAGCTGATCCAAAATCTTAAACTTAGTCTGGAGACAAAAAAAAAAAAAAACACTCGATTTTAAAAAAGGTTAAAATGTGGTTACTAAATTAAAAAGTCCTGAAAGTTTAAGATGATTAAAAATGGCTTCTTGGACTTTTTTTAATATCCATCCTTCTCCTGATGAGCTGTGTCAAAGAAAATCTTGAAAATCATATTTTTACTCCAAGAGTTTTTCCATTCCTCAAAAACAAACGTCTGCAGATTTTTTTCTGCCTCTTTTCCAGATTTCTAGACCATTTTTTTTTCTTCTGATAAACTCTGAGTCCATCATTAACATCAGGCCTTCATTGAATATATGACTCTGGTTCAGTCTCTGACACCCAGACTGTAGACTGACCAATCAGAGCAGGTCTCTGCTGCTGTTTAGAGGTTTGGACTGGGTGTCTGATTCTGCTCCTCTGTCCTCGGTCTGTCTGGGAGTCTTCGGCTCTGTCCCACATGAATCCCTCAGTCCCTAACCCACATATGGGGTTTCACTATATAGGTTTTCAGACACTACCGTTGTGACGTTGCCGCGATGATTGACCATTGGATGGTCACTACATTTTGCAATGCTCTATGGGAAATTTTCAGTCGCCTATATGGGGCACTGGAAGTGATCACTGAGGTTTCAGACCCCCCTCACAATGGCGCTAACCCTCATAGAGTCGCCTATAGAGGGTAAGGGATCCACAGCCTTTGAGCTCCTTCATCCTGGACCTTCTTCTGGACCGTCCTTCTTTCTAGCATCAGTCTCACCATCTTTAACACTCAGTTGATCGTAGAACTTCATCATTTACCTCCCCTTATTCCCAGTTCTCTTCCTGCTCTGCCGTCCCTCCAGGTGACCGTCTCACTCATCTGTAACTGAAGGTCAAACTGAAGAAGAGTTCTCTCTCTCTCTCTCTAAGTCCGGGTCCAAACTTGAAGTCTTCCTCCTGCCCTTCACACTCATCAATCATCTCCCCGCTGTGATAACCATCCTCTAATTGACTCTGAAATACCACCGCACCTGTCAATCACCATCAGCGCGGCGCCGCACATGGAGGTGCAGAACGAATCCAGGAGTCCACCACGCTCCTGTGGTTTAGGGGACGGTTTAATACGATTATGAACTTGGCTGGCCCTGCCTTAATCCACGCTCCATCAGCTGAGCTCGCTCCTTGAGCAACAGGGACGGAGGCTGATTAGCATTCCTCTGAATGAAAGAGCAGATTTGACAGAGCGCGTGGAAATGAGCGGGATTAGCCAACGCCAATGCTGCTTTGTCTCACTCTGCCCGTGTGCTGCGGTCATGTGTTTCGATTCGCCCGCTAATCACCTCCAAAATAAAACGTCCAAACTTCATCACAATACTCCGATTGTGTTATCACGTTGCAGCGTTTTAGGAAACGATCCCGTGATTGTGCTTCATCTGCGGCGTTATCTGGGAGCCAAACAGAAACAAAGAAGCAAACAAAGACGGCGAGATAAAAACAGGTCGAGTTCAGCGTTTGTTCAAACGTTCATCCAGATGAAGAGACTGTTTCCTGTTTACTGATCGACTCACAGATGAGGACGCTAACGATGTTTCTCAGTGTCCCAGAGGAGGCGGCGTTTTTTAATGTGGTGACTAAATGCCAAGATAATTACTTCACACTTTCTAATCAACCGTGAGGCGGATCGCTGCTCCGAATTTTAGACATAAAGTTCAAGTTTGAAGAGGAAGAGTTCGACGTTACATAAAACCAAAGTCAGCGGCGTGAAGGAGAAACCACCTCTGCAGTCTCCAGGTTAACAGGTTTACAGAAGCGCTCTGATTAAACAGCGTTAATATGATCCGTCAGTAATGGGTTTGATTTATTTATTACTACAATAGGAAGGATGAATCATTGATCAGGCAGATCTGTCACCAGCTGTAATGTGAGGACAGTTTAGATCATCAGATCTTCAGCTGCTGCCTGCAAATGTCTCTGTGAGCGTTTTTTACTCCTTTCTGACATTTAAAGTTGAAAATGAACAATTATTCAACTAAAGTCACAGATGGATCATAAAGTCGTGTTTGTTTGAGGAGCGTCGGCGCTCACGAGTCAAAGATTCTGACTCTGCTGATGACTCAGACTTGGACTTAATGATGATCAACGATTCTTTCTTTTTTACTCACTTTCAAACAGGTGGTCACCGCATTCTGGAGCCCAGAGTTCTAGAACCTTCTTTTACTGTCATTGAAGCCCCTCCCCCCATCATTCCAGAACCCAGCCCCAGCCTTAGTGATGTGTCGTTCATGAACGATTCATTCAAAAGAACTGAACTGCTGAGTGAACGAGGTGAACTGAATCACTCTGAGACCTGATTGGTTCCTTTCTCAGTTCAGTTGAGTTCAGCTGTGATCCTTTAAACGTGTTTAAACTTTCCTGTAAGAAGATTTAATTTCAGACGATTTAAAGAAATACGATATTTAATATCTTTAAAGTATCTGAATCCTCGCTACAGCTGACATCTTTATTTAGTTTTAATCTCGCCACTTTTCCGAAAGTTTTCATGAACGACATGAGTCACTCGGTGAACGACACTGTGACATCAGCAGCAGGGGAGGGGAGGGGCTAATGAACGAACTCGCCGTTGTGTCACTCACTGGTGTACTGCAGCGGCAGGGCGGGGCTCTGAAACACTGACTTATACAGTGAACGAATCTTTTGAACAAATCGTTTTAATGAACCGATTCTAAAGATTCAGTCAAAAGAACTGATCTTCACATCACTACCCAACATTCTAGAAGCCTCCTTCACTGTTGCCACATAATGATGTTCCTTTTTTTATGAAGGGGATCAGCTTATTGGAACTTTGCCCATGTGACACTCTCATCTAACATTTCAACACTTGATTTTCTGAACATGTAAAAATCTCTTTAGTTTCAGGTCCTTCAGTGATTCCTCTCCTGAAGTCGGCGGTAAAGTCGGACTCCAACACTTCCTTCAGTCTTTCGCTCTGGCTTGAATTTCTGTCTTTCCATCATGCGTCCACTCTTCAGATTCTAAAGCCGCTCCAGTAACCACCATTTCTAAACCATCTCTCTGTTCTCCCTCGACACTAATGCCAACATTCGCCAATCCTCGCCACTGTTGTTGTTGTCCTAGATCAGAGGCAGAGAGGAGACTGAAGGGCATGATTGGCAGGAATGGAGGTTACAGTCCTCCTCACTTTGTCCCACTCCAGCCAAAACAAGAGTACCTGTCTGTTTACACCATCACAGCTCCACTCTGGGATAAAGAGATTTCTAAAAACACTCCACATTTATGCAAAGTCTCTTCATCGATAATTTCACTCTCTGTTCACGCCAACAGGACCGGGGACATCCAAGACGTCCCACACTGTTCTGAGGCTGTGTTTAAGAAGTCCTCTAAGAACAGGGACTTGGACTCACGGAGACTCAGACTTCACTGGAAATCTTCTCTGAGGACCTAAGGATCAGCTGAGACTCGAGGTTTGTGGTCTGAACCTGAACAGAGAATTAGAAAGTCAATCCAAGGCGTGCAGAAAGAAACCTGACGGGTGATGTGGAGCGTTGGAGGAACAATAACATCCATGCTGTTCACACACACACACACACACACACACACACACACACACACACACACACACACACACACACACACACACACACACTCAGGCTGACATGTTGTCTGGCAGGTAAGCAGCTGAAATATTTATCTGCAGGAGGAGAAAACAAGCTTCTCCACTTCTCTGAGAAGGAGGAGTGTTCGGCAGATGTTCACCCCGGATTTGAGACAAAAAAGTGTGTCTGTGTGTGACAGGACAACTCTGGAATAGAACCCAGAATGTGTCAGTAAATACCTGTGTGTGTGTGTGTGTGTGTGTGTGTGTGTGTTTTCAGAGTGCTCTGTGTTGGCAGGACCTGCTGCCGTGTAGCATCAGTTTCTCCATGGGAGCCGAGGTTTTCAGCCTGTGATTGTTTGTGTGTGTGTGTGCGTGTGCGTGTGTGTGTGTGTGTGTGTGGAGACTTCACTCTTTTGTCTGTTGAAGCAGCTTGTGATCCACCCAGGAGAGTCCTCCTCTGGGGAATCTATTGAATCCTTCAGAGTTTGACGGGGAGCCACGTCCACAGGCTTCAGATCGGAGCTACAAAGACTGTCAGCCCAGCGACCGTATGAGCAGTCAGTGAGTCTACAGGCTTTAGAAGAGCAGTTTCAGAGTGTCAGCTCCATGACTAAAGCTCTGAGGACAGAAAGACTAACTTAACCACTCAGTTTTAGCAGACGTGGGGAACGCTTTGTCGATCCTGGTCCTGACTGAACTCTCAGTTTAGATCTTCATCTTCATCACAGGAGGATCAAACTCCTCAAACACTCAGTGTGTTTACATGAACAGCTTAATCGGACTGAGCTCATCATGCGTTTTTTCTCGCTGAATCGGACTTTAAATCAAATCAGATTTTATTTATATAGCACGAATTCACACCCGTCGTCAATCCAAGACGCTTTCCAAATGACAAGAGCAGGTCCAGACCACGCTCACTGTTTGATCAAGACCCAACCTAAGATGGGATTTGGCCCATCTCATCAAACATGAGTGACAGTGGTGAGGAAAAACTTTTAACAGGCAGAAACCTTGAGAAGGACCAGACTGATGTTAGAGAGACACCAGGCTGCTGCTGGGACGGGGAGACTTCTTTCCTCGTTTACATGCAGCTGAGAAAACTGAATTATTGACGTGAACGTGTCCTCCTCCCCAACACTAGGGGGCGATATGGGTCTTTTCAGAATTCCAATCGCATTATCTGGGTGTCTTCATCAGAGTTCTCAAACTCTGATTATAGTCGGACTAAGATGTTTACATGACCTTCAGTTGTCCGGTCTTAATCGGAGTAAGGCGATGATTCGGTTTCCTCGATTGTCATGGAAACGGACTGACTGAGGCTAAAGCCAACAGTAGTTTCCTAAACCAGAGTTTCTTTAGTCTCCGTCTGTCTGGTGTCATGCAGCTCTGTTGTAAAGGAAAACAGTAAACGCTCATTATCTTATTGTAATGAGGATTTCTTCTCTGGTGTTAAAGTCACTTTGTTAGCAGAACTGGAAGCAGAATTCGTGTGTCGCCATGACGACACTGAGAGAAAAAAGTCGCTCTTTCCTAAATTAACTTCTTGTTTAAGAGAATGAACGACATGTTAGTCTGATGAGAACCATCAGACTGATATCAGTGACAGAGGTTCGAGTTAACCCTTCGTTATAACAAAGACGGTCAGTCTGGAGAAGCAAACATCTAAAATACTCTTTTGTTCTCATCAGTTTCATGAATTTCTTTATAAAACAGACATTTCTCCTTCAGCACCATCACGACCATAACACTTAAACAAGTGAGAGTCTGACCTTAACGCCGGGGTTAATGGATCCATCATAGCAACCGAACAGCACATAGAAATCATCCACAGGTGAGTGATGTGAGACAGAGACAGAGGTCAAACCGCCGATTAATACAAGAACGGCAGAGAAACCTGTGAGGTTGAAGTCAAGGTGGAAACGGATTCAAACACCAATCAAAAACAGGCGCTGATGATGACGCCAACGCACCGATGGGAAAAACTGCTCAATGAAAGACGGAAATAATCCGAACTCTGCGAAATGTAATGAATTTATGAAGAAGACTATGAAGAGGATGAAGGACAGGAACTTTATTTGATATTAACCCGGTGAACTGGACTGGAGAAGCCAGATTAGGACACTGACCTTCTCAGGGTGGGCTGGTAGGACATTTCTGTGTACATCAAACATAACAGAGCGGGAATTTTCAAAGTTGGAAACTTTTCATGGGAATTAAGAGAAATAAATCTGAAATTTACAAAATCGAAGGTTGTCCCAAAGCACATGACATGTGAGCCCACCGACTATATAAGACAAGTACGTTTGGATAATATCATGGAGTAAATATGATCTATAATAGTATTAATATTTAACTTGTCAAAAATAAATTTACATATGTGCTAAATGTAAGTTATTTTTTATTTTATTGACCATTTAAGGGGCGAGCTTATTGGTGGTGGTAGCGACCTCAAATATGTTTCTTCAGACTCCTGACAGACGGTTTTCTGTCACCAAACAATCATTTAGACATCAATTATTAAATATTTGGAAGATCATTCCAGTTGTTAAGCCGATTATATTTCTGTTCATGCCATTAATCCTATTATTTTGCATGGATGTCTGCTTATGAAAAAACAAAAGTACTTACATTTGTGTTCGGAGATGATACAGTTTGTATAATTTACCCCCAGTTTACAGCTAATTCCCATAAATTCCTATGGAAAATTTCCAATTTCCAAAATTCCCCAGTTTAACTTCCCATGAAAAGTTTCTGGAAATTTACTGGAAATTTTCTGCCCCTTTGCAGCCCTGGTGGTAATCTTTAAGTTTTATTAGTTTTAGTCTTTAACATTTAAAAAAAGAGAGAGATGTTCAGAGTCCAGATTAGAGGGGATTCTGGGAGTATTGTGCCTTTTTCTAGGAAAGGATAGAGAAGAGAGAAGGACAGTCGTGGTGAAAATAAGACCAGCGTCTGTTCATGGGTAACGAAGCAGAACCAGCCCCCTCTAAAACTGGGGGAACTCCAAAGTGACTGACTTCCAAAAACAGGATCCAATCTGGGTCTGTAAATCCAGACATGTGAAAAGTTTCATCTGTCCAAATAAACTGCAGAAATAAAGTGCAGTTACAGCGTTAGAGTGGGCTTACTTGAGCAAATGTGCTTCCCACACAGGTGAACCCACTCTGAGCGAAAACACTCCAGAGAACGAAGCGAAGCAAACAAACACAATCAAGAACAACGTGACCTCGCTGCCTCTGCCAACATGGTGGAGTGAGGGCCGTCTGTGTGGATGGAGAAGACTGTGAGCGTGCCAGCGTGTGGCTGAGGAGGCAGGAGACGTGTACGTGTGTGTGTGTGTGTGTGTGTGTGTGTGTGTGTGTGAGCGTGAGTCAGAGCCGACATAAACAGCAGCAGGTTCATATCATGTTGGGGCGTAAATTACTGTAAAGTCGAGCCAACCGTGTGGCACCATTAGGACCCGCTGCGCCGCTCGCTGCCAAGCAGATTAACCGGCTTGAAGGGACCTGGCAGACCCAGCAGGGGGGCGGGGACAGAGGCGTGTCAGGTGAACTCAGAGACAGACAGAGACCCCAAACACAGAGGTAACTGACCTAGAGCGCTGGACTGGATCTATTATCTGTGTTATTAAAGCAGTCAGTTCAGTTTCCTTACGCTCTCAATCCTCATTCTTTACTTTCACTGTTTCCTTGGAATCAAAAACAGGTTAAGCATCAGGAGCTCGAGTTGCTGACTGACTGGAGTAAAATCTACTCATTTTGTGAGACCGGCAGCTTTCCTCCTTGTTTCTGCAACATTCATGGTCCTCTCCATCCCCCAGAAAAGATCACTGGACTTGGATCCAATACTTTAAATCTTAAAGTAATCGTCACTGATTGAAGTATTATTATGCTAACGGTGGACTGCCATCTTTGTTCTGCTCTACTGACCGATCTATGATCAACTGATCTGTAAAAGACCAATCAGAAACCAGGTATCTCTGTCTCAGGAAAGCAGTGAAGATAATTAAACACAGACGATCAAATTTGAGACGCCAAGACAGAAAAACCTGCAACAGTTAATTTAGAGAATTGAACCTATAAGCATTCGTATTTCTGTCTTCTCTGATGAAGACCCCCAAAAAAACCCTGAAAGTTATACATATTAATGCAAAGATAGGCAAAGAGATAAAAGCTACAATGTTGTCCACAGGGGGCGCCAAAGTCAACACAAACCCTCATCCCCAACGTCCACCTTCATCCTGATCGTCTCCTAAAAGGTCGTATCCTCCGATCGTAGCTGATCGTAACCATTCAAGTTAACGTGTCAATTTGCCTCACCAATGTAGGAATTGGCGGACAGCGAAAATTGCCGCCGTTCCGGATCTGAGCCATTCCGGAAAAGTGAAAATTGGGGGTTAGCTGCTCACAGGATCTTCAAGAAAAAGGCGAACAGGAAGTTTGATCCCTTAGAGGAAACAAACGGAGGATCCTGGAGGATCTCCGCCCTCGAACCATCACGGCTATCAGCCCAGAGTCAACAGAGTCTGTGGTGATAAGTACAGTTCACCCTCAGGTCCCTCTGCTGTTTATCCCTGTCTGTGTGTGTCTGTGTGTGTCTGTGTGTGTGAGGACCGGCTGGAATATGAAGGTTAACCCGACACACACACACACACACACACACACACACATCCTCAGGAAAGGTCATTTACTCTAGGTGGTCGCCTTGGAAACAAGTCGGGCCCATGTGGCGCTCAGGTGTGTTTGGCCTCCTCTCACAAGTCAAGGTGACCTGTTGTTTTCAAGTTTTAGTGTGTGTCCCCCCGTGTGTGTGTGTGTTTATGAGTGTTTGTGTGTGTCGTCTTCATAACTCGCCGCCGTCCTCCCATCTCTCACGGCGCCGCAGTGTCAGCCGCTGTGTAAACACTCATCACTCACACACTCCAACACTACAGAAGCAATTTGTGGTCCTGCATGATGTTTTCAATCAAACGGCAGGAACCTGAGGTCTGAACAAACACAGACTCAGGACTATTTTTAGAAACTCTTATATTCAAGATAAAAACACGGATCGTATCGAAGTCGGAGCTCGTCTGGTTTGGATTCAATTCAAAAGTGGATTTTTTACAGATTGTATTAAAATGGCTGTAGGCTGAGTGATGTTAAATATTGGTTTTTGGAGGGGCGGTACAATATGTTCCAGTCTTATCATCATCATAACAAACGTAACTGAAAAAAATGATTAAAAGACAAAATGTTTTATAATTGGAATAAATCGAAAAGTCGGAGGAGGAGAGAGGAGAGAGGAGACATAGATCTGAATGACAATAAAATATAAACTCATGTTTGGTTGTTAAAAAGGACATTTTATATCAAAGATTAAAGGGACTAAATGTTTTTTTTGATCAAATCCTTTAATTATCTGACAGACTTTAAAATTCTGACAGTTCATATGGGCTCCTATGGGCTTGTTTTGCTTTTGGAGACATCCCCAAGTGGACACTTTGGGTACTGCAGTTTTATGGATTTCCACATACGCGTGAATTTGCAGGTTTTTGTGAGTTCTTGTGATTCCTGCTGTCCGTAATCCACTAGAAATTTGCCTCACTAACTGATCTGGTAGAAATTGGCGTACGGCGAAAATCCCTGTCATTCCAGATTTGGTGGAAATCCTGGGTAACAGTTTAATAATACATTAAATTTGCTGACTGAATGACCTGTTCCCAGCATGTACTCTACATATACGTGTGTGTGTGTGTTTGTGTGTGTGTTTTATCACACGGTCGTTCAGCTCCAGCTTGTTCACGTTTCACACGTCTCCCTGTCTCCTTCTGCCGTTTTTATCAGACAAGTCTCTCGACAAACACGTCGTCTGTTTTCATTGTCGTTTCCTCGGATGGAAACCTTCCAATCAGCCGAACCGTGAACGTCTCTCCTGTCCTCATGTCACATACATCAGTCTGACAGTCGAGAATTCATCCATATTTTAAAGGAAAACGTTAAATTCAAATATCCGATCCAGACTAAATGAGAGCTGATGTTTATATACTTGGAGGATTTTCAGATCTGTGAAGTTTGAGGAGACGGTTCATCTCTTCATTCACAGTTTCTTAGAGGAGAGCAGACGGTTGTCACAGGCCTGCAGGCAGCCCTGCAGCTCCGCACAGATACAAACAAACGTCTCTGCTGTATGAGGAATCATCAGAGGGAGGAGGAATACATTTGTTTACTAAGTTTGAGAACGTTTCTGCTTTTAGACCGAACATCTGTGGTTCAGCTCCAACAGGTTTGTCCGATTCTTTCTTCACAGAAGAGGTTTAAGTTAACCCGGTATGTAAGACTCTGAATCTGCTTAATTTCTTAAGAGCTTAAACACGAGAAGGTATCTACACTTCAGATACTGTCCTTTGAACTGACACACATACTGGGATTTAAACCAAACACATTCAATAAGGAGGATTTTAATGCCTGTAAAGATAGATGTTTGACTATAACAGAGGACTGTTGGCTCAGTTATGAGTGTTTCTGTTAACATATAAACATGTTAAAGGGACATTCCAGCGTAAAATTAATTTAGGGTCAAACCCACCGTAACACCAAGTTAGACGCTTGTTTGTAGAGAGACCTCAGGCCAGTCCATTACGGACTACAGCGGGGTGCCGCAGCTCAAGGAAGAACATTTATGATCATTTCTTTATCATTTCCTTGAAGTAATAATCACCATAATAATCATTTTACAGACGCGGTAGTTCTTCTGCTTTAGCATCTCGGTCTGATTGTATTTCCATGATCGTGACTTTCTTATACGAAATCTTGTCCACCTGATAATATCTTGTCCGCCTGTTTTTCAGCTGATTTCTTGACTGTTTTGATCAAACTCTTTTATGATCTTGATTTCTCATGTTGGTTCATCGTCACATTTAAACGTCTTGTTTTCAGGATTTTATGGTCGTTGGAAAATGTCGATATCTAGGTGCTGTTCTGAGCATTATTTGTGGCTATAGAGTGGCGTTTTGGTTGAGGGCGTGGCTCTCTGTATTTCTATCCTGCGGTCGTTACTAAAGTTGGTATAACTAGAGAAGGAAGCGGTCGACAACATTCATCTCTGGAGGGGGGGTCTAACTTGGTGTTATGGTGGGTTTGACCCTAAATTAGTTTTACACCAGAATGTTCCTTTAAGTTTTCAGATCCTGCTCAGACTTATTTCTGTTTTTAAAGTTTGATAACATGTCAGTGTGTTTTTTTCTGTGCTCGTATGTTTTTGTTTTAAAGGTTTATAATCCACAATAATCCTTATAATACAAAAACGTATAATTACACCTCCTCATGTGAATATTCAGGTCTGTCTGTGGATGAGATGATTTCATACGTATTCATGAAAATTCATCTTCTCAGCTCCACAGCAGAACAATCGATGGACTTCACTGTCAGCTGCACGCTAACCCCAAAAACAAACACGCTCAGCTGTGAATCTATGAAGTCCATTAGTGTTAATGTGGAAGAAGCCGTGAGGATCACTGGTGCATGAGTGTGTGAGTGATAAGCTGATGTATGTATTATGTCCATTAGTGTTCTGCTGCTGCTCTCCCTCATTATTCTGTTTGGACATTATTTGCTTCTGCTCAGTCAGTGTGACAATCGGCACGCTAAAGCCGCACTGCTCCGACGCCCTCAGGAGGAGGAAATTCACCCTCTATCTGCTGTGTGTGTGTGTGTGTGTGTGTGTGAGTGTGTGTGTGTGAATGTGTGTGTGTGAGTGTGTGTGAACTTAGCCAATTTCCCTTTCAGATGAGCTCTTATCAGCGAGCAGCGGCAGAGTCAGCGCCCTCCATTCCACAGATGCAGCTTTAGGAGGAGGCAGGAGGGAGGGGGGGGCACTTCCGCCGCCATATATGGAAGCGCTGGAATCCCCCCCCCCCCCCACCATGAAAGGACACCCCATCTCTATTCGCCTCACGTCCTGCTCATACCACAGGAGAGCTGATGGGGAGGTGGGCGAGGCGAGAGCGAGCAAAGGTAACCATCATCACCGCCGCCTCAGAGTGACGCATCTCGTTTGGAATCAACGACCTGTTTTTCATTTTTCATGACACAGACGTCGAAGAGCGTATGTTCGCACCGACACGTGTATGTTTGATGAAGAGCGTTTCACACCTGAACGCCGCTCGCCTGACTTAAACCTCTCTGTCTGCCGTAGTCCAGTCCTGCTCTTCTAATGTCATGAGTGGATGCACACTCTGATCTCCTCGCTCCACTCGTCTTTATTCTGCATCATCCTCTGCCTCTCTTTGGAGATCCGTCCTAGTAAGTTTCCTTTCATCCTGGGCCAACCTCCTGCTCCCTCCCTGACAGCCTCCATCTCTCCTCTCCTCTCTCCCTCTGCTCCCAGCTCCGGTTAGATAACTTACAGATGTGCTAAAGGCTGCTGACGGACTGCAAACACGCAGCAGATGCCAGCAGTTATGTTGGGTGACAGCTATAAAGGCCGTGGAGTAACAGAGCAGAGATGGAAACACAGATCGAGTGTCCGGCCCTGCAGCTGCAGACAGACGAGGATCTTCACATCTTCATCTTTAGATTTGGTTCACACACACAGATCACAGAAGAGGACTCATCAGGTCTAAACCATGGATCTGGATCACTGGATCTCACGCTGTAGTCACCTTATATAACACTTAATAACCATAAAAGTGGCACTGACTAGTGTTGTATGGTACATTGATATTCCCGTCCTTCTACGACGGGAATATTATCTCTCAGCTCAGCGACCTCAGAAGTCTACACATTTGAGATTTCATGTAACTGAAATGGTTCAACGTTGCGCTGATGTAAGCGACTGAGGAAGTAGTATTTTCAAGACTGAGGGGATGAAATGTTGTTCCTCGCCTCTCCACAGGGTGGCAGTATCAGCAGGGAGGGGCTTGTCAGACTGTCAAAACTCCCGCTAGTTATTCACATTCATACATCCTGAACCTCGGCTTCAGCTGACAGAAAGAAAAGCAATGCCTCTGTCGGATCATGACCACCAAAGCGAGTCATCAAAAAAAGTGAGTCATCTCATTAAACCGGGCGCAAAAGATGCTGAGATGAAACACTTCGAACCTCGCCGAGTATCTCAGATACAGACAACCAGGTCTCACCAAACTAAGAGTCATAAACTAAAAACTCTGATCCTGACTGAATTCTCTGGTCTGTTTGGTATCAAGTATCAGGCTGGTGTTTTTTCAGTCAGTCCGTTTCCATGACACTCAGGAAAACCGAATTATCGCCTTATTCCGATTAAGACCGGACAACTGAAGGTCATGTAAACACTTTAGTCCGACTTTAATCAGAGTTTGAGAACTCTGATTAAAACACCCAGATAATGAGACTGGAATTCGATTTTCTCTACCATGTAACCAGCGTAGTCGGACTATGATCGGACCATGCATGTGAGTGTGCGCCACGCCCCCGTAACCCCGTAACCCCAGAGTAGAGGAGTAGCGTTGGTCTCCTCTTTAGAAAAAGTAGCGCGTCCATCATGTCGGACAAAAACAACGCTGTACGATGCTCCATCTTCTTGTTTCTCCAAAATGCCCAGCAGCAGTTGTAGACACTTCTGACGTCTGACACCGACCTGTATGAGTTTAGTCGATTAAACTGAGACTGTAAACAAACTGACTGTCATGTTTCATGTATTTTAAGTCTCTCTCCATATCCAGGTCCAGATTTTGGCGTCATGACAACACTAAAGCAAACACTCTCTGTAGTTTTCTTCTTCACTTTGATATTTTCTGATATCAGCTGAGAGACTCGAGTTCGTCCACAGCAGTGAGCTTTAAGAAGGTTCGAGTCTCCACACTTCCATGTTTGATGCATGTTAAAGTCCACGGCTGAAACATGCCTGCACATCTGCCCTCTTACATAACACAGTCCACCCCCGACAGACACCGACATTCAGCGTCACAATGACGCTCGAAAAAACCCTGCTGCTGTCGAAGATCAGTAACAAGGCATGAAGCTGGAGCATCAGCCTGGAGCCTGAGGAGGAAGAGGAAGAGGAAGAGTTTTCTCCAGGGAACCCGGCACAAAGCCGGCGATGTAACGGCGAGCAGAGACAAAGGAGGTGAAAGCAGCGTGACTAATCAGAGAGGAGAAATCACCGGTTTGAAACAATCACACGGGAGCAATCCTGCCTGACGAGAGCATTTGGATTTGTCATGCTTCCTACCACATGAGCACAGAGGCTGGATGCTCGGTTTCACCTCAAACAACCTCGAAGACGAGCAAAGACGAGGGAATCAGAGCGCTTCGATCTGCTGAGGCTGCTGCACGTGACAGAATGAACGGGGAATCTTTGTGAGAAAGAAAAACAGGAACAGAGAGAAATCCTCCATCCTCAGTCTGCCGTAACAACACACAACCGACACACAACCGACACACAACCGACACACAATAACTGTGAGGAGACTGATCACCCTCCAACATCACCTGATGAAGTCAGAACATCGACCTGAACGACTCTGAGAGGAACGGTTCATGTTCAGTCTGAGCCTGTTTTTGTCCCAGAAATGAAAAGGCTCTTAAAAATGGAAGAAAGGCTAAACAGATTGTACTTCGGACTGTGGGGATAAAGTGTTCAGCAGCATTACACACACACACACACACACACTCAGGTCGGACTCGACAGTATTTACGATGTCAGTTTATGGTTCCAGTCACTGCAGGATGTCCCTCGATGACACTGATACAAATAATTAAAGTGTATTCCTGTCGTCTCTCAGAGTGATTGACAGTTTACACCTTCGATTGTGCTGCTGAGACAGTAAATCGACTGTTTATGCAAATGAGTTTGAGGATATGAGGAAGAGGGTTCAGAGAGCTGCAGGAACACAGACCCACACAGATGATAATCCTGCAGGAGAAAAGACGTTTAGAGGAAAACATGACGATGTCTGTCTATAAATGCTCGATCTAAACGCACATTTGGAGCTGCAGTTGTCAGAGCTCTGTTTTATATTTGGAAGTTGTTTTCAACCTCCGAAGTCAAGGTTTCACAGCCACACTGAAGCTTTTTGTTTAAACTGAAGTAGACAAGTGGGTCAACATGGGACTTTTTTAATCTAAGAAACGTATTTGTATTTGACGTAGACATCGTCTTAAGTTGTTCTACATGCTGCTTTTTTTTTACGAACACAAACGATCAAAAAGGAAATTCTTTCTTTGTGTTCGTTTGGTTCCCAATTATGACAAAAAAACTTGACATTATGGTCTCAAAACTGCCTTGAAATGCAAAATAACAGAGTTTTAAACATGCAATTCAAACTGAGATTAATCGCAGTTAACTACAAAGATTCTGCGATTAATCGTGATTTTAAAAGATTAACCGTTTGACAGCCTTAATTCTTATATCTGAAAATTTCCCAGAATTTTCAGGGTGGGCGACAATAACTGGATTACTTATCGTATTTTCTGGACTATAAATCGCACTTTTTTCATAGTTTGGTTGGATTTGTGACTTATACTCAGGTGCGACTTGTATATTAGAATACATTATTTCATGTTTGTTCTTTTCACGCTGACAGCTGCTAGAGGGCGCTCTAGTTGTTCAGAAGTGACACCAAGGATGAGGAATTTGATGGATTTGGTGATTTGGAGTGAGATCGAGAGTTTGGTAAACTTGTTTTATGTTCTTTACAATTATCTGAATAAGTGTTAATATGAAACGTTAACATACCGGACATCTATGGAGTTCACTGTTTCTGCTTCATGTAGCTGAATAAACATCAACCTGTTACATTAACATACCGTACACTTATTCAGCCTGATCTATTATTATTATTATAACTAACCTGTCAAAATAAAATGTTTTTTGGTCTTGGATTTTGTAAAATAAATCGTTTTTTCTTCTTCATTATGAGTTTTTTTGTCTGGTGTGACTTATAGTCCAGAAAATACGGTACTAAAGTCTTGACCTGTACTCTTTCCTGAATGCTAACCTTCCACTCAAACTCAGGCTGATATAATATCGTACCCTGGACTACAACAAGATATCATTGTTTTGTAAAAACTGGATCTGGAAGTTTGAGACTCTTCTCTGACGTCTTGTAAACATCATACAGTCATTTCTTCTAATGTCGGGGTCGAGCTGTCCTGAAATTTGTTTAATCGACCTCTTATTGAACTGATGGACTCTTACAAAGTCCTGGTCCTGCTCCCAGCCTGACGTCTCTCTGAACAGATGATGATTATATTTCATTTTTAAAGCCTGGAGCTGCAGCTGAAGATGAGTCCTCTGCAAATATGAGCTTTTGCATATTTATGTTCCTTGTTCCGTTCAGTCAGCTGTGTAGGCAACATGAAGCTGTTACATAATACAGTCGACTTCAGAGGTCTGGACGGGGAGATGTTGGGCTCACTAAAGACTGAAGCGTCTTATTTATCAGGGGAGGGGGCTGCTTCAAATCTTCTAAATGGACCCCTCCCCGGCATGTCCCGTGATCTGATTTGATTGATTGATTTTCCTGTGAATTTATTTACACAAAGAAAAGCGGGTAATCAATCAATGGTCCGGCTGATCTGGCTTTAATCCGCTCCTTCCATCACATCAAACACAGCCTCGCCCTGACACTCCAGCTTCATTCAACAAACGCAGCCTGCGGCGCTGCTGGGATTACAACGCTCGGCTGAATACACTCCTGAGCAAACATACAGATGGTGCTTGTTCAGCAACCACAACAACCTGAGGAAAGGCGGTTTACCCACACTGTCAGCAGGCAGCGAACACACCAGAGCTCTTCACAGTCCACACCCTGACACAGCGAGAGCCACACCACCGTCCTACAGTAGGGCTGCTGACAAACAAACAGGCGAGGCCTACTCATCACCACCATCAGAACACAGTCGTGAGACACTGCCCACACACACACACACAGATCTGTCAGGGTGACTCATCCAGAAATTACATGAGGCAGCGGCTCCTGTTAGGCGACAGAGCGGCAGGGTTACAGCTTCAGTGCTTCAGTGTTGACTCCAGTTATTGTGTTCAGGCAGCTCATAAAACTAAAACAACAAACAGCATGAGGAGAGAGAGAGAGAGAGGGAGAGAGAGAGAGAGAGAGAGAGAGAGAGAGAGAGAGAGAGAGAGAGGGAGGGAGAGGGAGAGAGAGAGAGAGAGGGAGAGAGGGAGGTCACTGCGAGTTCAGATGGAGACAAAAACGGAGGAATAAATAATCGAAGTGAAAATACCTCTGCAGCCTGAAACCATCGCAGACGAGTGACTGAAACACCAGAGAACTGAAGTGTCACCATAAAGAAGAACGTTAAACAGACACATGGATGAACTGAGAGGGAGATCTAGATGTCCAGTTTAGGATTCAGACCCCCCCTCCAGAGATGAATGTTGTCGACCGCTTGCTTCTCTAGTTATACCAACTTTAGTAACGACCGCAGGATAGAAATACAGAGAGTCACGCCCCCAACCAAAACGCCACTCTATAGCCACAAATAATGCTCAGAACAGCACCTAACTTCACCTACTCTCTTCCAGCAGACGCTTGTTTGTAGAGAGACCTCAGGCCAGTCCATTACAGACTACAGCGGGGTTACGCAGCTCAAGGAAGAACATTTATGATCATTTCTTTATCATTTCCTTGAAGTAATAATCACCATATTAATCATTTTACAGACGCGGTAGTTCTTCTGCGTCTCGGTCTGATCGTATTTCCATGAAGAAATGATGGTGACTTTCTTATACGAAATCTTGTCCACCTGATAAAATCTTGTCCGCCTGTTTTTCAGCTGATTTCTTGACTGTTTTGATCAAACTCTTGTATGATCTTGATTTCTCATGTTGGTTCATCCTCACATTTAAACGTCTTGTTTTTTTATGGTCGTGGAAAATGTCGATATCTTGTTGGTATAAATAACTGTTACTCCGTCTGTCTCTGTTCGCTCTTTCCTGATTGGTCGATTTCTCAGCCTCTCATCCTGATGGTGGCCTGATTATTAAAACTGATGCTGACATGACATGATGACACCGACACGACTCATCGTCTTTGGAGGAAATCAGCAAATTTCAGGAAACTCTGAAGTTAGGTGCTGTTCTGAGCATTATTTGTGGCTATAGAGTGGCGTTTTGGTTGGGGGCGTGTCTCTCTGTATTTCTATCCTGCGGTCGTGACTAAAGTTGGTATAACTAGAGAAGCAAGCGGTCGACAACATTCATCTCTGGAGGGGGGGTCTAACTCGGTGTTACGGTGGGTTTGACCCTAAATTAATTTTACACCTGAATATCCCTTTAAGACTCCTGTAGCGTTTAAATAATAATAATAATAATAATAATAATAAACTAAGCCGTAGGTTCAGAGTCTCTCTTCCTGCTGATGCAGTAACAGATCTGAGTGTTTCCGCTGCGTTCAGGTGAACAGTGGAGGTATACTCGCTCTCTCTCTCTCTCTCTCTTTGACATTTCACTCTGACATTATGTTCAGTAATTAATGTTCCTGATCCCCATGTTGATGCTGCATGATCTGATGGCTGACATTTGCCGTCTCTACCTTCCCTCCTCCTCGGTGCAGAAACAGATTTAAGTGTTACATAATGGCAGCTGGCACCTCTGGGTCTCTTCATCCTCCATGCCTTTAATGAATTAATAAAGACCTGTTAGTTTCCTTTAAACACGGCCTCACACAGCAGCACAGCTCCCTCTGAGGCTCGAACACACACCCTCAGGGGCCCACCACTGCAGCAGCAGCAGCAGCAGCCAGCGCCGCTCTCTAACAGAGGGTCAAACTGGCAGCGGCGGTGGCGGCGGCGGCGCTCTGCCTCTCCTCACTCCTGCTGACTCCATAATGATGCAGCCTGCTGATGACAGAAAGAAACCCCGCTGCTGCTGCTGCTGCTGCTGCAGTTCTGCACGGTGGCATTTTCCTCCTCGACCCTTTGGCAGGAGCTTCTCTGGCAGCCTCTCTCTCCTCATGGAGGAAATTATTGCTCATTTTGAATCAACTGATCTCCCTGTTTTCTCTCCAGGTGATCATTTGCTCCATTAAATGTCAGGAAACATGAAATTCTACCTCTAAAATCAAAGACAGCATCTGCAAACACAGCTCTGTCCTGTTACACAACAGCAGCAGCTTCCATTCACAATAATGCAGATTCTGTCTCCCTCCTCCTCCTCCTCTTTCTCCTCCTCCTCTTTCTCCTCTCTCCAGCTTCAGCTCTTAAGGATCCAAAAGAAACCTCCCACAAGTCGCCGTGACAGGCGCCCGCTCCTTCAGCACCATTGATCCCTAATAACAGCCTTTTCAGAGAGAGAGCGAGCTTCCCCGTGGCGGGGCTTTTCAACAGTAATTTCCATGTGGGCTCACGCCGTCCTACCTTCTTCACAGGTGCTCTGAACTCCTGCTGACCTGACCTCCAAACTCACAACATGCCCTGATCTGCAGGAGAGGAAGAGAGGGTGGAAAAAAAACACCCTCGCCTTCCTCCTGAGATCTACCTCACCCTGGCCTGGAGAGCGGCCCCGAGTCTAGTGAAACTGAAGAGGAACGCCACCATCCTGTCTCTGAAATAACAAAGAGCGACCTGAGCGCCGCTCACCATCCTCCTCTCAAGTTTCAACAAGAACAGGACGTCTGATCAGTCTGAGCTCAAGATCTCCGGGGATGAATCTGAAGCCGAGGAGCTGAAGTCGATATTTTCTTTAAATCTCAGTGAATCACAGACGAGTGATAAACACGAGTTTATCCACGAACACACACATCCATGAACACACACATCCACCAACACACACATCCATGAACACACACATCCACGAACACACACATCAGGTTCACACCGAGTATAGAAGCAGACAAACACAGATTTCTAAGGTTCAATGGGGACAAATATGCTTCACAGTCTTCAAAAATCAATAATCAGTTTTAATCAATCAATTTTCAGTCTTCTGATTCATTTACTCAACAGCCCAGGAGGCAAACTGTCAAACTGAACGTCTCGAGGAATGATGAGACCAGATCGATTAGTCCAGAGGCGACATTCATCGATTACAGCGGCTTTGATTGATCGAATCTTTCCGGCTCCATTTGGTGTTTTCAGACTTTTTGTGGGTTTATTAAAGACATCAGAATTCTCTGTCTGTCAAAGATTTTACAAACCGAGTTGATAATTAATCGACTTGACGGTCAGTCGATTAACCTTTAAGTTAAATCACCTGCTGCTCGTTAATTTCAAACTCGAGTTTAAACCTTCATCCAGCCTTAAACTGTTTCTCTCCCATTAAATCTTCACGATCTTTCTCTTCTCCGTTAAACTGTTAAACCGTCAAACTAAACGTCTTCAGGAATGATATGACCGCAAAGATCGATCAGCCCAGAGGCGACAAATTCATCGATGATCGAATATTTCCGGTTTTATTTATTTCAGGACTTTTTGTGGGTAAATGAAAAAATATCTGAATTTTCTACCTGCTACAAGACTTTGATATTTAATCGACTTCAATCGATTAACCGTTCAGTTAAATCAACTCTCTGCTCGTCGTCAGTTTCGAACCTTCATCCTCAAACTGTTTCTCTCCCGCGGAATTCTCTCGATCTTTCTCCTCTCCGGTTAATCGCCTCTCAGCACCAACACCAGAACCGGAGGAGACCCTAAAGTCGATCAACCGAACCTGAGAGGTCAACCGAGTCAAAGTTGTCCACCGTCCCCGACCTCCACCCCCGTCCCCGGAGCAGCAGGTGTCCCTCCACCCCCCGGTCTTACCTTGTAGACATTCTCCGTGATACGGTGCACCTCGTCGGTCCGGGACATCCTTGTAGGAGCTTCGGTCATAAATACCACAGACCGGGACTTCCTTTGGGTGAGGTGGGTCTGCTTCTCCGGACGGACGGACTGTGGCGGTATGAAGGTTCGGTTCTATCAGCTGGTCCAGTCCGGGACTCGTGACTCTTGTGACGGGGACTGAGAGAGACGAGCTCGTCTGATCGTGGGATCCCGGCTTTTATAGGAAAGTCCTCCACTGCACCCACACCGGCTCCCCACGCAGACTCTCACTCAGCCACTCAGTCAGTCGGTTCCTCTGGTTGGAGCGCAGAGGCGGACTCACTTCAGGAGGGGGGGGGGCTGCCTTCACGGACGGTGGGAAATCTGAATGAGGAATCAGACCATGGAAACCAACAAAGATCATCAAACAGAGAAACTGGATCTGAATCAGTGAATTAAACTGGTCTGAAAACAATAAAATACTGTAAAAATAACAACAAAGACTAACTGTTGCAGATAAATGACTGGTTATAAAGGTAAACAGACAGGGATGTACGGCTGATATAAAGCTGACTATTACTATTTGTCAGATTTCACCACAACTCATATTGTCTGCCTATTTAGCATTAATTAAGAGATAAAAAAGCACATACACAAATACTTACCGTCAATAGTTTCACTGTCAAAGTTGACTCTGGAACAGATCAAATAAAGTATATTTGTAATTTTAATTCCGTTGGTCTGTTTAAATGCTGCTTAACTGAACAGCTTGACCAACATTAACCCGCTTATTTCTTATTTAACAGGGCTGGGATGATCCGATTCTTCTACGATTTTTTGGATGCCGATTCGGTTTAAACTGCGATTCTACGATATTGTCAATTTTCTCGATATTCAGTCTGCATTTTTAACAAACAGCGAAACAACTGAATGATTATGATCATCCACTGACTATTCCAGGAACCATATTTACCCCAAAAATACACATCACATGTAAGTCAGCTTTTAAGATTTATTCTTAAAATTTAAAAATAAAAACATTTTTGAGCATAAAATTCAATTTTAAAATCGTAAAACAAAAATCGTGATACTTATGTGAATTGATTTTTTTCTCCCACCCCTATTATCTAATAATAATAATAATAATAATAATAATATCTTACATTTATATAGCGCCTTTCAGGATACCCAAGGCGCTTAACAACACACTACAAAAAAAAAAAACAAAAAAAAAAAACTAAATACCAAAAGCCTGGATAAACAAGTGTCGCTTCAGAGCAGACTTGAAAGAGTCAAGAGTCTGTGCTTGGCAGTCTCAGAGGGGAGAGAGTTCCAGAGAGGAGGGGCAGCCACACTGAAGGCTCTAACCTCTATAACATGTTTTCAGTGCTAAGAAACTTCAAACTCTGTAGTTTACAATGAGGATCATTTGATTTAAACTTACTGTGCTGCACTAAAGGGAACATTAATGCAGAATACTGTACGACTGGATGACTTTATGACTCAAGTCTAGAAAGATTTAAATAAAATTAAAAAAAAAAAAAACCCAGAAAGAAAAAAAAACAACACCTCTGACTCCTGAAATTTTGCTCATTATTTTCTTCCTCTTGAGAAAATGTCTTATTAAATTAAATTGATTCAGTCAAGATAATGGGATGCTGGGTTTTACGGTTTCTGGTGAGTCCTTGAAGGTAGCACGTCATTAGGATAAGCCACGCCCCCTCCTGTGTGTCACACGCTGCCCACGCCGCTGCCTCTGTTACAACCATTGAGAAGACCTGACCCAGCAGCATCCATAAACACAGAGAGGATCAGCCTCCATTCATCCACCATGGTCAGAATAATAGAACTACACAGATTCAATACATGTGGAGGCTTCATCATCTTCATCCTCATCCTCATCATCTTCATCATCTTCAGCCTTTATTCTTCAGTGGTTTTTAGTTTATGTAACATTTTGATCATCACACAGAGAAGCTGAGAGTCAGATGTTCACCTGCTTTAGTTTTTAAAGAGCCGTGGAGTGGAGTGAAACCACGCTTCGTGCTTTTGTTTACCTTACTCTGTATCTGTGCCGCCCCACTCCTTCTCTCCGAGTGGACTCTGCTGAGGATGAGTGGGATGCTGCCACATTTTCTCCTATTTCATTAGAACCACGGTGGGCCGGGAATCCCACTCATCTGAGCCCGTCGTCACGATCATCTGAAGGAGAGTCTCTGAGCAGAGCGGACCGAGATAAAACAGATGAGATGTTTCAGAGCGAGTTTACTTCGACTGTCACGTCTGATTAAAACAGATGGAGAGGAGCCTGAACTGCAGACAGTTCATGAGAATCAATCAGGTTTGTACAAACAGCAGTGTTCCCCCTGTCAGCCGGACTATTGATTAACTCCTCGGAGGGAATTCAATCCTTACAATTACTCTCCATCATTGAATGTACAGACCCCCCCCCCCCCCCATCCATCTAAAGGTTTAATTAAACACAAATGAATTAAGATAATGACTGATAATCATAGTCATTCTGAGACATAAGCTATCGAGCACAGACTCTGGAAAAACAAACGGTTTAATTCAAACATTCAGGATTTAAACAATAATAATAATAATAATGAAACACCGTCTGGATTACGACCATTTTCCTGTTTCTGCTCTTTTTGAGTGTTTATCCTTCACCGATGGGTGAGCGTCAGTGTTGGCCAAATAAACTCATAAAGAAGAATAGTCAATCAGAAATATTTGCTCTTACCTCCTGCCAGTGTGGCTGGATTTCTGGGCACTTCTGAAAGATGTGAAAACGTTCTGCCAGCTGTTTTATTCTCTAAAGTCTTTTTGTCATTTTTTCCAGTGGCTAATCTTGAAAATCATAAATATAAAAGGAGCATTCACAAATGTAAGTAACCTTTTCAGGGCTAACAGAGTCCGATCCACCAAAGAGGACCCGGGTCGGTCCTCCCTGACCCGGTCAGAGAGAACAGGAAGCTGCAGGATCCTAATGGACAGAGTCAAAGTGATGAACATGAATGATGTGTGTGGAGGAAGTGAGTGAACAGCATCACAGTGTTCTCAGCCTTTCACTCATTTATTTCTCTGATTTATTTTTAATTATAAATAATATTGAAGAGGAGACAGAGACATATTTCTATACAAGGACAATCAAGAGGGTTGGATTGTATCATATCGCATCATTTCTAAAGGTATGATAAAATGACAGAGATGTGCTTTTTTTGATTTATTTGTAATTATTATTAATTCTGCAGAGAACGTTATCATATACAGGAACAGTTAAGAGTGTTGCCTCATATTCCATGGTATTGTATATATCATATCTTGTCCTATCGTAGTATACTGCATATATAATTTCAAATAGTATCTTATCATATATCATATAATATCATATCATGTGATAATTCACCATATCATATCCTTTTGTATCATACATTATCATGTCATTTTATATCATATTGCACTGTACCATTAAGTATCATACCATGGAACTGTATCATGCTGTATCATACTATATTGTATCATATTGTATCAGCATGTATCATATCATACCATATCATATTATATCAAATCATATCATGTTATATCATTTCTCATATCGTATCATGTTATTTTATATCTCATATTACATCATATCATTTTAGATCATATAGCTTATCATATCATATATCGTATCATGTTATATCATGTCTCATATCATAGCTCATATTACATTATATCATATATTATATCATATCTCATATCATATCCTATCACATCATATCACGTTTAGTTGTGTTGTGATGTATCATAGAGTATCATAGTGTTGTATCAGATAATATCATGATATTGTGTCTCGCTGTATGATATTGTATCCTGTCAGTCTCTGGTGTTTGTGAAGTTGGTATGAAGTTTGTATTTTGTTGAACCATATTGTACTGTATTATATCTTATAACGTCATACAGTATCAGCACGTATAATTTCATATCATATCATATAATACTATATCATGTTATATCATATCTCATATCATATCATCTCTTATATTGTATCCTATCATATTGAGTTGTGTTTTGCTGTATGATATTGTTTCCTGTTAGTCTCTGGGGTTTGTGAAGTTGGTCCTCCTATATTGTTTAGTATCATATCAAACAGGATCACAGTGGATTACATCATCCTGTATGATAATATACTGCTCTGTTGTGTAATGTTGCATCATATTGCCCCATATTACCAGTTTGGCATCATCAGACCAGATCCACTCCAGTCATGTGATGGGACTGTCTTACAACCAATCAGAGCGCAGCAAAATATTTTGTTTTGTTTTTTGTGTTTGTCAATATTTTGTGTGATTGTCATATTGGCTGAAATGACCACACTGATCATGATCCAGTCCTTCCTGAGAGTATATTCAGCTCACAGAGGAGGTGTAGTCAGGTAGGCAGGACACCGACACGCACACACACCCACACCCACACCCACAGTCCATTCAGCTTCATTGATCCCCCTTATATTCTTCCTACTCACCACCGTCCTCTCTGCCTCAGATCCACGTCTGTGATTCATCAGCAGCGCTCTGACATTCAGGTTCTCGTCTGTGCGTCGCCCACACTCCCACGCAGCGCCGATGAGCTTGTAATGCACATTCAGGAGCAGAGTGGAGCCCGTCCAGTCAAAAAGAGGTCATCACTGCGAGGCTGATTTCACAAACCTGACAAAGGCGTCAATTCAGACTATTTCTGTCTCACAAAAGGCCCGAACAATGGAGAGGCGGCTCCCAGAATCTGTTAACGGAGAGAGAGAGACAGTTGAAAACGCTGCTGGCATTTGTACATCGCTCTCATACGAAGAAAAAAGAACAAGATCAGAGGGTGTGAGTGGTTATTATCACCACAGAGGAGAGAAGTGAAAAATTAAACAGAGAGGAGGTTGACTGAGTTCTCCTACCTGTTAGGATTTTATCATATTTCTCTCTATGATAAAAATAACATGTGGATGTTCAGAGCGCCCACACTTTTGCGTGTCTTTGTCATTTTGCTCGAACTGTTCACAGACTCTTCAGCTCCAAATCTCCAAATCCAACCTTCAGATTTCATGAGAGACGGATCAGAGTTTGAGTTCATGAGTGTTGGAGAGATAAGAGTCCAGAAACATGTACGTCAGGTCCACCCTCATCAGGCTGGAGAGAGATTTTCTCAATGATTATCAGATTATCCCAAAAATGATGCTGAGAAACAAGATACATCATGACAGAGTGAAACCATACGAAGGGAAATGATATGATTCAGTACTACATATGAGAGGACGCTGTGAGGGGGTTAAAACATTATGATATGATTCTGTATAATTCAGTATGATGAAACTAAGTGCAACAACAACAACAAAAAAGGAATAAAATACAAGGTGATAAAATACTGTATGATATAGCTAAACGTGACACCATGAGAATCTGCTATCTTTATAATACCATATGATACGATACGTTGTGTTACATTACGGTACCGTACAGTATCTGGCACGATACAATACAATACTATACATAGCACTAAACCAAGCCACATCACGTCACGTTATGTTACATTATGTCACGATAGGATTCGATACAAGAAGCTATGATACATTACAATAAGCTACCATATGATACCATATGATTCAATATGATATGATACAAATATTTTGAGTCACGTTATCGTGCTTTTTACTGCAATATGATTCACTAAAACATTAAAAATACTGTATGATATAGCTACATGTAACACTATGAGAATCTGCTATCCTTACAATTCAATACGATTTAATATGATGTGATACGATGCTATACATATGTTGCCGATATCAGGTCACTTCACGTTACGATACGAGATGATGTGATACCATACGATACAACATGATATGATACAAAAAGTTACAATCTGATACTTTGATTAAATACAGTACGACACGATACGATTTGTCACGTCATGATACGATACCATACAAAACGACACGTCACAACAAGTTACAGTATGATATGATAATGACCCGTCAAAATACGTTTGATCCCGTTCTGATAAGTTACATGATATGATATGATGAGACACTTTTAATACATTTAAAATACAATACTGTCAAAAATAACAACCTCTGTTTTATCATGTAGTAGCTACGTTACGATATTATTCAATACGATCCGGTATAACAGGACATATATAATAATAATAATAATATAATCGGACACTTTATGACCTTAAACGTTAAAATACAATCCTGTCAAATTCAGTTACTTCTGTCCTGTAAGCAAAATCCTTAACGGCGAAGTACTTCACAGCTGACTCCAAACATAAAGATTTTTATCAACAATATACAATTTAATTTAGTGAAAGTGTCATTAAGAAGCTCGAGTTTCTTTACGTTTTAATCTAATTATACTTTAAATACTGACCTGTCATGGTTTGTCATCATTTCACGGTGTGTCTCCTTGTAATTCTGTAAAAAGAAATCAAAAAGAAAACTTTAAATAGTTTCTTTTTGTTATTAAAACTCTTTATTACTGTCTTATAACACACCCACGCTCTTGCCTTGTGTTGAACAGTAATATGCAGAGTCATCCACAGACTCTTCTTTGGACTTTTGTCGCCGCCTTGTGGTCAAAGATGGTAAAACCGAGTCAAGAGTTTTAAAGGCACAGAATGAGAAGAAGAATAAAAACACTTTTATTGCAAAAAGAAGAACAGAGAGGAATAATGTCCAAACCATTTCAAGTCAGACTGTCAGTGTTAGTGAGCGGAGGAGTTTTCTCTCTGAAGGTTTACGGATTCACAGATTAGAAACAAAGATCCTCAAATGTAGGCCTTCAGTCTTAGACCGGACTAATGTAGGCCCTCAGTCTCAGCTCTTTACAACAGAATATGCAGAGTAAAATAATTACAGGCGTCTGTAGAGATAATACTCGGAGGGTAAAGCTCCAGCAGGTCGTGTGGAGTTATTACCTTGGAGAGATTAGGAAGTGTTGTCTGGGCTTCACAGGTAAACCCACAGACGATATGATTAGCCCTTTCTCCAGTGACACTAAGCTAATCCACAGAGAATTAGATTAGCTGAGCTGCTCAAAAGGGGGTCACACTGGGAGAATATTTGCGAAACAGACGCTTATGCAAATGTCTCCGTGTTTTAGAGAAAGTTCAAATTACTCGGCTGGGTCAGACGAGGCCTCGACAAACCGGCGAGGACAGGGTCAGTTCACCAAAACATCAGTCACTCAGCTCCACAGCTGTGGGGGACTACGGGGAACTTTATGAGACAGAAATTTTGGAAATCTTATGTGTCTTCTAGGAAATATTAAAAATAAAATGTTATTTTCTCTCTTGACTTCAGCCTTTCCTCTCAGGACAGTTCGAACACCTTACAGAGGAGATCGGTGAAAACAGAAAATAAAAATCTGATGAATGAGGCGTGTTACTTTAAGGCCTTTTTCTTTCTCTTATTTAAGACATTTTCTTCACATCCCGGTTGCAGACCTTACACTGAATGCTCTCCTGAAATTACCTGTCTGAGCCGAGGCGGGGAGAGCAGCAGCAAAGACCTCAGAGTCCAGAACAGAGCGGATATCAGCATCAATAAATACGACACAGGTGGAATCTGACACCCGGGGCAGAGAGAGAGGACACGCCCCCTCTGCTGCACGTCCATACATGGAAGTGAAGGCGGGGAGAGCAGCAGCAAAGAACCCCAGGTCCAAAAAGGAAGCAGGTAAAGAAACAGTGACGATGGTGAGATCAGACACCTGAGGTGGAGACAGCACACCACCTCCACCTTTCATACCCATCCATAAAAACTCAAGGCGGGAGAGCAGCAGCAAAGACCTCCAGGTGTGGAACAACACCACCATCATTTCCAGTACAGAGGAGACCAGCATGAAAAGGTGGAGCAGACTGCAAACCAGCGGAGTAAACAAGTAAACAATAACAGGGTTCGAGGAGTGTCGACAAAATGCCAAGATATGAAACCCTGAAGGTCATCAGCTGAGCGGTCACTTATTATGGGCTGTCGTTAAGGGCGGAGCTTGACTTTAATATGGAGGACCAGAACTGACGCTGAACTCAATTTAAGCACCAAGATCTATGTTCTTACTGTTAGACATCTAGGTGACAAATATCTGAATATGGAACCAAAAAGACTGAGTGAAGAAAAGTTCACGGATTAAAAACTCGTTTGGTGAACTGACCCTGAACATAAACACAGATTATGATTGGATGAAAATCAGATTAAAACAAAACTTCATTTCATTAAAGTCCAAGTAAAAATAAAATGATTTGGTGGTAAATACAGAGAGAAGGTTAGGCACAATCATCGGATGTCACAGGTCTTCACGACCATCGTCGTCACGCCTCCACCTTCAGCCGACGTGGACAAACAGCTGCTGGATGAAATGGAGGAAGGCCTGAATCTGCTGAGTCGGTACGGTCGACCTATGAAGGAGTGAGAGTTCTCCAGTCAGAGTTTGTCTTGGTTTATGTCGGACTGAAGGTTCGTGGAAGAGGTCCAGCAGCCAGGAGGTCAGCCGGGGGAGGTCAGCCATCTTTCTACGCGGCGAGCAGCTCACGCTCCGGCTTCTTCCGGACACGTTCCTTCTCTGAAACACGAGAAAGGTAGCAGTTAGAGGGGTGAGATCTGAAGGTCCACGATACTTCTGAGAACCTCCACCTAATGTCTCCTGGAGGTGGAGCTCCTTTTAACTCCTTCAGAGTAATTATCATGTGAAGATAAGTTCTCCTGAGAATCACATCTCCGTGAGAATCTGAGAAAACAAACCTGGTTTCTTCTCCTTCTCCTCTGGGACTTCTGGCAGCTCCTCTGTAGGAACTTCAGGAAGATCGACGTCACCCTGAGGAAGAGTTCAGGAGGACAGATCAGACAGGAAACCAGACCAGGAACATCCTGACATCTTCTAAACCTCTTCTGTTAAGAACCTTGGAGTTGAACAACATCTCCACAGAGATCAGAATCAGACCCACCTGAGTGATGGCCTCCAGTTCTGCCAGAACCGCATCTTCATCCTCCTGAGTTAAAGAGCCGGCCAGCATGTCGTCGATTTGCTGCAGGAAGAGAAAAACTCGAGATGGACTCATGGTGGAGATCAGATTGGAGGAAAATGCAAAGACTTCAACAAGAACTTCAGAGGATACCGAGAAGAAGAAGAAGAAGAAGAAGGAGGAGACCTACCCTTTGGTACTCGATGGCATCTTGAGTTTCATCCATGATCCGCTCCACCTCTTCGATCGACATCACCTAACGCCAGAGAAAACCGTCAACACGAGCCGATAACAGAGAAGAGACGAAGAAAAGCCTCCTGAGATCGTTTTTACCTCGTGCATTTTCTTCAGACAATCGTTTCCAACTTTCAGCCCGTCGATGACTTTCTTCTCGATCTGAGCGAACTCCAGATCCTGGACCTGAAGAGGAGAAAAGAAACAGTCAGTGAGTTTTTGTTGAAGATCTGCAGAAACACGTAGATGTTCGTTCACTCACCAGGCGCTCCAGGTTCCCGATCTGGTTCTCCGCCTTCTCCAGGAGCTGGTCCCGGTATCGCTTCTTTTTCAGCAGGAGGAGGGCTTTACTACGAGACGGACAGATGAGGAGAAATTAGGAGCAACAAACGATCAATAAGGAGGAGGTTGTTGGAGGATTTCACTCTGTCACACTCTCAGCTGTTTTCGGAGGATTAATCCATGATTGCAGGATTATTATTTTCTCCTTATTTCACTCACTCTTTCTTTCCATCCTTCAGCAGCTGCTTGGCCAACAGTCGCTCCTTCTCCAGCTGCAGGTTGATTTTCTTCTGGTACTGCCTCAGTTTATCTCTTTGCTGTTTCAGTTGCTGCAACGACGACAAAGACGTGACTAAATTACATATATATTTATGTGCAAACAAACCAATAATTTATACAAACTAATCTGTTAAAATCATCATGTGGTTCCTTATTTAGACTCTTTGGTGGAACTGCAGAAAAAAACTGCAGACAAACAAACAAAAACTGCAGAATCATCAATAAATAATTATAGTTTAATTTTAAAGTTAAAAGTTTTTTCTGACACTGAGGTGAATCCAAGTGCTTTAAGGAGTAAATACAACAAAGATATACGAGTTAAGAAATACAAGGACAGAGTCTTCAGTTCACAATCTGTTTTAAAAAGATGATTTATACACAGGAAGGTGACGATTTTAAGTTTGTATGGATTAATACTGATGTAAAAATGAATTAAAGATAAAATATAAAACAAACATGTTAATGTGAATTATTAAGCTTAACTTTAGAGTCCAGACAGGTTCTTTTAAACACTCAGGTTTAGGGGAGAGTGGGGTCAGATGATCCATGTTTCAACATGAACTCACCCTTTGGTTCATCCTACCCCGGTCTCCCCTACTCTGACTGTTTTTGTAGAGAACCTGACTCTCTCTCTCTCTCTGTTTTAACCTCACTTCTCTGTTTTTGTGACTTTAATAAACTCCTGCTCCTCAGGTTTGTTGAATTCTCTCAGTTTTGTGATCAGAACCTCTCTAGAGTCCGGTCTGATCTCGGTCCGGATCAGATCTGCTAAAGCTAACAGACTCTCTGACCCACTAAGACTCACCAGAACCGCTCGGTCCTGTTCGGTCACTCGAGTTTGTTTCTTCTTTCCGAACAGATTTCCCATCCTGACAGAACATCACAGCTCCGCTTCACTGATGTTAATCCGATTATAAAGCAGTTTTAGTTCTTTAAAGGAGTCCGATTAGAGCAGAGTCTCCATATTTGTGTAGTCATCTGTGTGTAAATGACCACACCCACATCAGGAAGGACGGTGTCCGGGAGAGGACAAACAACCGGAGAGAGAGCGAAACGACATCTGGGCGAGTCCTACATCACTTAAAAACAGAGTTAACAAACTGATTTTTTCTGTTTTTAATCGATAAATTAAAATTCTGTAACGTTTTTCCCGCCGTTTAAAAAACAAGCGCGGGGTTAAAGATTAAGACAAAGGGCTAAAATAGAGAGAGTTCATCTAAAATAACGAGCGTTTACTGCCCTCCTGTGGTCAAACATGATAACTACAGCCAACTATCCATCATGACCGTCAATATGAAGTAAAAACAATAGTTTCCGGTTGTCCCTTCACAATAAAAGAGGAAAAAAAGACGAAACACGAAAATAGTTGCTCATATTTATAAACGTCTCTGTATTGTATTGTGAAATTAACAAACGGAAATAGTTTGCTTAAACCATTCTTCCCTTTACAAATATCCGGTGTTGCAGTTCTCTTTATGTCCACTAGAGGGCAGTTTAGACCAATGAGAGTTCGGAGAGTTTTCTCTGCAGCCTGTGGATAAAAACCACAGCTTCACTTCGGTATAAGGGGGGAAAAAATCAGATATTTTTAACATAATTACCTGCTCACAGTTTTTGTTTGTCCATTTCATAAAAAAAAGGTTTTATTTATTCATTTGTTTATTTTTTACAGTCACCATATTTGAACGGTATTGGCTGGACAGATACCAACGACGTCACAGTTGTTTTAATCAATGATTAAAATGATATTTATATTACAGCAAAAACACGGAGCTGATCAATTATCTGATTATTTAATCTGTTTATTTTATTTCACTCAAAGTTAAAAAAAAAAAAAAAAGGTGTGTGACTACACTTCTGCTGGTCTGATTTTTACGGTGGCCGAGAACTGCCACCTCTGAAAAAAAAAAAAGGATGTAAAAAAAAAAAAAAAAGCCACAACAGAAGTTTACGATGCAAAAAAGAGTTTCATTCTTATTTTTGGCCACCGTAGATTTCCACAAAGAGGACAAACAATAAAAAGAGTTGTTTGAATTAACATTTATTCATGAAAAGGTCTCAGGGTTCATTAATGATGAGTGTCCATCC